AAGCTTGCTGTGAGGCTGACTCACCCCTTCCTCCCCCAAGGCCAGGAAAAAACCGATAACTTGGGTTTTGGTAGTTCAGCCAGTTAGGAAAGGGGGTATCGGGCTTACCTCTCTTTCAGCCAACTGTACGCCCAGGACAGAAATGTCAAAGGGAGACCAAAGAGAAAGCGGCTCTGGGCTCCAGCTGGCAAAGAGCTGAACTTCTAGACAGACAGATATTTGGGCTAACTTTCTGCCCAAATCAGACCATGATTTAACACAAGGGGAAAAGATAGTCGGGTATACTGCTTCCTGATATATTGCTGTCTTTTGGCCATCAAGTGTAGAGAAGTGTGTTAATCACTTGACTCAGTTCCAAGCACTGAACTGCCTCCTGTAGTTAAAAGGGAAGACGTGCCTGTCAATCTCTATCAGGTAGCCAGTGAGGGAGGTTCAGAGAGCGCCTGCGATCCGTGTGGAGGCTGCCTGGTTCTGGTGAAGAAAGGAGGATCCATGCTTGGACACAGACCGGGGTGTGACACACGGCACAAGCAGGGGTCAGCCATGGTCACTTGGGAGGCAAAAAAGAAGGGGTTGAGGTTCCTGAAACAGTAAGGGAGGCTGAATCAACTTTTCCCATAGCCAAAGCAGCAGCTACCTGCAAGGTATAATATACATATAAATAATAAACTTATAATTTTGAAAAAAATAATATATATATATATATATATATATTATTTTTTTCAAAATTATAAGTTTATTTAAAAATTAAACACATGAGGGAACAGATGCCGTTTTAATTTACATGAATTACTCAAAATCATCCATAGAGCCACCTGATTTCTTCCCATACCTGCTCTTTTAGAAGAATTCATTAGGAGTATGCCAATATTCTACTTCTGACTTTTGCTACCAAATGTATAAAAGTACTGCTGATGATGGATGCAAGGTATATTTGAAGGTTCTTGGAAAAGGCTCTAACCTTCAAAATACCTTTTTGATTATCTTGTCCAGTCGCTAAAAATCAACTCTATAGAGTCATTCCTTTAAAAAAAAAATAATTTTTTTAGTGATTTCAGAAAGGAAGAGAGAGAGACATCAATGATGAGAGAGAATCATTAATCATCTGTCTCCTGTACAGCCCTTACTAACTGGGAATTGAACTATGACTTCCTTCCTGGTTCATAGGTTAACACTCAACCACTGAGTCACACTGGCCAGGCAAAATTCATTCATTCCGACTGAGACTTTATGCATGTTAAATTGCAAACTAATTCTTCTAGCTTCTTTCCAATTTAGAAGGATTGGGTCAGAGAACAAATACACTTGAATATCAGGAGGAAAGTGGAAAGAACCCATGGGTCGGAGGCCCACCACTTAAGAAAGGTTTCAGAGGACAAGAGAAAGACTTGAGGGGCAGCACTGCATACAACAGCATTAGACCAGACAGATGGAACAGCAGAAGCCTTGTCATCCTTTTAGAGTTTCTGTCCTCAAGTGCTTCACACACACACGCACACACACGCACACACGCACATACACTCACACACATACACACAGCTTCACATAAATGTGTCTGTTACCAGCCTGCTTATGTGTACCTATTCCGGTGGCTTTAGATCTTGACGTTGAAGGCTGATTAGGCAGTTGATTTCAATATGAGTAACAGGCTTCCTAATTTAAATCCTATGGGATCCTTGCTTTTGGACTCTAAGGTTTTTGTCCCCTGCTCTAATGAGCCCTCTAGGCCAGTGGTCGGCAAACTCATTAGTCAACAGAGCCAAATATCAACAGTACAGTTGAAATTTGAGAGCCCAATTTTTTTTTTAAACTTAAACTTCTTCTAATGCTACTTCTTCATAATAGACTCACCTAGGCTGTGGTATTTTGTGGAAGAGCCACACTCAACGGGCCAAAGAGCAGCATGTGGCTCTCGAGCTGCAGTTTGCCAACCACGGCTCTAGCTGACTTTAAACTAGCCCCTCTCAAACTTGGCCAGACCTTAAAATCACCTGAGACCTTCCAAAAGTCCCGATGAGCAGGGCCCATGCTCAGATATTGTGATTTACGTGGCCTAGGGTGAGGCCCCGGCATCCTCATTACAGGGCACCTCTAATTAAAATGGTAAGGGTAAGGGCGAATAAGGACACATGTAATACCTTAATTAACAAAGAAATTTTAAAAAATGTTAAGAAATGTGATGTTGGAGAGGAACAGTAGACTCTCTCTCATACCTCAATGTTAATTTAAGGCATCTATTATTGGCAAGAAATGGTTTAAACTTTAAAGGCACATTAGGAACACACTAACATAGATTCTGCTGGTCTGTCTCTTCTGCAGAAACCACAGAGAAGGACCTGGCTGGGAGATTTGTGGCTGGGTCTGCAGAACTTGTCAGCTCTTAGCTGGAATTCCTTGTTCTTCCATAACATTCCTTGTGTTGCAGCACACAAGATTCCACCCTCCCTGGCCTCTCTCCGAGTGGGTCTCTGGCCTCCTAAGTCTCACCCTTTCCCCGCCCCCAAGAAGCAGGCTTAACCCCAGGTCTGAGGGCAGGAAGACCTGGACCACCTGGAGAGGTGGACTCGTCCATCTGAATGGAATCCTCAAATGCTCTTCCCTCTCTCCCCATTTCCCATTGGTCAGGATTGCCAGATGCTGTCCCAACACACTCTGCCCAGTGTGGCTCCTTCTCCAGACCAGAGTCTCCGCCCACCCACCCAGGAGCCATCCTATAATGTGCCTGCTTCACCCTGCAGGGTTGGGCACCCTGGGTGCTTCGCTCTCCACATTCCTCGAAGTAGATGCCACTCCTTCCTACATTTGAGGGATCCTGGCTCCTCCATATAGGATTCCCAGGGCCCTCACTCTGAGCTGACACTCTGTCTCCCACAGAAATGCAGAATGTCCCCAGCCATTACAGGGAGATGGTATAGAAAGACAGTCATGCGGAATTTTATCTTCCTGCTCCATCCTTCTCCGTGACTTGACTTAGGAGAGGAAGGGAGAGGGAGAGAGATAGAAACATCAGTTATGAGAGAAGAATCCTTGATCGGCTGCCTCCTGCACTCCCACTTGTGGGATTGATCACTGGGGATCAATCCCACAAGATGGGCATGTGCCCTGACCGGAAATTAAACCATGACCTCCTGGTTCACAGGTCAACCACTGAGCCATGCCGGCTGGGCAGGAACACATTTTCCTACGCGGCTCTTTAGTCTTTACTACGTGACAGATTCTCAGTTGAGTGCAATTACAGAAAAAAATTTGTTCTGAAAATTAATTTGTATGCTTTCTGTTATCCCAAACCCAAAACTATGCAACCCAGTGTATTTTTTGTTTGTCTCTAGGCTGCCAGAAAAGTTCGAGCCAAATTCATTGTCCAAGTGTTGTGATCTGCTAAATTCAGGCCATTCAAAATATCCATTCTTTTTGCTTTGCTGTGTTTTCTCCTGGACTTTTCCACACTGAGTTTTAGTCTAAGCCATCTTGCCTGTGTCCAAGCTTGTCACCACATTCTACCTCTTCCTCTCTCGATTAGCCCATCACTACACTACACTACACTACACTACACTACACTACACTAACTACACTACACGAATTCTTCCCACACTGCCTGTCCCCCTCCCTCCCTCCTCCCTTCCCTCCCTCCCTCCCTCCCTCTCGGGGACATTGCCCACTCCTGTTTCCACAGCCTGGAACCATCTCCCCAGATTTGTGTGCTTGGTGAAGAAGTTTTCAGGGCTCAGCCCGGACAGCACCTATTCGGTGGGCCTCCTGAGCTGGGTGGCCCTGCCCTGGGTTGTCCTGGCAGGCAGCACTCACAGCCAGGCCAGACACCAGAATTGGTCTTAATGTTTTGTTTGACTATCCAGCTAGGATGGCGAGTTCCTGGAAGGAAGGGAGATATTTATCACCGTGTCCTTAAGGCCTAGCACACAGAAATGTTAAGTCAATGAATGCACGACACAGACTGGATTCAAATCTTCTGGAACAAAAGGACTGCAAGCCAGCCTTTCCGGCAGCCTCTTCACTCCCCTTCCTCAAAAACAGCCACTGCTCACCCTGGAACTCTGGCAGAATTCTGCTCCATCCCAGGCAGACACCCTAAAGGTGTTCTACTCCATTTCCTTTGGTGTGTCTGATATCTGACAACGAAAGCAGAAAGGATTTCGTTCTTTTCTTTGACGTAGTAACCACCGAGGGTGCAAGAGTTTAATAACAAAATTACTGGGGAGTGCCTACTGTACCCCTATTTCCCGGGGCCATGACTAGTGTAGCTGTATACTTTACAGCACTGGAGAAATCACACCCCTGAGCACATCTCATCTCCAGCTAGAGCGCTCCTTTCCCAGCACCGGCCTGTTAAAGCAGTCACCCTACTTCCCTTGGCCCGTCTGTGTCCCCCCTGGAGGGCACTGCCCCGCTTCCCCACCTCCCCTCATTCCAGGACTCCCCAGCTGAGACCTGGCTGTTCTGGGCGGTTTGAATCCAGTCCTCTGGGACACTCCTCAATATCAACTCCCCTCCCCCACCCCATGGGCTCCCAACTCCATCCTTACGGGAAAAGTGGGAGAAAGATGATCATTCCACAGTCTTTTCCTTACTGCTTTTCCCAGACTGCAAATTCTGACTTCAGCGAGGGAGGGTTGGCTGCTCAACCCCACCCCCACCCCCTCTCTCTCTCACGCCCCCTGGGACCCAACACTGGGAGAAACGAGTGGGATCTGCCCAGTTTGTGCAGGTTTTCGAGGCGCGCTGGGCCCTGGAAGTCACCCCAGCCTCATCAGGACGTCTGGCCAGCACTTTGCTCACGTCCTGCAGGTCGGGCTGCAGCGCCTCGGCCCCCACGTCCGCACAAGGGAGAGAACCCCGGCCTGCGGTCTGCAATCAGCCCCTTTCCAGCTCCGGGCTGAGGCAGCTCCAGCCGAGGTCTCCTCCCCCCTTTCCCCGGGCGCGTCCCCTCCTCGGTCCCCGTCCCCCAGCGCGTCCCCCTCCCCTCGCCCCCGGCCCGGTCCTACCTCCAGGCGGGCCGCGGCTCCGCTGGCTCCGAGGCGCAGCTCCCGGCGCCCGGGGGGCCGGGGGCTGCAGGCGGCGGGGGCCCGGGGCGCCATGGCCCGCAGCCCTCCGCCCGGGGGTCCGCCGGGCCTCCTCCGGGAGGGAGAGCTGAGCTCCCTGCGCTCGCGTCGCCGCCGCCCCGCCGCGGCCGTGGGCGAGAGAAGGCGGGCTCGGCCCGCAGCCGCGTCCCCCTCGCGCCCGCCCCGCGGCTCCGCGCCGCCGCCCCGCCCCGCCCGCGCCCCGCCGCCGCAGTGAGCTCATCCGCAGCTGGCGGGCGCCCGGCCCGTCGCCACGGCAACGCCTCTCCCCGGGCCGCGGGGACTCCGCAGCTGCCGTAAACAGGACCTTCTGCCGGACTCTTCCCCTCGCCTTCTCTGGGGGTGGGGAGTGGGGAGAGGGTGGCTTAACCCTTTCCTTGCTGGAGGCGGCCGATCGGCATTCTGCGCCTCCACCCGCCCCGGGCCGAGACCTAGAAAGAGATGCACGGAGTGACCGCCTGCAGGTCACTCCAGATATTCAACGCGTTTATGGAAGTGGGGGCACCCTAGGGAGTCAGGCACCACCTTGTGGCCTGCATGCAACTAGCAGTCTGGCTTTGGGCACCGACCGCCCCAACACAGGTTCCTGAGCGCCGGGAGGGAAGTCAGGACGAGCTCCCCAGAGGAGAAAGGACTTCACAGTTCTCGCTGCCGCCACTGGCGCAGGACATCCAAGGAGCACAGGTCTCAAGACTTAGGACTGCCCACCACGAAGTACATGTGCAGATGCTCTGGGCATTTGATGCTGAGGAAAACGGGTTCAAATGTTTTGTTTTGTTAAAGTGTAAGCATTTTAATTATTGTTTTGTTTGCTAAAGTATTATTCAGGAAGTTTTCACTTTCTTAAAAAAGACCAGAGCCCTAACTGGTTTCGCTCAGTGAATAGAGCATCGGCCTGCTGTCTGAAGAAGGGTCTCAGGATGGATTCTGGTCAAGGGCACATGCTCGGGTCTGGGCTTAATCCCCAGTGTGGGGTGTGGTGTGCAGGAGGTGGTCAATGATTCTCATCATTGATGTTTCTCTCTCTCTCTCCCTCCCTGAAATCAATAATCAAACACATATATATGTATTTTTTTTAAAAAAAAGGACCAGACACTTGGCTTCTTGAGGGTTAATTACTCCCAGGTCCTGGGTGTCAGGAGGCAAATTGGCAAAATGGAGAAAATGGCAAATGGAGAACTGAGCTGAAAGCCCAAGTGGCTGCCGCCTCCGGGAACCCAATGCACAAAACAGGCCGAGCACCTTCAACTGTGGCTTCCGAACTGCCAGGCACATCTCAGGTGGGCAGGCCAGAGAGGAGGCTAGGAGGCCCTTAGTGGCAACTTCTAGGTGGCAGGCGGCTGTTCCTTCATTTCTGAGTTCTGGATACCAGCTTGTTTTAGAAAAACACTCCTACCTCAGTTCAGACTCTGATGAGTGATTCTGACGCCTGTGCTTTGCAAATTTCCACCCTTGCCTGCTCGTTCCAGGCCCCAGCTCCACCGTTCCTCAGGGCTCCCTGGGTCATCCGATGAGCATGTCACTGTGGCAGGGCACCCACATGACTCCCTTCCCTTCTTTCCTGTGTGGCCCTGCCCTGCTGGCTCCCTGGAGCTTTCCCAGCTGATGCTACCCCTGGCCTGCCCCAAGGCTGGCTCTCTAGCTCCCAAGGGAAGGGTAGCCCTCCAGGGTAGGGGCTGGGGGCTGTGCCCTGAGGCCTGGAAGACCCTCTCAAACCAGGGTAGGAGACAGTGCCTGGCCTCAAGTCAGGAAAGCTGTGAGTGGGAGGAGGGGGAAAGAGTTGATTATTCTTTTTTGTTGTTGTTAATCTCATTTGAGGATATTTTCTGCCATTAAGTTTTAGAGAATGGAAGGGAAGACAGAAAAAGAAACATGGATGTGAGAGAGACACATTGATTGGTTGCCTCGCTTTGTGGAGGTGCCCCAACCAAGGTCAGGGATGGAGCCTGCAGCCCAGGTACATGCCCTTGACTGGAATTGAACCCAAGACCCTTCAGCCTGTGGGCTGATGCCCTATCCACTGAGCCAAACCAACTAGGACAATTGTTCTTTTAAATATATTTTTACTGATTTCAGAGAGGAAGGGAGAGGGAGGAAGATATAGAAACGTCAGTGATGAGAGAGAATCACTGATTGGCTGCCTCCTGCATGCCCTATACTAGGGATCAAGCCTGCAACCTGGGCATGTGCCCTGACCAGGAATCAAACCATGACCTTCTGGTTCACAGGTCAACGCTCAACCACTGAGCCACACCAGCCGAGCTGGGGCGATTGTCCTTGAACTTAAACTCTGCCTTTTCCACCCAGCACAGCCATGGAGCTCTGCAGAACATCTCTCACCACCCTCCCTCCTCCTCCTTCAGCATCCTGCTGAGGAGCATGGGCTCAGGGTCAGGCCAAATCCGGTTCTAGAGTAGATTGCTTCACATCTACCCCTGTTTCCCCACCTATAAGGTGTAAATATGTAACGGCTAGGACCTCCTTCCATTGTGGGGATTAAAGTAGATCAAATAGCCCTTGCTGGTTTAACTCAGTGGATAGAGCATTGGCCTGGGAACTGAAGGGTCCCAGGTTCGATTCTGGTCAAGGACATATGCCCAGGTTGCGGGCTCGATCCCCACGGAGGCAGCGACAATGATTCTCTCTCATCATTGATGTTTCTATCTCTCTCTCCCCCTCCCCCTTCTTCTCTGAAATCAGTAAAATATATTTTAAAAAATAATAATAAAGTAAATCAAGTTGAGGGTGTTGTCCCAGGCCTAGCCCCTAGGGGCGTTCTCTGTTAGCGTCTGCTTAATCTCATTCCTTTCCAGAAGCAGAGGGCTTAGGGTTCGAGGCGGGAGCAGTTTTTCTTCTCCCCTATTAGAATTGAGCTTCCCTGTTCTGCCACCCCTTCTAGGCCCAGGGCCTCTTGCTTCCAGGACTTTACATGTCATGTCGTGTAATCCTCCCACACATTTGAGCAATGAAATACTATCCCTATCATTTTATGGGTGGAAAACCCAAGTTCTAAGAGGTTATGTAGCTTATTTGAGGTCACAAGGACTCAGGCCGGTCTGGCTGAAACCAAGTTCAAGTTCTTTTGTTATACCAGGTTGCCTAAGCGCAATGGATCTGCCCAGTGCCACCCACACCCACTGGCTCTGGAGAAAGATTTCTGGACCAGATCAATGCTGGTCCTGGTTTTGCTGCCCCCTGTGGAAGGTGCAGACAGTGCAGTTCTTCAGGCATATCTGACCCTCTTCTCTAGAGACCAGGTACCCCTGCTCAGGTCACTGTTTTCCATTCCTTCTTGGCCCCTTGCTAGCAACCTGCTTCTATCTCAGTGCCACTTGCCTGCCAGTATGTAGTTGAAAGGCATACACACACAGTAGATGATGGATGACACGGGTTATTTTATGATGATGATTTTTTAAAAATATATATTTTATTGATTTTAGAGGGGAAAGGAGAGAGAAAGAGAGATAGAAACATCAATGATGAGAGAGAATCATTGATCGGCTGCCTCTTGCACATCCCCTACTGGGGACCAAGCCCAAATTCCAGGCATGTGCCCTTGGCTGGAATCGAACCTGGGACCCTTCAGTCTGCAGTCCGACGCTCTATCCATTGAGCCAAACCAGCTAGGGCTATGATGATGATTGTATCTAGAAAGCTGGCATGGGGAGTGAAATCATTTTTCTGTGCTTAGGCCCTTGACATTTGGATGAGATAGAGCAAGGAAGGAACCTGTTAGAGCAGAGAAAAGTCACCTTGACATGCCCTTGGAGAAGACCCTCCTCATCCCTGACTGACCGTGGGTCTGAGCCTGTGGAGCCAGCTGGACAAACATCAGAGCCCCCCTGGTCTTGCATGGGCACCCTACTTTGTAATCCTCCCCACACATGTGAGCAATGAAATATTATCCCTACCATTTTATGGGTGGAAAACCCAAGTTCTAAGAGGTTATATACCTTATTTGAGGTCACATGGACTCAGGCCTGTCTGACTGAAGCCAAGTTCAAGTTCTTTTGTTATATCAGGTTGCCTAAGCGCAATGACTCTGCCCAGAGTTATATTGCTAGTCCCATCCTTGGCCCGTTCTTTCCTTCTAGAGAAGCTGGACAGGAAGTTCCTTCCCATCCCACCACAACCCTGGCTGGCTCTCTCTGAAGAAACAAAACCAAGCCAAGCATCCCACACAAACCTCAATCCCAGCCTTGGTTTGTTCTTGGCCCCAGTCAAATGTCATCCAGGAGCTGTGGGATGGAAGGGGAGGGAGAAGCTCAAGCCACCCAGGGGGAAGGGAGCGGGTCCCAGGGTTCCTTCATGCTCCTCCAGCTTTCAGGGGTCTGTCTTTAGCTGTGATCACTTCGTCTAAAATATATTTTAAAAAAATAATAAAGTAGCCGGGACCGGTTTGGCTCAGTGGATAGAGCGTTGGCCTGCAGACTGAAGGGTCCCGGGTTTGATTCCGGTCAAGGGCATGTACCTGGTTGCGGGCACATCCCCAGTAGGGGGTGTGCAAGAGGCAGCTGATCGATGATTCTCTCTCATCAATGTTTCTAACTCTCTATCCCTCTCTCCTAATAAAAAAAAAAATTAATAATAATAATAATAAAGTAGATCAAGTAGAGGTATTCAAGGACCAGGCCTAGCGGAGCTGCTACAGCATGGTGGGGCAGAGCAGAGCAAGACAGGGCTTCACCTCCTGGCAGGGCAAGCCCCTCAGGTAGGAGGGAGGGGACCTGTTGGGCCACAGGCATCAGTGCAGGAGCAGCACCTGAGAAAACCACAAGGTGGGAACCAGAGGAGGAGAAATTCCCCCGAGAAGAAGTAATGGAGACAAGTCAGCTAGAAAGACAAAAAGGAGGAAGGGAGAGGTTAGCAGTAGGTCTACATGATGAGGAAGGGATGTGAAAATCATGGCGGCAAACCGGAAAGCGGCAGCCTCTTCCCTTAGTGTCTTTCCCGGCATCGATTCCGATACTTTCTGTGCATGTGCATGTGCATGCCCCAGGGCCTGAATTTTTATGTCCAGATCCAGGCATAAGATTAGGAGCTAACAGCACACCAGGTATACTAAGCAGGACCTGGAGTGAGGTCCGTGCTTCTCAAACTTTGTGTTTGCCTGATAATCCCCTCGGCTTATTTGGGGGTGGGGCATGGAATCTTCCCCCAGGGGAGTCTGCAGTTTCACAAGCACCCCGGGTGTTTTGGGTGGAGGTGGCTCACGTTCCCACTGGAGACACACCAATGTAGAGCTCGTTCAAGGGGGGCAAAAAGCGGGAGGCTGAGGCAAGCGTACGCAAGGGCTGACATTCTGTTATGAAGAGAGTGAGCGTGGAGCGGGGTGCTGAGAGCTGTCCTCAACAAGGAGCCCACCAGTGGTTCTCACCTCGGGACAACTTTGCTCCCTGGGAGACATTTGACGATGTTTGAAGACATTTAAAGTCACAATTGCGGGGTGCGGGGTGGGGGGCTGGGAGGTGTGGCTCTGCCATCCAGTGGGTAGGGGCAGAGCTGCTGCTAAACACCCTACAATGTACAGGACAGCTTCCCTTCCCCCTTGTCCACACCCCTCAAGCACAACAAAGCATTATCCTGCCCCAATGTCAAAAGTGCAGATAGAATCCCAGAGGCAGCCAATTTCTTACCCACAGCCCTTCCCCCAGGTCTTGAACAAATACTTGCCCTGCGTGGCACCCGCTATGTAACGTTGTTACATGGCTAGCTGCTAAAATCACCATCGTTTGGATCCCTGACAAGATAAGCGCAGCCAGTGGGCCTTTGCATCTTTCCCTGCCCATCCATTTCTTCTCAGCCAGGCCTGGGGGAACCCAGAGGAAGCTTTGGTTGCAAGTCACAAGTGAAGGGTGCCACCCAGTGGTACTAGAGTTAACCACACCAGCAGGACGGGTTCCAAGACAGGAAACGATTAACAATAATTAGCTGGCTTTTACTGTGGAGACTTGAAGGAGGAAAACAGAAGACTATCCAAATGAGAACAAACAGAGGCTATTTATTCAGATCTTTCTACAGCAAGGGAGTCAGCCAGCATCACTTGCATTTGGCAAAGACTCAAGTACAAGTAAAGGCTCAAAAGCTAGTGGGAAAGGTTTACTGGGGGCCGGGGGTGTGTGTGTGAGGGGGTGGGGAATGAGGCTTCTAGTATGCCTAACTGCAGGCAAGTGGCACAGGGAAGGAAGGTGGAGGCGGGTCTAGTGTGTGATGGATTTGGAGAGGACATTTGGCTTTCTGTGGCTGGGTCCCGAGTTTGAAGTGGGGGTGTACATTAGAGAAGCTGGCAGCCACGGGCCGAGACCTGACTGTTCTGGGCCATTGCTGCTGAGACTGTGCGCCAGTGACTGGATATTCAGTCTCTTTAATTCATCAGTCACTCTAAATGCATTCTTGTGGTTGCTAATCCGGAAAGATTGCATAAAGTTACCAGGTGAGAAGCACTTGACTACCCTTACAAAGCTTGACTTAGGGTTCACACTTGATGTCTGTTGATGTGCATGACATCATTCTCCTAATGGACATTCACATGGGCCCCAGGAATCTTCCAATTTCACCTACTTGGGTAACTACAACTTTCTGAGGGGCGGCACCTTCACCACCACGGTTATCACCACCACCATCACTACCATCACCAACACTTCCTCCACCACCACCAGCTCAATGGTTCTCAAACTTTGTTCTTAGGACCGGAAGCGGCAGAAGCATGTAGGAAATTGTTAGAAATGCAAATTCTGGGCCCCGCTCCAGACTTGGAGAGAATCAGATACTGAGTATGTGACAGCTCTCAGGTTATTCTTGTGGGTGCTAAAGCGGAGAGCCACTGCTTCAGGTGAATTTCTAGGATGCCCTGATTTGATTTTATTTAAATATATTTATTGATTTTTTAGAGGAAAAGAGAGGGATAGAGAGTTAGAAACATCGATGAGAGAGAATCATCGATCAGCTGCCTCCTGCCTCCACTGGGGATGTGCCCGAAACCAAGGTACATGCCCTTGACCGGAATCGAACCTGGGGCCTTTCAGTCCGCAGACAGACGCTCCATCCAGTGAGCCAAACCAGCCTCGGCTGATTTTATTTTTTTAAATATACCTTCATTGTTGAAAATATTACAGTTGCCTCCCCCCCTTTTCCCCCTCGTGATCCCTTCCACCCCACTCTCACCCCCCAGGATGCCCTTATTTTAAGTCAGACATTCCACAGTGTATCCTCCAAATTTGTGAAACTATGTCTGTCATATGAAGTAGGAAGAGAAACAAAACTACTTTTATTATCTAAATAAACAAATAACATACGCTAACATTTATTGACGCAGGGTGCGAAACACGTCATAGCTTGTGGTTGGAGGCTCCAAGAGGTAAGGTAACTTGTCCCCAAGGTTATACAGATTACAGAGGGAGACTAAAACCAGGTTTATTTAGATCCAAAAATTTGCTCTTAATTTCTGTGGTACAGTAATTAAGACCTGTTCAGCTTTATTCAGACTCACTTCCCTCGTTAGCGTAAGAAGTAACAGAGGCCCAGAGACTTGCCCAGGGTCACATGGCTACCTCCTAATTAGCAGGCTAGAACCCAGGGCCTCTGGTTTCAAATGAAGTCCTCAGTAAGCCCTTTCGTGAATCAGAGGTATACAAGCATATCCCACACACCTTGGGAATGGAGTGGGTAAATAAACCAGTAGGCGGTTGGGAAGAGGATAATGAAAGGCTGGTCATACTTGAAACCAGGTGGTAGGGAGGACTTCTGTCTTGTGAACTGCAAAGAGGTCTGCAGCATCGTGTGGACGTGGGAAATGGATTATTAACAGGTGGCCCAAAGCCACTTCTCATTCCCGTCTGTATCAGCAGCCCAGGTCCCTAAGTTTTGTGCACCGCTTGGGGCTGCAGAGTGGCAGTCGCACTTCAGCAGGGGAAACCACACCTGGGCACGGGCTGTGTCTCTTTTTCTCTCCCCCGGGGCTCCTTCCACGCGTGAGGCCCACGGATCACCCTGGGCAGACCTCGGTGGAAGCCCCTCCCCCACATGCAGATGAAGGAGGGCACGTGGCCGTGGTCTCCAGGGCAGGCACCTCATGACCCCCACAGAGGACCTCTGGCCAGCCTGGCTGTGTTGGCTTATTTCCAAACTGTCTCTCTCCCCCTGGCTCTCTAGAACCACCTGACCTTCCTTTGGTTCTCCAACCTTAAAACAAACAACTCCCCCTCCAAAGCACACACACAAACCCTCACACCCTAACTCCTTTCTATTTGGGGGCTTTAGGGCTTTTTCCGTTGTGTCTGAACGCCCTCCCACTTCCAAAGTAGCCACATCCTATAGGTTCTCCCCACTCTTTCAGGGCTCTTGCCACACTTTGAAATTGCACCCTGTGTTCCCCCGTGTGGTATCCCTGTGTCATCAGTGTGTCTCCACTCCCCAGCTTAGCAGGGTATCTACCTCAATGCATACTACTGAGCCTTGATACACCTTCGAGTCAGCTTAAGAAATACTCATGGGGCTCAATAGTATTCGTTGAATGACTTATCTGTCCCACCTGGCTCCACGCCCCTCTCCCACTCACCCCCGCCCTTTCCACTGACACCTTTGTAGCTCTCCCTACAGCTCTGTGCCCAGTTCTCCACGCAGGGCGTGGAGCCAGGTGGACAGAAGCGCCCTCCCCTGCAGCGGCTAAGGCCGGGCGGCGTCAGGGGCGGGCACCAGCCGGACTAGGAGCAGGACTGGGTTTAGACTGCATGTGAGCTTCGTGGGTCCTGGCAGAGCGGCCCCACTTTTAAGAGGAAGCCAGTCCCCAAGGTCCAAACACGTTGCCCAAATTGATGCAGCCTGGGCCCCCGCATTGAAAACTTACCGGTGTTGACAACCGGCTTGCAATTCATGGCCCGCTTCAGGGTTCCCATGATTTGTGGGCGAGCTACCGAGATGTCAGCGGAAAGGGGGGCGGAGGGGCGCGGGGCGCGCGTTTGCCTTCTGTGCTGGACCTGGGGCCCAGGACCCGAGGGCGGCGGGTGCCTCAGCGCCGCTCCGTACCACGTCCGCTTTAAGGGGCCGGGCCAGCGCGGCGGGCGGGCGGGGCGCTCCCGGAAAACGCGGGCCGCGCGGCCTCGGAGCCCGGCCGTCCGCCCTCCGCGCCCGACCCCTGGCCTCCCGCACTCCCTCCCGGCTCTCGGCGCCGGCTCCCCGGCCCTCCGCACCCTCTCCCGGCTCTCAGTACTCCGATCCCCGGCCCTCCGCACCCTCCCCCGGCTCTCAGCGCCGGCTCCCCGGCCTCCTGCACTCCCTGCCGGCTCTCGGCGCCGGCTCCCCGGCCTCCCGCACTCCCTGCCGGCTCTCGGCGCCGGCTCCCCGGCCCTCCGCACCCTCCCCTGGCTCTCGGCGCCCAATCCCCGGCCCTCCGCACCTTCTCCCCACTCTGGGCGCTCCGATCCCCGGCCCTCCGCACCACCTCCCGGCTCTCGGCGCCGGATCCTCGGTCTTCCGCATCCCCTCTCCGCTCTCGGCGCCGCGACCCCCTACGCCGGGCCTCTGAGCTTCGACCCTCGGCTGCACCTTCAACCCCGACCCGACTCCACCCCCTCCAGCCCCTCCGCATTCCAGCTCCGGGCGGGCGCCGGTCCACGCGGGCGGCCTCGTGCGGGCCGTGGCTCGCCGGGTGCCTGCGGCCGCCGGTTCTGTCCTCCCCTTCGCGGCAGCGGCTGGCCCTGGGCCAGGCTGTGTGTCTGGCTTGGCCCCTCCGGTGCTCACAGTGGGTCACGTTCTGAAAGCCCCGTAGGCACAGCCCGTCTGAGCGGAGGCCTCCAGCGGCCTCAGGCTTGGGGCCAAGGGCCGGTGCTCGGAGGGAGGGAACAGGGCGTGGGGCCGGGTGGGACCGATGCGCCCTCCCCTCCGGTGGCTCCTGCGGCTCCTGCGGCTAAGGCCCCGCAGCGCTGTGCGGCCTCTGGGGCGGTGCGGCCCGGCCCCCGCCGGATTAGGAGCTGGGCTGGGCTTAGACTGCACATGAGCTTCGTGGGACCTGGCTGCTGCTGCCCCACATTTAAGTGGAATGCTCAGCTGTGGTCCCGACTCGTGTCAGCCTGGTGAACATAGGTAGGTGCCCTTTAAGCTGAGGGCAGGCAGCTGGGAGAGGATGGTGACTCCCTGGCGCTTCTCTGTCAGGCTCTGCTTGTCACACCTAAGGGGTTTTGAGCTCCGAAAGGGATTCAGTCTTTTCAGACCCTCCAGACGGAATTCCAGACTATGCTGGCTTCTGCTTGGCACTTTGCCCAAATTTGTCTCTGTCCGTGGGGACATTGGCGACGGGGCCCCTGAGCCCTTGGGTCGGCGAAGGGCCAGCTGGGTTGAACTGGCGGAAAATGGGCCGCTGGAAAGAGTGCCCCACGAGGGGCGGCTCGGCTGCCTCCTCCTGTACCTCCGGATTGGGCTCCGCGCTGGGGCTCTCCTGGTGAAATTCTTCCCCCTCCTTCTACTCTACCCTCTCACCTACCTGGCTCCCAGCATCTCCAGCCTCTGGCTCTTCCTGCTTCTGAAAGCCACCGAGACGTCAGGCCCGACGTACATCAAACTGGGCCAGTGGGCCAGCACCCGGCGAGACCTTTTCTCAGAGGCGTTCTGTGCCCAGTTCTCCAAGCTGCATGTCCGGGTGACCCCACACCCTTGGAGTCACACGGAGCACACCCTGCAGCAGGCCTTTGGGGAGGACTGGGGGAAGGTCCTGTGCTTTGAGAAGCAGGAACCTGTGGGTTCAGGCTGCGTCGCCCAAGTGTACAAAGCGCGTGCCAATCCTGTCTTCCTGGAGAACGACAGCATCCAGAGACTCGCCCAGGCCTCCAGGCTGCGGCCTTGCTCAGAAGCTGGGGCACTGGAGGGGCCGAGAGCACTCTTTGGACACCTGGAGAAGGAATGGAGATCTCAAGGAAGTCTTGCTGACCAGTCATTTCTAGAAAGACTGCTTCTCCCTAAAGCCGACCTGGCTGGATCGGACTCAGTGGTGTCTCAGGCTTTGGCGCCTGCCCACCTATCTGAACCACATCACCTCATCCCCGTGGCAGTGAAAGTAAGTGCTCTGATGTCTTCAGAGGGCCCTTCCCATCTCTAAAAGCTCACTAACCCCGCGGAGCTGCCCTAGGTCAGGAACCCCTCTTTTGCCATTCACCCCCACATTGCCTTCCACTGACTTCTGTTAGCTTGGCTATTATCTGAGTGTGTATGAGGGGCAAACTGTTTTGTTTCTTGGCTTGAGGGAGAGGTGGTGGTGTGATAGTCTCATAAAAGGGAAAATAAGTGGGTTTGGAGTTCACTGCCTCTGTGGGTGGAGAAACCACCGTCTATCACATGTGTCAAACACAAGGCCCGCGGGCCAAATCCGTCCCGCCAGGCCTTGCAATGTGGCCCGCACTGCGCTGTCATCACTGCACTCCGCTGCGTTTCCATCACAATGACAGTTTATGACTGTTCAGTAAACCATTCGACCCGCGATTTAGGCTGGATTTTAGATTTTGGCCCCTTCTCTGATTGAGTTCGACACCCCTAGCTGATCTACTGCTCTGGGGTCAGGATACATTGGCAACAGACTAGGTTGGACATGCTGTGACGAGCCCAAGGTGGCAGTGTTCCTTTTTACAGAGGTGGCTTTCTTTTCGCTGCATTTTCTGCCTTCCCTGCCTGGGCTCCATTATTGTCTCCACACTTTCCCACTCCCATTCAGCATTACCCAGGGGATCTGGCAGACCCAAGTAGCAGGTATTCCTGATGATCTCTTTTACCTCCTTGGGAAAAACTCTCCCACATTTTCACCAAGCACCCTGTGGTGACTTTTTTCCACTTTTTGGAAGCCACTGATCCAAACGTAATATATTTAGGAAGAAAGCTAAGTGCAGTGCAGAGGAGCTGCCTTTAGCATCTCCTCAGAGAAGGCACAGCACACGGGAATGAGGGAGGCAAGAGCATCCTGGGTATTGGGACTACTTCCTCTTTGCTCTGATGAGAAGTCAGCTGGTTCTCCTTTGGTGGTACGACCCAGCCCTGGCTAAATGAGCATGCCTTCATGATCCCTCCTCTGTCTCACTGTTCCTCTTTCTGGCAGGTATTGCACCCTGGCCTGCTCTCTCAGGTGAAAATGGACCTGCTGCTGATGAAGATGGGCAGCCAAGTCCTTACACTTTTGCCAGGAATCAAGTGGCTTAGCTTGCCTGAGATAGTGGAGGAATTTGAGAAGCTCATGGTCCAACAGGTGAATTTCCTTTCCCTTGGTTATAAGTAGCATGTAAAAGAGTTCTTGCCATTAGCAGCTGTTTAGTAAATGCTGGATGAATGAGTGATTTCCCAGTGGGTCACCTAGTAGGGTATGTTAGTCAGGGTAGACAACACTAGTTGATACAACAAAGAGCACCCAATCTCAGTAGCTTAATGCAGCAAGGTTATTGTTTGTATCAAAGTTCCATGCAGGTGAACTGAAGGAGAGAGGAAACTCTACACCAGAGTTATTCATGGACCCAATTTCCTCCCAAGTTTGGCACTGCCATCTACAACATGTGTCATGTAGGGTCAGCGTGGAATTGGGGGAAAAACCATGGAGGACCATGTGAGAGATTTTGTGGCAGGCCTGGAAGTGATGAACGTCACTTCTTCCTAGTGATGGTCTAAGGGTCAGCTTTAATCACATAGGCCCTGCAAGGGTGCTTGGGAAACACAGTCTTCCTTAGTGCCTGGCAGGAAAGTGAAACCATCCTGGTGGAATATACAACATTATCCCTAAGTGCCACAATCAGTGGCTGAACATTAGGGTGGTAAGAAGAATTAGGTTAAGTCACAGTGCCTTGTTTAGCTTTGTTTCCAGGGCTTTTGAGTAGACAAGGACCTCCTCCTTCAGGACTTGGGGACAGCTGTTTAAGTAGCCAGGCTTGGTAAATACACTTTGGGGGCCTTCAAGGCTCCAAGCAGGCATCTGCCCTGGCTCCCTGTTGGTAGTGCAGAGATTGGCAGACTTTCAGAAGAAAAGTGCCACGTCTTCATTTAGGACCTTGGATATAATGAGAAGCTGATGAACTAAGAAAACAAGTGAGCTTTTCCTGTCCATAGGAATATATTGTAGGCAGAGGGGCAGACCTATAAATACTTGCAAAAAGAGTTTGATCAGAGTTACAGTAGGAGTCTCCACTGTAGGAGTCTCCACAAGTTTAGTTGGGGCTCAAGAGAGGAGTTGGTCATTCCATCTTGAGGGTCAAGGCTCCCTTGGCTCAAGTTGGACCTTGAAAGGTGAGTGGTATTTACAGTTGGACCAAATGGGGGGAAGACATTCCAATCAGAGGGAATAAGGAAGGCAAAGGATGGGGGTAAGTCAGCAGGCTGGGGTGTTCAGCACCAAACAATTGGGTGAAGCTAGAGTTTTGGGCAGTAGAGGAAGGGGGAGGCACAAGAGATGGACCTGAAGAGAGAAGTAGGGGCCAACCCATGACCTGCCTTGGATGTCATCCTAAAGAATTTAGACTTCATTCTGCACACAGTAGGGGACACCAGCAGAGTGTCTAGGGAAGGAAGATGAGGGGTCAAGAAGCCCAGCTCAGATGCCTCTGTTCAGGTGACTTCTTGTGAGTCACTCTGAGGGTGGCAGTGGGGTGGAAAGGGAGAATAGATCCGAGAGTGGTTAGGCCTGCAGAGCTGATGACACTGAGCACTGATGGGTGTGGAGGGTAAGAGAAGGAGTAATCTGCAGTGACTCTCAGGTGACTGGGTACATGTGGGTATGTATGCAAGTAAATTCTGTGTAGACACTGAGTTCAAGGGTCCCTGTGGACTTCCACAGGGCAATGTCCAGATGGACTTCAATATAAGTCCAGAGACTTGGTCGGGGGGACTGGATGGAAGTCAAGGTTCTGTCATCAAGAGGTACCAGCTGAGGATATGAGGGGATGGAGAGGAAGAGCAAAGCTGGTGAAGGTCAGGAGCTGAGAGATACCAGCATCTTTAGGGCACCTGAGGAGGAATGGCTGGGATCCCAGATCCAGATAGGGCAGTTGAGAGGCAGGGGTGAAAGCTGGGATAGTGAAAACTGGTTCAGGAAAAATGAGGTATTAATAGTTAATTAGGATAAAAATGGGACTGCACCTTTGACTCTGGCAAGCAAAACACTTGGTGAGTTGGGGAGAGCAGTGTCAGTGCAGTGGGTGGAAGTGAGCCTTAATCAAGGGAAAGGGCTGGAGTCCTGACCAGTGTGCTCAGTGGTTACGAGTGTTGGCTGGGGTCTGGGGGCAGGGGCTAGTGTTGGCCTGGGTGGCAGTGGTGTGGAGAGGCCACAAGCTGAACCCCTGGGAGATGGGGGAGGCGTCCATTGGCTGGTGTGAAGAGGGTGGGCAGGGCAGGAAGAGCGGAGAAGCAGGGAAGCCCAGGTAATGCCATGGTGTCTGCTGTCTGTGGCTCAGAGAGTTCAGGAGGAGGTTGGGGACTTGGGAGGAGACCTTCAGCCACAGAATGCCTCCTCCCATGTCTCCCGGGGAGCTGTGTGCAGGAGAAGCCGGTGACTCTGTGACTGGCTAGCTCTTTGGCAGTTCAGACGTTGTTATCCCTGTGCCCCGACTACCCATTCATCTTTTCTCTTCACTTCCCTGCAGATCGACCTGCGTTACGAAGCTCGGAATCTCGAGCACTTCCAGTCCAACTTCCTGAACGTGAAGTCTGTCAGGTTCCCCACCCCTCTGCATCCCTTTGTCACCAGGGATGTTTTGGTGGAAACATATGAAGTAAGAATCAGAACTTACCTGGCTGTGCCTTTCACTCGCAGCTGGGCTGTGTCTGCTTCACTGTGTCTGCAAAACTTGGTGGTTTTAGTCTGCAAAGACAAAAGCCAAGAGAGAGCAAGTGATTACATGTGCGAGGACTTCCGATGTGATCCGAGGTGGGCAGTAGCATAGTGAGGTGGCTGAGAACCAGGGTGTGGCCTCTGTCTTTCTGGATTTGAAAGTCTGCTCTGCCACTTTTAAGTGTGGAATGACTTCAGTTTCTTCATGTATGACAGCAGGCCACTCTTCCAGCCTCATGGAATTCTCCCAGGATCAGTGACACACAATGCAGAGTTTGACAGAGAAAGTGCTCAAGTGTTTGTATCATGTCACCGGGGCCATCTCCTGCTCCAGCCTCCTTTGTAAAGATGGTGATATGAGGTGCAGGGAAGTAATGCCACCTCCCAAAGTTACTAGCTGTGTAGCCTTGAGCAAGTTACTTAACCTCTCTGGGCTTTCGTTTTTTTATTTATTTATTTAAATATATTTTATTGTTTTTTTTATAGAGAGGAAGGGAGAGGGATAGAGAGTTAGAAACATCGATGAGAGAGTCATTGATCAGCTGCCTCTTGCACACCCCCTTCAGTCTGCAGGCCGACCCTCTATCCACTGAGCCAAACTGGTTTCGGCGGCTTTCGTTCTTTTATTTATTAATTAGGGATAACAAAATCTATCTCAGTGGGCTGCTCTGACACTTAACTAACTAACCTATATGAAATGATTATTTACTCGCTCCCCTTTCTTCTCTTTTCCCCCTTTGCCCCTGTTTTCTTTTTCTTTTTCTTTTCTCTTTTTTTTTTTTTTTGCACAAGGTTGTTTAATTTACCGTATCTAATCTTGTCAAGATAAACATTCACAATACTAAATATTTAAGAAATAAAGAAAATTAATCATTGATTCATACCTTCAATGAAATTGTGGTTACTTAATTTTAACCACAGAGAAAGACAAATACCATATGATTTCACTTACATGTGGAATCTAAAGAACAAAATAAATGAACAAAAAATAGAAATAGACTCATAGATACAAAAAACGTACTAATGGTTGACAGAGGTGAGGGAGGCTGGGAGATTGGATGACAAAGGAGAAGGGGTTGAGAAGTACAAATTGGTAGTTACAAAATAGTCACAGAGGTGCAAAGTACATCATAAGGAATATAGTCAATAATATTGTAATAACTGCTGAAACCAGTTTGGCTCAGTGGATAGAGCATCGGCCTGTGGACTGAAGGGTCCCAAGTTCGATTCTGGTTAAGTGCTCCTGTTTTCTTGCTCAAGGTCACAGAATTTATTCATGTGTCTATTGGCTGGTTCTTGACCTGTTCTCTCTTCCCACCACATTGTGACATCCTTACCTGTGGGTGGCAGAGTCAATGGTTTTCCTCTCTAATAAACCTGTGGGACTTGTTTTCCTTTGAGAAGTATTATGGAAGGGAAATGTAGATAGGTTAAAATCAGCTCGTGGGTGACAGACTCATAGAGGCTCTAAGAAAGGGAAAAACTCTTTGGGTCACTTTGTAATCGACGGGGAGACAACAGCACGTGCGCCGTGGGGATGAGGAGCAGAGCTGTCCAGGGTAAAGCTGTTCCCTCCCTGATCTTCTTAAAGGAGAGCGTGCCCGTGTCCAGTTACCAGCAGGCAGGGATTCCCGTGGACTTGAAGAGGAAGATTGCTCGGCTGGGGATCGACATGCTCCTGAAGATGGTGAGCTCGTGGGCTGGGAGAGGGTGCTCAGGCTTGGCATGTGACCCAATTGCATGTGGGAAATGGTGGGGACACTGCTCAGTGACCCCGCGTGGAAGGCAAGGCCAGTGTAGAGTCTGCTCTAAACACAGCCGAGCCTACCATTCATTCTACAGCTCTCTGTTAAGCACTTTCCCACTGTGGGAAGGGTGGGGAACAAGATCCAGGCCCACTCCTAGTTGCCTACAAATAGCCTAAGACAACATCGTATATTCCATGCTACTTCCTTCATTCATTCAGCAAGTATGTATTGAGCGTTTGTTATGTGTTAGACAGTGCTGGCTTTACAGTAGTGAGCAAAGAGACAGGATTACAGTGTTCACAGAACCGCTGGCCAGTGGGAAGACTTTCCATGAGTAAGTAAGTCATACACAGAGTAGGTACAGGCACCAAAGAGCCGTTTCAGAGGGGCCTGACCTAGTCCAGGGATTTATTCAGAAAGTGGCTTCAGATAAGCCGGCAAGGGAGGGAAGCCTAGGCGTCACCTATGACGGGACAGCCTGACAATGATTAAATGAGTCGACAATCAGAATAGGACATAGTGAACCCTAAGCAATGTTAATTATCAGCATCATTAGTAGTGCTTGTGGCAACGCAGCGTTGCTAGCAGCTCACATGCAGGAGCAAAGAAAGAAGATGATACTTGTTGAGGGTCTGAGGCCTTCGTGGTGGTTGACACAGAGTGTTTGAGGGATGGATGGCAGGGTCTAGGCTTGATAGGACGAGTGCCCAGGTCTAGAGGGTGCAGAGTTGGGATAAGAAGGAACCAGATATGTGGTCTGAGAGTAGGAGGAAAGAATTGATATGACTGAGATGGAGCTCTGCGGCTGAGGTGAGCAGGATGGTAGTGGGTGCAAGCTGACAGCATAGTGGAAGCTTAAGCGCTTCTGCAGAGAGGGCTCAGGGCTGGGAGTCCTGACTCCACCTTCAGCCCCAGATCAGCAGCCCCACCCAAGGGGCTCCTGAAGAAGAGAGGTTGTAGTGGGAGAGCCAGGTTTCCACTTGGTACAGTGGAAGCTCAGTTGATAGAGGCGCCAAGGGGCATTGTGGGTAGAGGGGAGGGTGCAGTGGGATTGATTGATAATTTTATTTTTTTTATGATTAGATAATGATTAGATAATTTTATTTTTTTAATCCTCAGCCAAGGTTATATTGGGTTATTTTTTTTGGGGGGGGGGTTATTTTTACTGATTTTATTTTTTAAATATATATATTTTATTGATTTTTTTTCAGAGAGGAAGAGAGAGGGATAAAGAGTTAGAAACATCTATGAGAGAGAAACATCGATCACCTGCCTCTTGCACACCCGTACTGGGAATGTGCCAGCAACCAAGGTACACGCCCTTGACCGGAATCGAACCCGGGACCTTTCAGTCTGAAAGCTGACACTCTATCCACTGAGCCAAACTGGTTTCGGCCTGATTTTACTTTTGTAAAAAAAATTATTTTTTTAAATTTATTTCAGAGAGGAAGGAAGAGAGAGATAGAAACATCAATGATGAGAAAGAATCATTGATCGGCTGCCTCCTCCATGCCCTCTAGTAGGGATCTAGCCTGAAACCCGGGCATGTGCCCTTGACTGGAATTGAACCCAGAACCCTTCAGTCCACAGGCCAACGCTCTATTCACTGAGCTAGGGCTTTTTTTTCTTCTTTTTCTTCTGATTTTAGAGAGTGGGGAGGGAGGAATGGAGAGAAAGTGGGGCGGTAAGTGGGGGGGCAGGAGAGAAATATTGATGTATGAGAGAAACATTGACTGGTTGCCTCCTGTACCCATTCCCACCAGGAATTGAACCTGCAACCTTTCATATTTCCTATAATATTTTTTAATGCTCTTCTCTTTGAAAATAACTTTTCTCTTGAAAACATCAACCAGTTAACGTAAAAAACAAAACACACATTGAAATCTGTAAAGAATTTTTGTGAATTTATTTGAGCCAAAATGTCATCATATATCGGGAAGCAGAACCTCAACGAATTGAGATAATGCTCCTGAGAATGGCAGGTTACATCTGCATTTATACATTGCAATCAAAGGAGACGTACGTGGGTTACATGAAATCCATTGGTGACAGACTAGAGAGGCGAGAGAAAGCAAAGTGGGGAAACCCCTGGGCTTGGATAAAAAGTAAAATGATAGACACATACTTAGGTGGGTGAAGGAACAATTAACATAATAATGAAAAAGTTATGGTATCTGTCCTGGTGCCCAACAAATTTGGTTTTGCCCCAGGGGGTCCGGAAAAAGGGAAGTTACGAGTTACCAGACATTTCAAGGGCATGTTATCCTAGATGCAAAAAGACAGATAGGCTCAGTTAAGGTAAAGGTTGACCTTGTCAGTGAAGATAGGGGCCTAGGATGTAACTGCCCACCCATGACTGCTTTTAGTTAAAGTTTAATTTCAGACCATCCTTTGTGATTACTGTAGGTCTCCAAGTTTGCAAGAGGCCATGCAGGCCTCCCCTGAGCTTGTCAGGTCAGCATATGGCCCCTTTTGTCCGCAAACCTATCCTGTCCCTATACAAATTATGAACTGATATCATCAGACAATGAATTAATTTATCAAATGTATACTTCCCTGCCATGGATCACTGGGAACATACCATCATCCTGGAAGCTTTTCCTGGTGGTGATGGGGTGGTGAGGGTTGATTTAGCCTTGAGGAGTGCTGATCTCTTTCCAGATATTTGTGGACAACTTTATCCATGCGGACCTCCACCCTGGGAACATCCTGGTCCAGGGTGCCGATGCTCTTTCCCAGAGCCAGGAGGCACGGCTGCAGCAGGTGGATGCCTGTGACACACTGTTGGTGTCCATGACGCCTGCCCGGTGCCCCCTGCGCCTGGTGCTCCTGGATGCTGGTATTGTGGCTGAGCTGCGAGCTGCTGACCTGAGGAACTTCCACGCAGTTTTCATGGCCGTAGCGATGGGGCAGGTGAGACCCACTGGGCCCTTGGGAGTTGGGCCCAAATCCTTGAAGCTCTTGAGAACTTTAGAGCTCTTCAGCCTTCGTTCTTCTTCTTCTTTTTTAAAATATATTTTATTGATTTTTTACAGAGAGGAAGAGAGAGGGATAGAGAGTTTGAAACATCGATGAGAGAGAAACATCCATCAGCTGCCTCTTGCACACCCCCTGTTGGGGATGTGCCCGCAACCAATGTACATGCCCTGACCGCAATCGAACCTGGGACCTTTCGCAGGTTGACGCTCTATCCACTGAGCCTAACCGGTTTCGGCCTTTGTTCTTGTAAATGCCGTGTTTGCCATGGGTGCTCCCAGCAGAAACATCACTGGTCTTTAGTCAGAAGGTGCTGGTGCCCGTGACGGAGGCTACTTCCAAGCAGCTCGTGTTTTGGGATGGGAAGAAATGCCTCCTTCCCAAATGCTGTCGTGCAGTTATGGTAGTTCGTATGGTAGTTTCTCTTCCTTCTTCAACAAGCGTTAGGTGGGCACTCTGGCTAGCTCCTGCTCAGGAGCCTGGGCCATGGTGGCAGGTGTGGTGGGGCATGTTCCCCTGCACAGGCTTGGGTGGACGAAGGTCACAGCCAGAGGAGGGATGTGAAAGGCACTGGCAGTGACGACCAGGGTAGGTGGGTGTGTGGGGAGGCCATGGAGGCTTGGGTAGAGGGTGTCCTGGCGGAGGGGTGTCCTGGGCAGAGGAGGAGTGAGAAGGCTGCAGCACAGAGGCTGTGAGGAGGGAATTCCGCTGGGGCAGGAAGGGAGCCCATGAGGACAATGTGGCTGGTCCAGCTCGGTGACAGGTCCTGGTGGCTCTGAGGCTAGGCTGGGTTGGTCAGCAGTGGCCAAAGGCAAGATAGAACTAGGTGGAAACAACTAGGATAGGAAGGAGTGTGGGCAGATCATTTCATTTTGTGCCCTCCTAGCTCTACTAAATTTCTTTTTTATTTTTATTTTCCAGGGCCAAAGAGTGGCCGAGCTCATCCTGCATCACGCTCGGGCCAGTGAGTGCAAGGACGTGGAGCGATTCAAGGCGGAGATGGCCACACTAGTAACGCAGGCCAGGAAGAACACTATCACCCTGGAAAAGGTGAGCAGGCCACAGAGGGGCAGGGCTGAGTACTGCCCTTGCCCTTGGCCAGAACAAACCCCAAACTGAAGGGAGATCTTTTAATGGGGAGAAATATGGAGGGGGTTCGAGTTTTAAGGCAGATAAAACTGCCCACATCTCCGAGGTGTGAGGAGGCCCACTGGAATCTCTTGACTCTCAAGAGTGGCTCCTTGACCAGGTTCCCAGGGTGCCTTCTGGGGCATGACATATATATAATGTCACACCCCGGCCTGTCTGGGTTGTAGCTGTTCTGCCGATTCTTCTGTATCTCGAGCTCAGCTGAGCTTGAAGGGATGGATGACGGTCTCTGAGTGGCCAGAAGACATACCCGATGTTCACATCCTATATTTAGAATTGAGTTCAATTTGTATTTTACACTCAGTTCTACCAGAACTGAGTGTTTTCTCAAGTTCATGGCTACACTAGCAGGATCGAGTCAGAGCTGCAGCTGGCACCCAGGTGCTGCTGATCCTCCTTATTCAGATGTGGTGTGTGTGCTGGGGAGACCCACTGGGTGAGCCGGGCCTCCAGGCCTCTTCCTGGAAGGAGCCTTTGAGCTCAGGCTCCTTATTCTCGAGATGAGAGTAGGGCTTGTGCATGAGCAGTCCTTCTGGAGTTAGACAGGCTCTTTCCACTCACTGGTGTGTGTGTGTGTGTGTGTGTGTATGTGTGTGATGGGAGGGACGGGATGTTGGGGGAGGACGGGACAGGGGCCTGGGAGAGAAGTAATTGGGGGTGGGGTCTGCACTCTCTGCAGTCAGTTTTATTCTCTTTTCCAGCTCCAAGTTTCCAGCCTTCTCTCGAATGTCTTTAGGTTACTGATGACTCACAAGGTGAGGCCCCTGGCAGAGCTGAGCCTCTCTGCTCTGGCCAGGCTGCAGGGGAGGTCTCTGGGGAAGCTGATGGGTGGCCATTGAATCATGAGAAGTACTCTTCCTATATGAGATCTCGTTTTTTAAAAACATTTCCCGTACCACTTCATTAGCATGAAGAGTGCTGCTTCTGTGTACTAACTAGGTACAGAAGGTTCTTCCTTGTCACGATGTTGGTCTATGTCTCTGTAAGGCTGAGCTGTCCAAGTATCTGTGACTCTGAGCTGTAGAGAAGTGGATTCACAGATGTAAACACCATCTAATGAAAGCGGTACACATGCATGATGCGTGGTACTATTCTACGTCATTCTTACACAGCTCTTTCCTGAGCAGTGTAAAATCTTAAGGCTAGGCTGGCCCAGGAGGAGGTGCCTCTTGACCTGGTGTGTTCAGAGACCCAAGCACAGCTGTTGTGGCCTCTGTCTCCTGCCCGTTCCTCGGAGGGACATGGCCTCACAGTTCTCCACCTTGGCTTTTTTCTGTCTCCTTGTGATGGATGTGGTCTTGGGTTATTCTTCAAAGTAAAGCTGTCAGCCAAAGGTCTAAGGAGTTGAGGGCAGGGCAGGGCAGGGCAAATTCTAGTCTGAAGATGGCCTTTCCCAGTGTCTCTCTTGAGGTTCTGCAATCCGATAGTGAAATACTGCATTTGGCAAGGGTCATAATATAGAATTAAGAGTCAGAAAGATGGCTGGTCAGAAGAATGATCCTTATTTAGATTTACAGTTTCTGGTATATCGCTGAGATAATAATTTTATTATTTTTAAGTCATATGAACACACACACATACCTAGAAAGGTACATATCACACTCCCCAGGTTTTTCCTTAGTGATAGTAGATGGGAGGTTGGGTGAGTAGATGAGATGGTGGGTAAATGATGGGGAAGGGAAAAGAGGGTTAGGGAGACAGTGAAAGTCACATGGACGGGTATAGGAGGCTGAGAGCAGACGGCTACATGGTTATCCAGAACTCTATATATCAATGGGCTTTGGGAAGAACCCACTTATTTTCTCTTTCAGGTAAAGCTTGAGAGCAACTTCGCCTCCATTGTGTTTGCCATCATGGTGCTCGAGGGGCTTGGTCGCTCACTGGACCCCAAACTGGACATCCTGGAGGCAGCCATGCCCTTCCTGATGAAAGGGCCAGTGTCTTCCTTCTGACTGGCAGTGGCAAAACGCAAGCGTGCAGTGGGCCTTCCTCTCGGAACTGAAGGCTCCTCTCAGCAGCCTCTCCTGGGGCAGTGAGAACTTACAAATTGGGATGTGGTGGAGGGAATGCATTGCTTTTCTCTCTGATTTGGCTTTAGGCATCTGTTTAAATGGTTTTGTGCTATTTGGGGAAGTAAAGGGAGGGGAGATTCCTATCTATTCAGTTGTAGGAGCTGGACCTGATGGGAGACTATTTCAAGGAAAAGGACGAATAAACTCGTTATTTTTTCTTCTTTTTCTCTCTTCTTAACTCTGTAATCCCTCATCAGGTATGTCTATCTGGCCTTTGATAATTAAGTTAGAAAATGTCATACTATCTTGTATAGATCCATGGCTTCCAATTTTTAAATGTACCCTTATTGGTAAAAAGTTGAATATATTTCTGTACACATACATATATATTTATATATTATATGCAGGTGACAATGTACACTGACAAACATCTGGAGGTACAATGTACACTTAGGGCAAATTTCACTGTATTTCAAATGATCTTCTTTATACTTTTAAATATTTTTGCTAACTTCTTGCTAAATTTTATTACAACGGGAAAAAGGAGAAGCAACAATTAACGTGGCTGATATCGTAGGGAAAGGAGCAGAATCAGCTCTGCCTTCTTGCATATTAGTTTTCAGATTGTGGTTCCTCTGAGCAATGTTCAGGCCCTTGTGCATTTGTCTAGGGCTAATTTAGGTTAATATTAACATATAGATATTATAATCAGCACAGCTTCTTAACCAGGACTTGAAATCAGCAGGAGCACCCATGACACTCCGGCAGTGAATGAAGGGGTGGTGGGCACTGCCTGCCCCTCTGTGCCGGGCCGACCCACAGACTGATTCCAAAGCTGCGGGGGGTAAAAAAAAAGCACAGCTTAAACAAAAGAGCAGAGAACTTGGGAGGGAAGATCTGGAGTTCGTCCAGATCTCAGCTCTGCCAGTTATTAGCCTAGAAATTTGGACAGGTCCCTTTCTCTGAACATCAGTGCCCCTCATCGTAATTTGAGTCCTTTAAGAATCCACAGTGACTGGCCCACAGCATGTACTCAGGAAAATTTCATTCCTTTATTGTACCTTCCTTTCCTGATAGGAAAAGCTTGATTCAGAGTAACAAATTCATTCACCTCCATCTTTTTTTTTTTTTTTATGGGAGTGTTTATTATTTTTTAAAATATATTTTTATTGATATCAGAGAGGAAGGGAGAGGAAGAGATGGAAACATCAATGATGAGAATCATTGATCAGCTGCCTCCTGCTGGGGATCGAGCATGCAACCCAGGCATGTGCTCTCAGCCAGAATTAAACCCAGTACCCTTCAGTTCATAGGCCAACACTCCATCCACTGAGCCAAACCAGCCAGGACTCCCCATCTTTCTTGCTGAATTACCTCCCTGCCTGGTTAGAATGCCCTCCCCTCAAGATTGGGAAATAAAAATATCTCCACCCCTCTGGGAAAAACTACCAAAGGAATCTCTGCCCAACTAAACATTACTTGCTCCCTAAAAGACAGAAACAAAGAACTTTATCCTTGAGGAGAGTGAAAGAATCTAGTCCTGTGGCCAGAGCAAGACTTCAGAGAACAGGAAGGCTGACTTTTCATTGTCTAAAGCAGTGGTCTCCAAAGTGAGCAAGAGAATGCTATTTTATTTAGAAAATTTAGAAATTTAAGCTTTACCAATATCTACTCTACAATCTGACCCTGGGATCTTCTTAGTCCATGTGGACCAGCCACATGTCAGATCTGAACGAACTCCAGATCTTCACTCCCAAGTTCTCTGCTCTTTTTTGTTTAAGCTGTGCTTTGTTTTTGTGGCTTTGGAATCATAGCATTGTTCTTTGCTGGGAGCTATATGGCTTGGGCAGCCAGTTCTCTAGGAAGATGGCAAGCTTCCTCCTCCCATTTCATAAACGAAATTTCTTTCTTAGTGTTTTGTAGCTTTCACCAGAAAGGATAAGTGGCAAATGGTAGTGCAGACAAAGGTAGACTATTGCATAGCAAGTGGGAAGTCCTCATCCAGAGAAGAGTGGAATCTTCCCTCTAATTTATATTCTAAGTTAAGAGGGCGGGAGAACAGGGCCAGAGGATAAATCAATAAGACTGTCTTCAAGGGCGGGGGCAGCTCAGCAATCTTTATGTGGGCCACACTCCCGAGAGGTTCACAAAGGACCTGACAACTGAAAGGAAGGCAGCTAATTCAGGAGCAGGAGGCCGAGGAGCAGGTCCAGGTTGGGAAAATACCATTTAGATGAGCACAGGTAGGGAGGAGCGAGTTCAGACTCGGGGGTAAGGGTCTGCTAGCACACGCCAAACCCAGCGCTCCTACGGCCGGGCGCCTGGGGCGTCCTCACCTCCCTCCGCGAGGCCTCGCACGCCAGGCCCCGAGAAAGCGCGCGGCGCCGCCCAGCCGAGACGTCCCAGCCGTCACTTAGCAACGCCCGAGGCCGACTACACTCGCCTCCCCACCCCGTGGACCACAACACCCGAGTCCCTGCAGGTGTGCAGCCCTCCCCTCAAAGGGACCGGGACGCTAATTCGAGACCCAAACCTTGGCTTCCCTCCTCTTGACGTCTTCCGGAAGGAGGTAGGCGGGGCGACGCCGCTGACGTCCGGGGCGGGGCTCCGGGAGGAAGTGAGGGGACGGGGCGGGGCGGCCTCACGGCGGTGGTGCGGCCTCACGGCGGCTGTCCGGACTCGGGCCGGCATGTCGGCTCTTACGCGGGTGGTGCCTTTCGCTCGCGGCGGAGGCAGCCTCTTCAGAGGCCTCCGCGCGCGGGCGGCTGGAAGCGGAGTCCGTCAGTGAGTGTCGGCCGGGGGTGGGGTCTTGGCCTGCTTCTAACAGAAAGTGCCCGTTTCCGGGACGTTCTCACCTTGACACCGGGCGCCTGGGACCCATCCGCCCCGAGGCATGCTGGGACTTGTAGTCGGCTGCGCCGAGGCCAGGGGGAGTTGGTCACAGCGGGGTCGGGGGTGAGAGGGGACACGGAGGGACACCACCCTGCACCAGGGGGAGCCTGCGCTCGGGATTTTCACAGTTGGATGTGGACACAAATTGAAGCTAATCTAGATCCGGGATTAGAGCAGGAACTGGGGAAGGGAGGTCGGTGCAGGCCGCGGAAACTACCTCTGCTGTGTGTGTATTTGAAGTGTCAAGGGCAGAAGTGAGGCTGGAGGCCTTAGGGCATAGGGAGGGGACATTAGTGGATCCTGATGGCCGGCTGAATAATTTATAACGGGTGACAGAGATCCTTGAGCGGCTTCAACCCGATGCCTTGTGGCCAGATTATAATTCTGAAAAATCACTCAGGCTGCAGATTGAGGAATTACTTCTCTAAGGCACGGGAGTGTAGGCCATCACCCCGAGTGTGGAAAGGTGGGAGAAGAGAGAGCCAAAAGTAGATGCTTGGGCAATTCAGAATTTTTTATTTAAAAAAAACACATTTATTTTTTTAGAGCAGTTTTCAATTCACGGCAAATTTGAGCGGGAGGTACAGAAATTTGCCATAATCCCTCCTACCTCCACACATGTATTACCTCCTCCATTGCCAACATCACTCATCAGGGGGGTTCATTTGTTACAATTTGATAAACCTACGTTGACACAGCATTGCCACCCAAGGTCCACATTTTACATGAGGGTTTACTCTTGCAACACTAGAATTTAAGAGAGTGAGCAAGAATCACCTGGTGAGGTATGTAGCCTGAGAAACTGACTGGAGAGCATGGTGGTGCCAGGACATATCTACCAAGGGAGAACACATCTACCAAAAACAAGCTGGTAGTGCAGAGGAGTGATTCAGTAAGAGCAGGACTGAAAATAGTACCTTGGATTTTTCCAGGTGGTGTTTGGAGACCTCTTAAACCGTCATCTACACTTTACCAAGAGGCAGTGCAGGATAGTGCCTGCCACTTTAGCTGCATGACCTTGGAAGTTTCTTGATCTCTTCATGCCTCAGCTTTCTCACCTGCATAATGAGGATAACAATGTTAACTTCTAAGGAATCAAATGAATTACAATTCTCTGAAGTGTTTTAGGACAGTTACTTGTGCATAGCAGGCATCATGCAAGTATTATTCAGCTATTGTGAGGGACCTGAGACTCAGGGAAATTAAAGGAGTGACTTGCCTAAAGTTACATGATTATTAAGGGCTGGAGCCCAGTGCATGAAATTCATGCACCAATACGGTCCATAACAGCTGCCGGCGGGCCTTCCTTCATTCTGCGCCACCCTCTGGAGATCAGAGCATGTCATAGTGAGCGATCAAACTCCTGGTCAAACTCCCGAGGGGACATTTTGCATATTAGGCTTTTATATGTATAGATATAGATGCGGAGCTGGGAATGGTGTGAGGTGGGAAGAAGGAAAAGGCTTAGGTGTCACCTGAGCACAGACAACAATGAAGAACTACCATATGGTAGCCCGAGGGGTGCTCTTCTTTAAAAAACAAACAAAAAACTTTTATTGATTTCATAGAGGAAGGGAGAGGGGGAGAGAGATAGAAACATTGGTGATGAGAGAGAATTATTGATCTGCTGCCTCCTGCACACCCTATGCTGTGGATCAAGCCCACAACCTGGGCATGTGCCTGAGGGAGAATCAAATTGTGACCTTCTGGTTCATAGGCCGACACTCAACCACTGAGCATGCCAGCTGCGTTAGGGGGTGCTGCTCTTCACTGAGGTCTTGGTTCTTCCATAACACACACTGATTTCACTGTGAGTGACCATTAGTGAATAAATATTTACACTGAGTGGCCAGATTATTATGATCTCTGAATGTATAAGAATCTGGCCACCGTGTGTGTGTGTGTGTGTGTGTGTGTGTGTGTGTGTGTGTGTATAGTAGAGGCCCAATGCATGAATTTGTGCATGGTTAGGGTCCGGCCAGCCTGGTCAGGGGGAAGGGATATGGGTGGTTGGCCAGCCTGCCTGTTGGTCGAACTCCTGGTTGAGGGGACAATTTGCATATTAGCCTTTTATTATATAGGATATACACTGAGTGGCCAGATTATTATGCGTTCAGAGATCATAATCTGGCTATTCAGTATATAGAGCATCTTTTGGATTCTAGAATCTTTTTTAGGTACTGGGGATAGAATATAATACAAGAAAGATAATGGAGCCAAAACCGGTTTGGCTCAGAGGATAGAGTGTCGTCCTGCGGACTGAAAGGTCCCAGGTTTGATTCCAGTCAAGGGCATGTACCTTGATTGCGGGTGCATTCCCTGTGGGGGGTGTGCAAGAGGCAGCTGATCGATGATTCTCTCATCGATGTTTCTAGCTCTCTATCCCTCTCTCTTCCTCTGTAAAAAATTAATAATAATAATAAAATATATATTTTATATATATATATATGAAAGATAATGGAGCTTCCATTATGGAGAGAGGACATAAACAAGTAGAAAAGAAAGAACATGTTTAGGTACTGTTAAGTGGTATGAATAAAATAGAGGGGGATTAATCTATAGTGTCCAGGATAGGGGTGAATGGGTTACTGTATGCAGGATGATGTGGGGAATGCATGCCTGAGAGTTTGACTTGAGGTAGGTACTGAGTAAGAAGTTGGGGCACATGCCCGGGTTGCGGGCTTTTATTATATAGGATAGGATAGTATCTAAACCTGTCAAAGAGGAAGCCTATTGTTACAATGTCCTCTTTCCCATAAATATTGCAATGGAGTAGAGGACATAATTTATTTTGAAATAGATGGCTAAATTGATTTGCTTATTTGTTTTCTTTGGATAAAGCTTACTACTGACTACTATAGGTTCACAATCCTTTAACCAAAACTCTTGGGGCAGTAACTCATTATCAAGATTCATAAGATATAGGAGTATTCACTAAAGGAAAAGCATCATTAGTCTCTTGTCAGTTCAGGCTAGTGTTTGCTGCTTAACAAATTTAAAGTGAGCTTATGAAAAAGGAGTATTTTGAGGCCTGTGGAGCTCTATCATCCTGTATTTTGTGGAGGAGATGAGAAATGTTAGCTTCAGTTTCTGGATGGAACTCAGGGCGTTGGAGGACTGAATACTTTGACGATGTAGCCGGCTGCCTGACGTTTTCCTTTTCCTCGTAGTGCTGGTGGCGGAGTGCACATTGAGCCCCGGTACAGAGAGTTTCCCCAGCTCACCAAGTCCCAGGTGATCAGGGGGGAGTTCTTCAGTGCAACCATGTGGTTCTGGATTCTCTGGCGCTTTTGGCATGACTCAGATGCTGTGCTGGTAAGTGCAGAATGGTCTCCTTCCTGTGGGTGGGAGAATGGAAGAAATAGTAACTTAGCTTGTGTGTAGACTATTTTTCTAGCCTTGACTTTGCTTTCCTTGGTTTTATTTACCTGGGACACCTCTGATCTGAAAATATTAAATGGAAAATTCCAGAAATAAACAATTTATACATTTTAAATTGCGCGCCATTCTGAGTAGCATGATAAAATCCGTGCTGTCCTGCTCTGTCCTGCCTGGGATGTGAACCATCCCTTTGTCTAGCATTTCCACGCTGTTTACACCACCTGCCAGTTAGTCACTTCGTAGCTGTCTCTGTGATCAGATTGAGTCGATTGTGGTATCTCAGTGCTTGTGTACAAATCAACCTTATTTCACTTGATATCGGCCCCAAAGCACATGTGGACATGCCAAATGTAAAGTGCTTCCTTTAAGGGCAAAGGCATGTGTGTATAGGAAAATACTTTCTGTGCCTTTTGTTCGGTCCCATCCGTTGGGGGGTCTTAGGACATATCCTCTGTGGATAAGGGGGCTGCCGTACATCCTTTCCCCTGTGTGTATGCAGCAGTTTTGATAATGAGACCTATCTCTCCCGTTTGTACTAAAGGGTGCACATGTAGGCAGTCCATGTTTTATGTTTTGTGTTTTCCATATTTGAAGGGACACTAGAAACTAGTTCTTTCACCTTGTGAACTAAGGGTTCATCAGGTTAAGTTCACACTTAAAATCTTTAAATGGTGAATGTTATCTGGTCTGTCTGGAAGCCGAAGGCAACCGAATTGGGGTGGGAGAGAGCTGGGCTAATTTGTTTTGAGGAGGGAGGTTTTCACCCAGCATCGTATTAGCCTCAGCTGAACATTTATCGCATTTGCTGACCCTGTTCTTTAGGAAATGAATGAAGCTTTAAGCCACTGAAATCTGTGCTTGTTGATCCAGAATATTTTGAATTTTAGTCAATGGTTTTATTTTTAGGGTCAGAAAAAAACGTCAAATTGTGCACAAGTTTTAGAAGCATCAGGTTGATGAATACCCCGTTTCTGATAGAATTTCTCTGCGCCCTGCCGCCCAGTGAGGAGTGCCTAGTGTCCTCACAGGGGCAGCACAGAGACAACTGTCCCATTGTGCTCAGTGGCCAGGATGTGTGGCTATTTGGTGTGAGGTGATGGTGCAGCCAGATGCTCCCTAGATCGGGATCGAAGACGAACAAGTCCACCCAAGGCTCCCAGACCTCCCAGCAGGAATGGCAGGACAGTTGGAGACATCCATTATGTTTTGCCAGGGCTTTAAGTCATTGTTGAGATGAGGGGTGTTTTTGAAATCTGTTGCCTCCATTCCTACTGCTCTTCATCACAAACACATATTCCAACTCTGGCTCAGGCTGGTAGCTTCAAAATGGGCAGACTTTTACAGTTCAGCTTTCAGTGAACAATATGAAGAACAGTTGGAACATCGAGTAAAGTAGTAGAATTCACTCCTGTGGTGTGTCAAGGGTGTGTGTATTACAGCCTTTTATTTTTTTCCTTTCAGGATTTCTTTTTAAACGTAATTGTGTGGAGTATAGATTCTTGACTTTTTTTTTTTTTAATGGTGTCACCAGGGTCACTTTCCATATCCAGATCCTTCCAAATGGACGGATGAAGAATTGGGAATCCTTCCGGATGACGAAGACTGAAAATGTAGACTCAACTATTTACAAGTAGGTAAAATTTCTATTTTTTGAAAGTTATATTTACTTTTTTTTAACAAAGAAAAAACTCGCTGAAATCGGTTTGGCTCAGTGGTAGAGTGTCTGTCTGCAGACTGAAAGGTCCCAGGTTCGATTCTGGTCAAGGACATGTATATTGGTTGCGGGCACATCCCCGGTAGGGGGTGTGCAGGAGGCAGCTGGTCGATGTTTCTCTCTCATCGACGTTTCTGGCTATCTCTCTCCCTTCCTCTCTGTAAAAAAAATCAATAAAATATATTTAAAAAAACAACACAAACAAACAAACAAACAAAAAAAAACAAAGAGAAAACTCATTCTTTTAAAAAAAATGTCTTTTATTGATTTCAGAGAGGAAGGGGGATGGAGAGAGAGATAGAAACATCAATGATGAGAGAAAGTCTCTGATTGGCTGCATCCTGCATTCCCCACATTGGGGATTGAACCCGCAACCCAGGCATATGGCCTGATTGGGAATTGAACCATGACTTCCTGGTCCATCGGTCAACCACTGAGCCATGTTGGACTTAGTACCTATAATGTCTTGAAGAAATATGCATTTTCTAACTGTATAAAGAACTATATCATGTGTCTGATTTCTTTAAAAAATATGTAATATGTAATTTATTGTTTTTAGAGATAGAGAGGAAGGGAAACGGAGAGAGAGAAACATCATTGAGAGAGAACCATTGATTGGCTGCCTCCTGCACGCCCCCTACTGGGTCAATCACATAACCCAGGAATTTGCCCTGACTGGGAATTGAACTGGAATTGAACTCAGTGGATAGGATGGTGCTCATTCATTTGAGCCACATCAGCCAGGGCTCGTGTCCGATTTCTGAATTTAGTATTTTCACATTTGCTGTCCCCTGTGCTCCTGCCACCCCTCACCCTAAATTGGTTTCATCTTCATTTTCATTGTATATTTTTAAAATGTTATTTTTTCCTAAGTTACGTTACAAATTAGGGCCCCATTTACGCACCAAAGGCTTTTAAGTACCAAGTCCACACAGGGATTTCAGGGTGGACAAGACAGGCAGGCGCTTACAGTGCACATTTATAGTTCCAAAACCACTACGTTTTCTATGTTTAGCACTCACATGGGAAGCTCCAGCAGAGGGGGCTGTTATGATGTGGATGTGCATAGAAATGAGCTCTAAATAGTAAAGGGTTACGACCCTTTCATTTTCCAGATCAGGACATCAGTCAGTCAGGAGAAGTTCCTTTCCCTACAACCCCTTGTGGATTAAGACATTCTTATTTAACAGTTTAAATTAATCATTGTACAGTTTAATTGCCATCATTCAGAATGCCTTGGAAATTGTTTTAAAAGATAGGAAGCATTAAAATATAGTTGAGTGTTTCCATTAAATTGTATTATTAGCATTGCCTTTTTAATTAGAAGTAGCTTAGTGACATGAAAATTACAGCAGTTTTTGGATATGCAGGGCCAAGGGGGATGGCAAAAATGTCTCCAAAAGGTAGGCGATTAAGCTCTTTTATAGTTTGTATGTCTCTGGGTTTGTTATGGACAGTAAGAGGTCCCAGGCCACCTGCTTCCTGTGTTAATGTATCTGACAGCACTAACCCCTTCCTATCCTTTTACAGATTTCCCAATATTCCCACACTGTCATTAACATTTTGTTTTAATAACTAGACTGTAAGCCCTTTGCGAGAGCAAGGTGATTTTACTTCCCTCCTTGACAAGGCAACTCACGTGACTGGTGCTCAGTGGATGCTTAAATAATTGAATAAACAGAATTACGGATTTGAGTTAGTGAAAATAAAAGTACTTAAAGCTTTCCCCTTTTGTTTTTTCTACAGGAGCAAGGTCAGAATTTCAAGAGATTGTGGACTTCATATTGTCTGTTGAAGTTGTAAATTAAAGTGGTTTGATCATGAATGAGGAACTGAGTTATGAATGTTTCTGACAACCATTCTCTGTGGGTTATTTCCTATACCAACTGCTTATAGCCCTTTCAGTGGATCCTCTTGGTTACCTCATGGCAGGTAGCCTTGGGTCCGTTTATCAGAGAGGAAATCGAGGCTCAGGATGAAGTAACTCACGTAGCATCACTCATGATGGGCGTTTACATCTCTTTTGGGTTGGGCACTGTGTTCAGTGGCCATTTGTGGAACACATAAGACAAACTAGGGCTGAAAGAATGGGAAACAAAGGTGAAATGGATATTTTACTTTTTCTAAAATTTGTTTCAAATTACTTTCCAACTGTCTATAGCATCATAGTTCTGAGAGTAGGTAGGACAGCATTTCCCTCTAACCACAGATAAAAATATCCAGTATAGAGTGGCTTAATGTCTTCCTACCCTGTTTCCCCGAAAATAAGACAGTGTCTTATATTAATTTTTGCTCCCAAAGATGCACTAGGTCTTATTTTCAGGGGATGTCTTATTTTTCTATGAAGAAGAATAGGGTACACATTTATTGTTAAATGAAAATAAAGGAAATTTATTACCTGTATACGGTACAGTAGTACGGTAGTTGTCAACACAAACCAGACAAACTGAATCCTACAGTATCAAGAATTTACTCATTTATTCAATGACAATCATGTCATCATCTTCTGGAACATCATAACAATCCAATTCCTGAATTTCCTGGTGAATTTCTTGTGACTCCATTTCTTTCAGAATCAGTGGACCAAATCTCTCATGTTTAGCAATAGCACTGTCTTTAATATATTTTATTGATTTTTTTTTTTTTTTTTTTTTTTACAGAGGGGAAGGGAGAGAGATAGAGAGCTAGAAACATCGATGAGAGAGAAAGATCAACCAGCTGCCTCGGCACACCCCCCACCGGGGATGTGCCCGCAACCAATGTACATGCCCTTGACCGGAATCGAACCTGGGACCTTTCAGTCTGCAGACTGACGCTCTACCACTGAGCCAAACCGGTTTCGGCTAGCACTGTCTCTAAATGAGTACTTCTTGTCAAGGTAGCCTGATCGCAGTGCATTTGCAATGCAATTGTCAGTGATTTTCTCCCATGAATTCTTCGCCCAAGTCACAACTTCTTGCAGTTTAGATTCCACAAAGTTTCCACGCTGATTTCTCTCCATTCTATTTTCAATGTAATCATTAATTTCCATGCGCAAATTGTCTTTGAATGGCTTGTTTATTGCAATATCAAGAGTCTGGAGATAGGCTGTCATTCCTGCAGGAATCATTATCTGATCTATTATTCTTTCTTAAAGAAATGTCTTCATGTCTTTAGCACGGTGAGTGCTGGCTGCATCCCAGACTAGCAGACCTCTTTGGCTCCCTCGCATAACAAGCGGCAGCATTAAATCGACCCACTTCCTTATAACTGCTTGTGTGGCCCAGGCTTTTTCAGTTTCAAGAATAAAAACGCCTAAAACCCGTTCAATCTTTTTCTTCTTTCCCTTAGAAATGACTAAAGGTGGGATTTTAGTGCCATCCAGATGAATTGCCAAAATACAGAAAACACTTGTAAGCAGTGAAGGGAATGTACACTAAGGAGGCACCCTGCTGTTCAATTGTTTGAGATGATTGGCCCATAAACACTGCAGTTTCATCCATAGCAATCATGTTGGAAAGATTGTATTTAGACAAGTCAGCATCATCAATAAAGGACTTGAATGCAAGTGCTCGCTTAATAACTTGAGTATCTTCCAACCTAAACAATGTTGTAGATCTTCTTAAAGATAGTTCACTTCGCTGAAGGAAATTACCCAGCCAGTGTTGTGCTGCTTTGAAGTCTTCAGGGGCTAAGTCAAACTGGTGCCATTGCAAGGGCAAATTCTTGAATCTGAGCCCTATTCACAACCAAAGCCTTTGTTCTCCTGTCAACAACCATTCACAGATCAGGTCTTCCAGCTCGGAAAATAATGGTTGCTGACCTGATCCACACTTGCACTTTTTAGCATTTCCCTTGTCCACTTGTTCAATGAGGTTAGCATACTCTGCTCGCCATTTTCAGACCAATAGGATACTCAACATCTTCTCTTTGCAAAAAGCAGTAAGATTTTGGCCCCAAGAGTCTTCCACGGTTCCTTTCTTGTATTCCACGGAGTAGCTTTTTCTTTTTACGCTCATTTCTAGGGGTAAAAAAAAAGGAATTGGGGTATCAAGGTGGGGGGAGGGGGATCACTTAAAATGACACGGGGGAATCAAAATGGCACAGGAGAATCAGAGGGGGGATTACCATTTTAGTAACCCCTTTTGATTCTCCTGTGTCATTTTGATTGCCCCCTCTGATCCTCCTGTGTCATTTTAAGTGATCCTCCTCCCCCCACCCCTGTGACACTGAACACCTTCATCAAACATCCCCCCTACTCCTTTATCAGACATTTACTCCCTGGGGCCTGCCTGGGGACTGTCACTGGGCTTGCTGGTGCCTGGATCTGGGCTGGAGCAGGGTCTACCACTGACTGAGAACCTTCAGTCATCATGAGGGTGGCCCCGAGCATCAGGTAGTGTCACCAGAGACAGACCAGCACTCACCACCTTTGCCGTGTCCGTTCATTCTAATCCTCCTGTTCTTCTACACACATCTGCAAAAGTCTCCTCCTCTCTCCCGCTCCATGCTCACAGCTCACTCCGACCTCCGCTCCGCCTCCACACAGCAGTGATATCAGGACTCTGCGTAAGGTCACTGGTTGCTAGACACCAGTTGGGGCGGCCCTAGTGACCAGTTCATGGTAAATTTTCATTCTGAGACAGAGCCTGGGGGGATGGCCTAATTTTCGGGGGGGATGCCTTATATTTCACTCAGAAGGAAACCTGTAAGTAGGTCTTATTTTCGGAGGATGTTTTATTTTCGGGGAAGCATTACTATTCATATATTTCTACCTTAGGTTTTTGATCACCTAAGCACTAGGAATACAATGCTAAATAAGCCAGATAAGAGTCTGTTCACAGGGAGCTTAGATTTTAGGGAGGGAAGATGATAAGTGAGGTTTACTAAGTGCTGTGAAGGAAATAACAGCGGGGTGATGTGCTAGAGATGGGTGGTATTTTGGGTGAGTGGGGAAAGCATTTTCACTTAAACCTGAACTAGTATGAGGAACCAGTTGTGTGAGGGTCTGGGAGAGCGGTAGGGACAAGGAATGGCAAGAACCAAAGTCTAGGGTAGGATCAGTCAGTGTGTTTAAGGAAAAGAAGGTTCCGGCAGTGAGGGTTCCGGCAGGTGAGGAGAGGTGGGTTAGGCAAGGTTAATAGGTCACGGTTGCAGGTTTAGATTTAGGTGTGATGCACTGAGAAGCTTCTGGCAAGCCCTGAGCAGGGTGGGTGGGTTGTGATTTGATGAGCATTCCTTGTCCTTAGGTTTGCACTCTCTTTAGTTCTCAGTTGTCAGTGGGCATAATGACAGTCAAAGCCAAAGCAAGTGGCAGCTTCACCCACCCCCAAAGCCAGCTCCAGCAATCCCGAGCCTGTTGGAGGGGGTGCTGGCAGCATGCCTCTGGGGTTTGTGTTTACTCACCTGTGTAAGAGTGAGCTGCCTGAGCTGATAGTCTAAAAGGCCTAGATGAGATTTCTGTACTTCCTAGTTCTCATTTTTGTTGCCCCTCCATATCAATAGTTTATGGGAAATAATTCAATTTATAACAGTTAACTCAAGTAGGATAATGCCTTTAGCTCTTATCCTTAGAAACCAATCAAAATTGCTTGACTTGAATAAAAGCTAACTTAAAAAAAGTAGTCTTTTCATTCAGCCAGTGTGGCCTCCAATTGGGCTGGGAATCCAGTTTGAGCTGATGCAGAAATTGTCTCTATCCTGCTGTTACAGTTTATGGGAAAATACTTAAGTGGAGAGGGTCCCAGAGATACTTCATACGTTTGATGGGTGGCTATTTAAATAATAGGGAAAACTGACTATGAGGCAGGCACTGGGGTCAGCACTTGACATCTGTTAATTTATTAAATCCTCACATTTCCATTTTATAAACGAGGAAGTTGAGATATAGATGTATTAGGTAACTTGCCCAAGCTCATACAGCCAATTAGAGCTGAGGTTCAAATCCTGTCTGGCTCTAGGTTAAATCAGTTTATCTCAGAGTTAGCATAGCATGGTATAAACCTTTTCATGACCTACTCTAAGGAATAGTTTTACATCGTGACCTGAGATATAAATTATATGTAGGTATACAGTTGCAAAGTTTAATGAAACAGTACTTACCTGTGATGCACTCTTACGTTTTCTCTTATTGTACATTAAAAAAATGATGGTTCAGAGACTGATTTTACTACTCACCAATGGGTTCCAACCTGCAGCTTGAAAACCTAGCACAGAGCGTAAGAACTCAGGCTTTGCAGTCGAGCTTGTGGGCTGACACAACTCTGCCATTACTAGCTGTGAGTTTGGGCAGATTGTTTGATCTATGCTACAGTTTCCTCAGTTGTACATGAATTAACTAGATTAAATGGTTAGCATGTAAAGCCCTTAAAAGTATGTCTGGCATGAAGGATATACTCTCTTAATGAGAGTAACTGTTACTTCTAGACCACTGGGTCTAAGGTACGTTTATAGTGACCCCTGTGTACCAGTTTGCTTTTTATAGGAAAGCCTCCATACGAAGGTAGACTCAGCTATTCTATAACCAGACATCCCAAAAGATGTGGTTCTACCACTCCCTCCGCCTAGAACAACAGGCATTTAGTTTAGGACATCTCCCTGATGAGTTAAAGGGACATTCTAAGTAAGTTTTAGGGCGTGCCTGGTAGGTGGAGAGATGTACCTTCATAAATGGAAAGGTAAGTGGTGAAGGAATTATGACAACGGAAGACCAGGTGTCAAATTTTACACAAATTTGTAACTTCGTTTCCTATGAAACCTTGAGTGTAAATACAATGGGATATCTAGTCAAGTTAGAGACGGGAGGTATCGTGTGAGGAGCACCTGCTGTATGTGTGTTACAGGGAGGTACAGAGTCATCTTCGTTCCACTTGCCACTAGGACTCTTCTGTAGAAGAGGCCCATCTGATTCCCCGCTGCCACCCTCTCATCAGGAGTGTCATCGGAACAAGTGAGAGAAAGGAAGCGGGCTGCTGGACCTGCCTCAGCAGCTGGGTCTTTGCCTTTTGTCACCCACACAAGCAGTGGCTTGCCTGATTGGTGACGGAGTGTGCCTGTACAACATCCGTTTCTAGCCACAAACACCGTTTCTATCCACATTTCATTATAGGCATCATGACCACAACAGCCTATATAATAAAAAGCCAATATGCAAACTGACTGAACGGCAGAACAACCAGTCACTATGATGTGCACTGACCACCAGGGGGCAGACCTCAACACAGGAGCTGCCGTCTGGTGGTCAGTGTACTCCCAGAGCGGGGGCACCGCTCAGCCAGAAGCCTGGGCTGTGGCTGGTGAGCACAGTGAATGGCGGGAGCCTCTCCTGTCTCTGAGGCACCACTAAGGATGTCCGACTACAGGCTTAGGCCAGCTTCTTAAGCCATCAGTCGACATCCCTCGAGGGCTCCCGGACTGTGAGAGGGTGCAGGCTGGGCTGAGGGCCCCCGCCCGCCAAGTGCATGAATTTCGGGCACTGACCTCTACTAGTGATACAAAAGAGTACTGACAAGTCCTGGCTGTGTGAGCCTAGGCAATTCACTCTTATTCAGGGATCCATATTCAGTAACTGAGATAAGATTTGGACCAGATTATCTTTAAGAACTCTTTCTGTTCACCCTAGCTGGTTTGGCTCAGTGGATAAGAGTGTCACCCTGTGGACGGAAGGGTCCCAGGTTTGATTCCAGCCAAGGGCACTTGCCCAGTGTTGCCAGTTCGATCCCCTGTAGGGGGCATGCAGAAGGCAGCCAATCAATGATTCTCTTTCACCATTGATGTTTCTATCTCTCCCTTCCTCTCTGAAATTAAAAAAAAAAAAAAAAACATATTAAGAAAAAAGAGAATTCTTTATGTTCTGCTATTTTAAGCATCTAGGACAAATATCTAACCCAGACAGTAGGTCCAAGTATTATAGCTTCTCATAAAATTTCAAACTAGTGTGGTATTCTCTATCACAATAAAGTATTCACGATTCTGGGCTAAATTTTAGGGAAAACCTCTTACAAAATAATGTATTGTTTAGAAATAAGGCCAGGATTGCTGTAATCATGTATGAAGGTTATTTAAAAAGTGAGTTTCTAAGATGTTTATATTCACAGTTACACTTTTCAGATGATAAAATTGCAGTACAAATACTTAAGTCTGGGCATTTTATGATTAGAGGGGCACGAGGACAGAAACCAGATTCCTCAACTACTAGTATGTGCCACCTGGAAGACTTTTATTCCTTCATGTTGTTCTCGAACACTCTGTTTCTAGATGAAGTTGATGACATTTCAAAATTGTTCACTTCTGGAAACTGCTCAGTTCTTTGACAAAGTTTGAAGATATTCGAGGTATCTTTCAAACTCTAGGTATTGAAATCAAATGCACAAAATCAACTCAGGTAGCCAGCATAAAAAGAAAAACCATTGAGTGTGTACTTTCAAATTTAGTTATGTTTGCATGTGTGTACATTCTGTATGTCAAAAAAGCTTGAAACTCGAACACAGACAATAGTGTGGTGAAGGCTCGAGAGAGCAGAGGTAATGGGGGAGAGGGAGAGGAGGAAGGAGGACATTTGTAAACAATAAAGATAAAATTAAAAAAACAACTCCAGACTCCTTAAATGACTGAATTATAGCATGTATTTCAACTGAGCCCTTGGAGGAGAAATCAGGTTGCAGAATCTAAGTACTTGATGGTCATCACTACAGCAGTGCAGCCAGCATGATGTAGCAGGCATCCATCCATCTTGACAATTTAAAACGATTCTAAGTAGCTTCTACCCACCAAGCAGTAATCAACATTGTATGTGTGAAACAAAATGTACACTTCTCAGGCCCTTCATTGCCTGGAAGAACTGATGGTCAAAACCCTGACCACTATTGTTATTGAATGTGCTAATGCTGGAAAAATAATGTTGATAAAGAATTCTCCATGCAGTCAATCTTTATTATAGCAGTATTCGCATATTCACATCAAGTACATAGAACTTTTTTTGCCTTTTATATAATACAGAGTTTTTAAATAACTTTACACAGAAATAAATTTCTTCAATCTGAGTTTCAGCTATCTTTATTTAATTCTTCATGCTTTCTATCCAAACTGAACAATATTTTCCATTGTACAAATTTACATGAGAAAAATTCCAAAGTACAAATGAAGGGACCTGAGCAGGAAAGAGAACCAAAGTATTAAGAAGTGGGGTTGGGGAAGAATTGGAAAAAAAAAAAAAAAAAGATTCAAGCAAACACTGCGGATTAAGGGGCAAGAGGGAGACGACATCCATTTAACTGAAAATAAACGTCTTTTTTTATGAATTGAAAAATAAGTTTTAAAAATAGTTACTCCATAATTTTTGCAAAGCAGGTAGAGAGAGGTCTGTGGACAATTAAAAAGTCCCCATCTTTTCACTGGGCAAACCCCAGACTCCATGAGAGCCTTTTCAGTGTTTGTAACTGAAGTGAACTAAACCTGAACCTTTGGCAGCGAGAGAGGAATGTGTATGCGAACTGCCACACGGTTTGGAGTGGTAAACCTGGAGCCATTTCCTCAGTTGAAACATGAGATTTCCCTTTCTTCTCCTGTATAGAAGAATTGTCCTCAAACCAGGAAGGTAAATGAAAAAGGGGGGTGATGTCCTTTTTCTTGGTCTAAACCAACAGCAAACATAACTACTGTATAGAATCAAAGGAACATGTTAGTAAATTGTCAAATCTAATCCCCTGATCAGGTGTACGCTCCTATTTTAGAAGCAGAAATTGCTGAGTGAGGAAAGGGTCAGAGTGTACAACCAACAAAAGATTTTCACAAAAATATATCACTGTGATAGTCCTTCCAATCAGGTGACATCATGAAGGCCAGACTAGTGTGTAGCATGGCCAAAGTAACAGAGGACCCAATGAATGCATTTTCAAATGGAGGAGGGAAAAGGGCACAGAATAACACACACGCCCCCTATGTAAACTAATGTAACATGAAGATACACAAACATAAAGGTTAGCCACTTATGTTGGTAATTAATGTGAGTAAAAAGGCATTATGTTTTCATAGCTGGTTTTAATCAGCTATGTCCGGAACACACACAAATGTATAAGGAAGGAATGATTTAAAACAAAACAAAACCGTTCACAGCTTAGAAAAGCACACTTATTGCACTCTTACATTTTATTTCAAATAATTATGGTTTATTTCCCACCCTCACATCAATTTTTCCCTACCCTCAAACTTACTCCCACACCCTCCCCTGTCCTATTTGGTCCATTTTCTCTATATTTGTGCCTAGTCTGTGAGCTTTGTTGCTTATGCTATTTTGAAGTTTCCTCCGATATATCTCTTACTCCACCAAAAGCTTAACTCACAAATGCAACACAATAATTTTCAAAAGAAAACCAGTACTAAGTAACTTACTCATAGTCCCCATCTGCAGCCCTGAAACCAGAACCCTTCCTCTGCCGCGTCTCCTAAGTGAAACCCATGCCTGGTTCCTACACACCGTGCTGAGGACCAGCCACTGTGAGTGCTGGCCACCCGCCCAGCCTGCCTGCCTGCCAGGAGCTGCGGACGGTCTGCACAAATCCTTTTTCATTTTTTTTATACTTAACAGGAATAAATATATTTCAGTTCTTTGTTCTTAAAGAGTATTTCAATCTATAGAATTCTTTCAAAAAATGCATCACAAAAAAATAGATACACTGGCTGTGTCCTCATGCACAACTGGTTATACCATTGTAATTAGTCAAAATAGCTAAATAAAATTAAACATTTTAATAAAACTGATTTAATAACTAATAAGACTAAATCAACAGTTGAAGCTGTGATGCTAAAAGATCTACCTAAACATTTTTTGAGGTGGGGACTAACTATCCCTATGCATTTTAAAATAAAGCCCTGTGACCTTAATTTAAGAATTTAGGACTTAAGTTTTGTCCTCTTCTATCTTAAAAATACCCAATAGAAACTGTTAACTACCCTTTCTACAACTGAGAAAATTTAGGACTGAATTTCAATGTAAATATCTTTGCCAAACAAAAGTAAAAATGTTATCTGAAAACAAAACAAAGCTTAGCTTACTGCCTAGTGCACTGATATAACAAAAACCTTACCAGCATTTTCAATTTTACCAGAGCTAGCAACATGGACCATGAATACACTGGCCACTTCATTCTCCAGTGGCCAATATACAAACCAGAGAGTACAGTAACAGCGATGCTACTGTACTCTGCAGGTGCTCAGCGACCTACGGGTGTAGTAATAGCCCTCGGTGAAACACCGTGAGAACTTGCTATGACAGTACACTGCCTTTCTTGGGGCGGTGAGGAATGAAGATACAAGAAGCATACCACGGAGTGTGTCCAGTGCACACAAGTGGCCAGGTCAGTAACTATTCCAATGCCTCCTCGTGCCTCACAGCACCCCCCAACAGGATTAGCAGCATAGTCCTGCTTAGTTTGCCAACCAGTCCTGGAAGGCTAGTGTATATTTCCAACTCTGAAAAATCTGTGTCTAGATTGGCAGCAGTACTCTGGAGACTGATAAAATCTAATTCTGCCCCATATTTTAATTTCTTTCCTCGTTCTCACTCAGTTCACACACGCAACTGCTGCCCAGCATACAGTACTTCAACTTTGAACTACACAATTTCTTAAAATGTCTGTCAAATATTTCTGTTATATAAAAGTTCCATGCTTTGAGAACCTATGGGAGTAGAAAAAGTTTCTCTAGAAATGTCACTGAACTATAATTTCAACCTATTTGCTCTATATGATAAATATATCTGACTATACTAGGGGTTATGTGCTTTAAAAAAATAATTTTGTTCACTGAAAATTTACCTGTGTTTTCATTTTTTAAATGTGATTTGGCTATAAACTCTTTAGTGCATTTATCTTTGCAGTCTAAATTGCACTCTAAAAAATATTAACACAGCTGAGTTAGACCAGAGTGGCTGCTTTCTTCACAAATCACTGATTTCTGCTAAATTTTTTATTTTTATTGCATCATGAAGGCACAGTAAGATCATTTGGCAAATTGTCATGGTATTTTTCTACAGCCTCACCTACACCATTTCAATGTATGATCTATAAGCTATTTCGTGTTCACACTCAGTAAACCTTACATGTCTGGCTATGTGTGTTTTTAAATAGCCTAATGGTTGGATCTGCTGGTCTTAGGTGCTGCTATTCTAGCACTAACAATGCCAACTTGGACAAAGAAGAGAATCTTGCAAAATGGGTCATCACTTTCTCCCCCCCTTAGCTGGGCAGTCTGTCGGAGCATCTGCACATGGGACAAATCTGTGGCTAACTCTTTATGAAGGTGTACTGTCCTGCCAAGCCCACTGAAAATTAAAATTATATCATTGTTAGTGAAGTGAAACCATAACTAATTTCATGCAACTGACGTAAGGTTGATATTCTGAAACGTACCCCTAAACAGGTTCTGGCACCATTTGCAACAACATTCAGACACTCTGAGCTACATTTTTCAGTATTTCTGCCTAAATGTATAAATGCCCTTTAGGACAAAACTAGAGCGTTCAAATACAAGCACACATAAAAGTTAAAATCCTAAATCATCTTCATGTTCTAGAGCTCCTGACTTCATATTTTAAAATAAATATTCATTACCTCATTCTGAGGAGGTAGTTTTTTGAAGAGGTCACCTGAACGCTGTAGTATGTTTCAAACTAAAGCTAGATGAGGTTTGCCCAAGGCAGAGGGTGAATGTACAGGTGGGGAGGTGAGGCTGAGGAGGGGGTGCAGCAGTGCCAACGTTGCCTGATGAACAAACGATAACATTATGTGATTAAGAGCTGTGCCCGCATCTCACGAGAATCTAGGAAATATTTAGTTTCAGGTGGACAGTGGTGAAGTCCTGAATTAACTCTTTATACCTAACAATATAGTGCCCTTTCTTTTCCAACACCAACGTGAATATCACACACACACTTCGCATAGGTGATTTTATCTTCTAGGATGTCCCAGTACATCATATAGCTCTCACATACAAGCAGGGACTGCACGTCCAGAAACCAGATTTTGACCACTAGACAGAGCCTTCTTTTAAGGTGCACATAAGTACAAAGAATCACACTGGTTTTTCTATTCACAAATCCCTTTTATAAACTACTTTTTGGTCAATATTATTTCAGTGGCAAAAACCTATCGATACAACCTAGACTGCAGTTTAATAATAAAGTACACCAGCTAGGAAAAAACAAAACCAAACAAGTCCACCAGGATTAAAACAATCTTTTATGGTTACTCTTAAATTTTTCAGGCTTCACCTCTCCTTACCCCAAATTAAAGGCCCCACGAAGGCACTGCAGCCATTCTACGGAAAACAGGCAATTACCGCCTTGGGAAATAATCAGTGAAGCAGCCACATGTTACCCATTCAGTTACTCATAAAGTGCTGTGCACATCAAGGAGTTCTTCCTTGTATTTCTTAGGAGCTCAGCAAGTCTATCTGTAGTTAAGCATCGAACAGTAAAGCAAGTGAAATTCACAGGGAAACCCCCTTTTCATGTCAACTGTAAACCAGAGAAAAAACAACTTGATAGAAAAAAGGAAGAAAGGGGAAATTTTGATAGAGTCTGTTTCTCCTTCTCAGATGAGATAGCAACCCACTCAAAAAAGAAAGGGAAGAAAAAAGTGTATCACCTTGAATATTGTTTGGAAAACCCCAATGCCAAGCTTCCTCCAGAACTAGTTCCTGTACTGCTCCAGCCATCCAGGCAGTCCCGCACCTGAGCTTCTAGCAGCTATACCTGCTCAGCAGACATGCCATGCCTATAGTTTAAGACCAGCTCTCTGAAATATTGGTACAGGGAACAAAAACATGTTTAAAAGCATCCATGGTGGCATAATTAGAAAGAAAAATAGACAATGTTCTTCAAGTGAGCATCTTTGTAATTTCTGAATTTTGTTAAGATACTGCTCTGCCCATGTAAGACTTAAGAATACATTGCTTTTCAAATTCACCAATAGCTTCAGTATACTTTCCATTCTACTGGGACAACTGGGACATTTTACATGTCCGTGCAATTTTTAGTAGGTCTTCCTGTGATACAGGTATTTTAGCAAAAATCTAACGGCAGTGAGTGTTAGTAGGCTGAAAGATAGCAGGGTGAGTTACAATTTGAAATTTTAAAATAACAATTTCTAATTCCCTGCTTCTTTTTATAGTTCTATCCAATTTCTCTCAGATCCTTGGCTACCTAGCTTGGTAGGGCTAAGTACAGTTGATTTGATTTACATTCCCAAATCCTGATAAGAGATTCTAGATCCATAAAAGGGAGGTATTTCCCATTAATATGTCCAGAGTTACTTTCTTTCTACTATCGTGACTTACACCACTCTTATGCCAAAGGAAGCTATGGCTATGTTATGTTTTCCATTTATATAAAGAATGAGGTTCTTAATATCGCAGCAGCTCTTTCTGTAAAAACAATTGATATTATGCTTCATACATAACTCTCTCAGTCCCAATATACCCAAAATTGTTCTATTATCTGCCTGGGGAACTCAGCTGCCAAATTACCCAACCTTTTGAAGACCAGGCTTGGGAAAAAAGGAAAAAGAATGAATGGAGACACCACCATTTTTATTTTAGGTTGCATATTCTGGGTAAAAGACTAGAAAGAAAATGAGGATGTAGTGTAAGAGTAAACTGGAAGAAACAATGAGATATTAGCAAAGATGTTAGTGTGGATCCAGCAAGTACCATTAATTTAAAAATTATAAATATTTTGTCATATGTTAAGACTCCCCATGTTTAGGTAGAGGAAGGATAATGATTTTTCTTTAAAAGTTGTTTATATAACAAAAATACAATTTTTCAGGATATATAATTCTAATGGGAAGTATTGTTTTATTCCAATTTAATTAAATCTGAAAATTATTTTTAATAAAAATATAAGAGAAGAAACTCAGAAATTAAAACTTGTACCTTACATTTAAATTACATAAATGTCTCACTTTCCAAACTGTTATCAAGCAGTTCTGTAGGCTTTTAACTAAATACCACCATGACATTTTTGTGCCTTGGGCAAAGTAGCCACATAAGTACTTGGTGACTGGAAGAGCTTGGGAGGAAGATTTTCCTGAGAACTTGCTATATTGTGGAGGGGAAACCCCCCCAGACACTTCTCTTCATTGCTGGACCCAATGAGCAAAGAAGGCAATGTGTGCCAGCACTTTCCCGCCTGCGTGGGTAGGCAGACACCCTCAGTGAGCAAGGAAACAGAAGCCAGAAACCCAGGAGGTCAGGAAAAAGATGCAGCATTCCCTTTCCTCTGCACCAAAACATAGCTCTGTCTCCCTCTCGTCCTCCACTTAAATAAAATAGCTTCACTTTGATAAAAATGAGTCAAGGACTGACGTGCACTACACAGGTAGGGCATGCTGCATTTTTGTTCCGTCCCTCGGAAATTAACCAGTGATGGCTAGGGGAAAGAGCTCCACAACAGAATCCCAGAGCAGGAAAGAGAACGATGCTTGGTCATTGCAACTGCCCCATCAGATGATCAGCCGCACATCGACCTGGTGGTTAGAAGGGCACAGTCGACCGGCAGACTCCAGAGCCAATCTCCCAAGCTGTAGAAGCAGCATCTTTCCATCATGCCACCATCAAAAGGCCAGAACTCAGGGTCTCTCCTCTTCCTGGGACTGGGCAGACTTGTATGCACGTGGTGTTTGTGTTGAAGAAGAAACACTGGCAGCAGAGAATTCTGGTTCCTAAAACATTCTTCCCTCTTTTCTTGGATGGGAATTTCCATTCTGTTCCACATCAGCTTATGAATTGAAAATTTAATTTCTTTAAAAAAAGGATCTGAGGAACAGAACTGTGTTTGATGTTAACAAATTGTACAAACACAAGACTTAAGAAATAAGAGTAGATGCTGCCATGATGGTGTGGCTACTTGAAGGCTGCAAATTCTCCTGTAGAGGGAGGACAAGAGCTAATTTTAAAAAAGTTATCTTAATTAACCTAGGTTTCTTAATTAACCTAGACACAGAGAAAAGCCTCATTAAAAGCTCACTGAAAAGTGACTAGCTGTCTATTATAAATCTAGCAGCATCATCAATTTAAAAAGCAAAAATGGTTGAAACCTATGGAAGAAGACAACTTGCATAGTACATAAGACTATGGTTCAATTACATCAATTAAGCAGTTTACTGCCATCTGTCCAAAATGGAAACCATCCCACTTGCCACGATATTCTGAATTTAATTTAAAAAATCAATTTGCAATGAATATTATAAAAATAAATATATTACAATTTGGGTGTTCTTGAATATTTTCAGCTGAAAATTCTCACAAAAAATAATTTTAAAGTTGGTTGGGGCTGCCACTTAAGGAAAACTTTTTTTTTTTTTTTTAAACAGGCGCACGTCGCCTGTGGGGAAGGTCTGTTGCTTGCGTCTACTGAAACTTACGGCGTACAATGGGTTAAATATCATGTCTGCATGGATTTTACATGCTATTGTTCTAATCAAGCTGAAAACCATTCCAATGAACAAAATATCTCAGAAATAGATTATAAAATAGTAAGGTTGGTCTGCCCCTGAATTATCAACTCATTTCCATTATAATTGCCACTATTAGAAAGGAAGCAAAGATTATCCTCATTTGCAAAGATAAAATTAAGAGGTCAAATGATTTGTCCACATTACACATTTGAAAGCAGTAAAGAAAACCCGACCCTCCATCTTCTAGTTCATTTCAACTTTTAAACTACCAACAAATTACAAATAGGCACGTCACTGGACATCATTTTCAGCATAAGATTTCTTAAAACCACGATGTCTGTTTCAGGTACGATGATGACACTCCTTTAACTTACTGAATTTGGGGGCTTCATAGAAGAGCCACTATTAACCTACCATTTTGTCCACAGCTTCTACTTATAAGTAGGAGTTGGTCACCATAGTTAATTTCTGGGGGTTGGTTAATAACAGAACTATCAGAATTTAGTCAGCCTTACCATCATTTTTCAGTAATAGCAGCTTCTGAGGAGGATTCACTTATATACTATAAGTGAATAGTGTATTCACTTATATGAATACACTGTTTAATCCAAAAGTAACCTACTCTTTTCTGATTGCTATTAGATTCTCTGACCCAGCACTGACTGACTAGGGGCGGTGGATCAGGCCCAGAGAGAGGCCTGCAGAGAGAGAGGCAGGGTCTGATACATAGCCTCTATGGCAGCCACTGACCAGAAATTGCCTCTCTTTCTCTCCCAGCCTGGCCAACAGCTGCACCTCCATTTCTGTCCAGGCCTCCACCAGGGCTGCTGATCAGCCCTGCCTTTCTGATCAGGCCCAGAGATGCTGAATGGCATAGAAACTGACCAATCAGAACAAAATTGGCCAGCAGAGGAGGACAGTTAAGGGTGATCAGGCAGGCAGAGGCAGTTAGGGGTGATCAGGCCTGCAGGGGAGAGCAGTTAGGGGCAAGATCAGGCTTGCAGAGGAGGGTTGCTGGGGGCAAGATATGGATGGCAGGGGAGGGCAGTTGAGGGCAAGATCAGGCCAGCAAGGGAGGACAGTTAGGGGTGATCAGGCAGAGGAGTTAGGGGCTATCAGGCAGAGAGGTTAGAAGTGATCAGGCAGGCAGGCAGAAGGGTTAGGGGTAGTCAGGCAAGCAGGCGAGTTGTTAGGAGCCAGTGGCCCCAGATTTTGAGAGGGGTGTCCCGATTGGAGTGCAAGCTAGGCTTGCACCGGGCCTCTAGTGTTGTTAAAATTAGCAACTAGTTGAGTGCCTGTTATATATCAATGAGGTCACTGAATACCTCATATATATATATTTGCATCTGATCCTCCTAATAACTCTATGAGGCAGGTGCTATTACTGCTCTTTATTTTACAAAGGAACAAGCTGAGGTTTACAATGATTCAATAACTTGCTGAAGATCTCCTAACTAGAAAATGGCAGAGTTGGAATGCAAAGCCAGGTGCTGACTCCAAAGTCCAGGGTCTTAATAATTAACAAACCCCTAAACAATTTTCAATAATAATTTTCCCCCCATTCTGAATACAGCTACTAACTGGGCTGCAGATACTGATACTATCTCTTTCCATCTAAAGATTCCTTTTAACAATCATTCAAGGTACTGTGAGTTAAAAGATCAAGGAAGGGTAAAAGAATTATTACTTCATACTTAAATTTAAAAGGACTGATAAAAAATTGCCAAAGTACTATGACCTTGGAGAGTAAAACATTTAGAACATAACAATAGGAGGATATTATGTTAATAGAGACTCAAGAAACATTCTCATTATGGTTTGAGTACCTAATGGTTTTAAGATTGCTATTTTTCCAGTATTTTAACACATTAAAAAAATGTTTTACTGATTTTTTATAGAGAGGAAGGAAGAGGGATAGAGTTAGAAACATTGATGAGAGAAAATCATCGATCAGCTGCCTCTTGCACACCCTCTACTGGAGATGTACCTGCAACCAAGGTACATTGCCTTGACCAGAATCAAATCAGGGACCTTTCAGTCCGTAGGCTGACGCTCTATCCACTGAGCCAAACCGATTTTGGCTTAACACATTTCTTAAAAGCAATTTTCAACATTCTTATGAGTAGTCACTGTAGGAAGCCAATGTAAAAACAAGATTTACTTAACAGAAAATCTTCATAAAAATGCTAGAATTCATCTATGAAGTGAGAATATTAGAAAATGGCAACTTTTGCCAAATCTTAGATATTACATTAAAATATAACCTGGAAGCCCAAACAGATTTGGCTCAGTGGATAGAGCTTTGGCCTGCGGACTGAAAGTCCCAGGTTCGATTTCAGTCAAGGGCATGTGCCTTGGCTGTGGGCACATCTCCAGTGGGGGGTGTGCAGGAGGCAGCTGATCAATGATTCTCTCTCATCTATGTTTCTAACTCTCTATCCCTCTCTCTTCCTCTCTGTAAAAAATCAATAAATAAATATATTTTAAAAATATATATTTAAATATATATTTAATATTTATATGCATTTTTATATTTAATACTTATATATTTTTATATTTAGAGTTATATAAAAATATAAATATAGATATATATTTAAAAAATATATATATAACCTGTAAGAAATTTTCAATATTTCTTATTTGTTATTACAGACACTCCATTTTGTTGAAGAGTGTTCTGTTCCATAAACCTGAATATTAGCCTTAAAAATAAAAACAAGTAGGAGGGGTTTGAGGAGCAATGGGGAGATAAGGACACATATGTAATACCTTAATCAATAAAATAAAAAAAAAGCTGAGAATTAAGAAAACATATTAACAATATGCAAATCGACCAAATGGTGTAACAACCAATCACTATGATGTACACTGACCACCAAGGGCCAGATGCTCAATGCAGGAGCTGCCCCCTGGTGGTCAGTGTGCTCCCATAGGGGGAGTGCCACTCAGCCAGAAGCCAGGCTCATAGCTGGTAAGTGCAGCAGCAGTGGGGGAAGCCTCTCCCGCCGCCGCTGCAGCACTGCTAAGAATGTCTGACTAACAGCTTAGGCCCGTTTCCATTTAGGCTAAGGTATTCCATCCCCCAGTGCACAAATTTTGTGCACCGGGTCTCTAGTATTAACAATTGAGGAATCTTAATACAGGATATATGAATAACGTTGTAAAATTTTTGTAAAGCTTAAATTTCAAATGTTTAAATATTTTAAACTTCAAATAGTTAAAAATTTTGAAAAATAAAAGGAAAGGCAGAGAACAAACCCTGCCCCCCCAAAAAACACACAACACATCCAAAACACCCCAAAAGCACAAACTCCTACCAACACAGTTGCAAATAGAATAGCAGTAAGATGACCACTACTGACCATCCCACCTGAGTCACTGCTTTTAATGAAATGCAATTCTTTTCAAGCTCAGACTTCAGCTCGAGAAAAAGTCAAGCACAAGAAGAAATTTGAGTTTAGGGATCAATAAACTCTTTCTATATATGTCCCTGAAATCATGGAGAAATTTAAGAAAAAGATGAGGGTAACAGGTGATGGATCTGCTTTTTTTGGGGAAAAGAAAAAAAATCTTTTCTTGCTTAGTCTTTCCTGTATTATCTGGCAATCTCTATTATCCTACCTCCTGACTTATTTTATTTGAAATAAGAATCAATTCTGCTTGTGTGAAGTTATTTGAAGTGAAATACCCAGATACTCTGATTAAAAAAAAAAAAAATCTCGATATATTATTAACTGAAAAATCAATCAGAGGCCAAATAAAGCTTGAAACAAATAACTCCTTTCTGGATGAGAAGCAGCTAACCTCTATTTTCCATCTGACTTTATTAGGGATAGAGCAGAGAATACTTGGTAGACCTTGTGATTTTAGATATCTCAAATATCATGGTTTATTTGAAAACTAAGACTTTTATTAACTAGTTTTAAGATATCATATTTCAGTGGCTGTTCGGCATATAATTTTATAAAAATTCCCCTTAAAGAGAAAATATGCTATGAAAAACCTAATAATGTTGTTTTGTACACAAATCAATCACTGCTTCAGATAGAAGAGGATAGTCATTATCACCAGAATAAATCCCCATTCTTTCTTTGTGGTGACCTTTCAGGCAGTTTCAAAAGGATGAGGAATATTCTGGTATAGACACACTGAAGTGCCACATAAATGCTCAATAATTCTCAATTAAATAAGCCTATGATTGACAAAATGCTTTAGTCATGAAGTACCCATAGGCACAATACTGTATTTAAAAAAAAAAAAAAAAAAGCAGATCATTTCCTTAAATTGAGAGTGGCCACCTTGAGAGAAAGGCCTATGTAAGCTGGTGTGTTAAATAGTTATTATCTAGAGAGAATGATTTTAACTACTGACTTGGTATTTAAATGGCTAGTACAATATTGTAATAACAGAAAGGAAGCAAACCTGAAACATTTGATGAGATGCTATAATACCTAAACTACTTAAAATCAAGAAGACAAATCTCATTCCTCATCATTGACTAGTAAAACCTCCAAAATGTGAAACAAATTTTATGAAAAGGCTGCCTCCTGAAAAAGGAAATCAATGTTAATGAAAATATATCTGAGGTATGGGTTTTAGGGAAGAAGTCAGTTACAAGAGAATGAATGTCCTTCTGTTGAGATTAACTAGTTAAAGTGATTACCTTTTTTTTTTTTTTTATAATACATATTTTATTGATTTTGTTCAGAGAGGAAGGGAAAGAGATAGAGAGTTAGAAACATAGATGAGAAAGAGTCATCAATCAGCTGCCTCTTGCACACCCCCTACTGGGGATATGCCCGCAACCAAGGTACATGCCCTTGACCGGAATCGAACCCAGGTCCTTCAGTCCCCAAGCCGACGCTCTATCCATTGAGCCAAACCCTTTACAAAGGGTTAGGAAAATAATGTTTTTCCTTATTTGGAGACTATCTAAAAACTTAGTATAAAACAAACAACAACAGAAAGATAAACTACCATATATCATTCTACTGCTTCCTATTTCTCCAGATGCATCTATCTAAACATCTTACCTGCTATTTTGAATGTTCTTCGCTAACCTTTCCAGTGGGCCCCATTTGGAAAGAAGAGAGTTACTATAAGACACTTTGAAGGCGTGTTTCAGTGTTTATGGGATAGCAGTTCTAGGAGCTTAGCTTTGAATGCTCTCTGGCAAAGGAGACTGACAAAGAAGGAGAGGAAAGAATGCAGATGGTGGGGACTGTTCAGGTGGTTAATGATGGAAGCAAAAAAGAGTGTACAAAGAAAGAAAGATAACAGTGAAGCAAATATACTGAAGAATTACAGACAGAAAAAGCTCGATCAAAAAAAGACTCTTTGACTCTTGTGCCTCAAAATGCTAGTCTTTGAGCATTCCATACAGCAAGTCAACTTTGTTAAAACTGTTAGCTACTTGTTTGCTATTTAATTAGTGAATAAAACCCCACTTAATAGTCACTAGTAACTGTAATTTTAGTGTCACTAGAGGACTTAAAAACCATGCATTTTGATGTTTTCCAACATGTTACATTATATTGTCTTTCTTATTCTTTAAAATATGAGAAACTTCTTTTTCACTACTCTTGCCTAAACTAAAAATCATGAATCAATTTCTAAAAACATGAATGACACTATTTATCTTATGCTACCCAAATGAGAAGCAAAAGGTATGCCATACTTATCACTGCGTGGTTTTCCTGGATGAAATCTAACTTAAGCAAATATAAAAAGTATTTGAAAAATTTGTGGTATTTAAAAACTACGTTATTATTAACGTCTTTCCAATTTTCTTTATTGGCTTCAAAGAAGGATAGCATTTAGGCAGATGTTGTCTGTGTGCCTGAATAACTTTGAACTGTCAGCTATATTTAAAAATCAGTACAAATTCAAGTTGAATAAGTAAAGATGTACTGAAGAGGCTGGCATTGGTCCTTAGGCTGACTCTGAAGGAGAAATGTCAATTTCTTTGATAGGAGGATAGTAATGCTTCTTCCCAGTAAGATTATGGTTCACAGTGAGAATATACTGACTGGCACATTGCAGTCATTGTCTACACAAGAGAGTGTAAGCATGAGAAAGCGTTAACAAATACTTTGTACCATGGAACATACACAAAAAGAATGCCATTCTTTCATAATAAGTAGTATTGCTGGGCAAAGAATATAAGGAGCACAGAAGTTTATGAGACACATGCTAAACAGGAACCACAAGAGGTAAGATAATTTAAAGCAACAATTAAAAAAATCCATTACCGGGTGTTTGGCAAACAAAGATATCTAAAAGAAAAACAAACCTAACAGTTTTCACAGGATTCTGTGAAGCTTTTGGGGGAAGGAGGAGGCGGTGCATTTGTAAGGAAATTAGGCTTCTATGTAAGATATCCTTAATATAAAAAGAAATATCTATAGAGAACTCCAACTTATAACATTTCCCCACTAAAGATGCAAAGTTAAACCATGTTACTCATGTCAAGCATGCCACTCCTCAGCACCAGCTATAGTTACCTGCACCCATAATTTATAAAAAGAAATTTGGTTTAGTTTATTGCTTTAAGGGAATACAGGACAGGACATTCACACTTTCCAAATTGTAAGAAAAAGAAATAGTTACAGAAAAATGTTAAGAATAAAACAAACTTATTCATTTTTAGCGACTTCCTGAATGTGATCTGTCTGGTCTGCCTAATTTGACACTGGCTAACCTATTGTCAACCTCCCACCTACACACATGTGCACAGGAGTGCTGGTATTCTTGGAAAACCCTAACAGATGGGCAGTACCTAATGACAAAAGGTGCATGGGAAAAGTTTAATTGAAGTTTAATCATCAGAATAACCAAGTAAATAAAACAAACTTGGAATAGGAAATAAAACATCTGGAAAAGGCTTTGCACATTTTAGCAATGTCTGCATTTTAAACCCTTGAAAATTGAAAATCCAATGCTAAGTGTGAATTTTAGATGGGGGGAAAATTACATTTTAAACACGTTTTAAAACACATTGGCTTACCTTTAAAAAATTCTATTCAATTTAACAAATATATAATCACACATAGTTCATTTTCCTTTGTGCCTACCCTCCAACACTCTCTCATATATCTAATTTGTTTTAGTGGACAGGAAACGCACCATATCCCCCTGCCTGGATGGGTGTTTTTGGAGAAGCACAAGCATATAGACTAAAATCCTCTGTTTGGAAGCCAGCCCGATTCAAGGAGGGTTCTGATGCACTGCGGTGAATTTTTGGCAATGAGCGGGCCAACAGCTCAATAGAGGCAAGAATCTAAAAAAAAAAGAAAAAAAGAAAGAATGAAAATCTAGGTGGTATTAGTCTTTAAAACCCTCATCATACTTTACAGCAGTGGTTTTTAAACTTTCTAATGTGTGACCCTTTAATATAGTTTCTCATGTTGTGGTGACCCCCAACCATTAAAATTAATTCATTGCTACTTCATAACTGTAACTTTGTTACTGTTATGAAACATAATGTAAATATATGTGTTTTCCGATGGTCTTAGGCGACCCTGCTAGCCTTTCTCAACATGTGGATTGTGACCCACAGATTGAGAACCTTGTAGGGGAGGGCAGTTAGGGGCAATCAGGCTGGCAGGGGAGCAGTTAAGCATCAATCAGGCTGTCAGGGGAGTGGTTAGGGGGTGATCAGGCTAGCAGGTAAAAGTGGTTAGGGGCAATCAGGAAGGCAGGCAAGCCAGCAGTCCTGGATTGTGAGAGGGATGTCTGACTGCCTGTTTAGGTCTGATCCCTCCAGGGGTCCCAGATTGGAGAGGGTGCAGGCTAGGCTGAGGGACACCCCCTCCCCCACGGCACCGTGTATGAATTTCGTGCACTGGGCCTCTAGTTAAACTATAATCTTTATAATGGTTAGCATAAAGGTAAGAAATAAGCAATGTTATAAATTTTTAAAAAATTATAAGCATATCGCCCTGGTTTGTTTGGCTCAGTGGACAGAGTGTCGGCCTGCGGAGAGAGTGTGCAGGAGGCAGCCAATCAATGATTCTCTCTCATCATCAATGTTTCTTTCTTTCTCACTCTCCGTTCCTCTCTGAAGTCAATAAAAATATATTTAAAAAATTACAAGCATATCACACAAATAAAAATTCAGATAATATGGAAAAGCATAAATCTTACCTCCCAGGGTAACCACTGCTAAAGAGTCTATACTTTCTTCAGGACCTTTCTTATGCATGAACATGCACATATTAAAACAGAGCCCACCCTCACACTCAACAGCATTTACGTCTCACACATTTTCCTGTGTTGCTTGTTCCCTTATTGATATGTATGCCATCTGCAGAGCCTACCTTGGCCTTCATGTCTTTACTTTTTCCTTTTACACTGCATAAACATTCTTGTACATATCTGAATACTTGTGGAAGCAGGTTCTGTAGTACACATTTTTAGGAGTGGAATTATCAGAGCAAAGGGTATATGTAATTTAAGCTTATGACTTTTACCAAGTCCAATCAAAAGACCTAACCAATTTACAGGCCACCAATACTGTTAAGTTTAAAAGGAAGGCTCTTCCCCCTTCCCAACACTGTGCCCCATGCTGCCTATTGCAATCCAGGGGCAAAAATAAAAAACTGATTTCACTATTGTATTACTCTGCATTTTAATAACTATCACTGACCTCTTTTTCTTTTGAAAATATATTTTTATTGAATTTTTACAGAGAGGAAGAGAGAGGGATAGAGAGTTAGAAACATCGATGAGAAAGAGTCATCAATCAGCTGCCTCTTGCACACCCCCTACTGGGGATGTGCCTGCAACCAAGGTACATGCCCTTGACCAGAATCGAACCCAGGACCTTTCAGTCCTCAGGCCGACGCTCTATCCACTGAGCCAAACCGGTTTCGGCTATCACTGACCTCTTAACATTTAGTCCTAAATTCATTTACCACTTGTATTTCTTTTGTGAATTGTCAATTCATATCCTCCGCTTTTTTTTTTTTTAATTTAACTCTTTTAATAGGATACATTTGAGTAAAGAATTGCTTCAAAAATTTGTCCTTCAAAAATATCACATTAAAAAATTAGTTTTTAATGACATTAGTGCTATTTTACATTTTTGCAGATCTCTTTAATATCTGGCTTAAAAGTAGACAACTAAATTCTCTTATTTAATCTTGCAGCCTTAAAACTGAGATACATCATTATATAGTGTTTAAAAGTCAAGTTCAAATTAAGAAAAACCACATTCCAGTAATTTAAGGAAAGAAAACAAAAAGAACACTAAGGTATGATGGGATAGTATCTGTTGAAATTAGCTGCCACCTCTGGACCTCAGGGAAATGTGAATGAGTCCTTCTTCCAGCTGAGATTGACCCAAAGAATCCCTCCCCCCCAATTCCCTTGATGCAGTTCCACCCTAATTCCAAAGGTTCTGAGGACACTTGTTACTTCCCACCTTTTCCAGACATTTGACATGGCTTGCATAATGGCCTATTATTAGCCATTTGCATATTAGACTAATCCAACTGATTAATTAATCCCAAGTGATTAGAATAGTGCCCAGTATGCAAATGTCCAATAAATTTTAATTTCTTTAGTGTCAAAATATATTTTCAACCATTTAAAATTGCAGAAATCTAGTTCATAGGCCTTACAAAATCAGGCAGTAGACTAGTTTGTCAATCTCTGGTTCAGATGATGCCTATTTGTATTGAGGAAGAGCATATAAAGATGCTATTCATTTTAAATAGAATGTGCTATCCTCAAGCACAAGGATATAAAAAATATGAGGGCAGGACTGGGGGAAAGAGGGGACAATGGGGGGATAAGGACACATTTGTAATACCTTAATCAATAAAAAAAAAATGCTCTCCTCATAACAGAAAGTATAAAAGCAACTAGCCATGTTAGCTATTTATTACAATTAAAAATGTAGCTGTGGCCGAAACCGGTTTGGCTCAGTGGTAGAGTGTCGGTCTGCGGACTGAAAGGTCCCAGGTTTGATTCCGGTCAGGGGTATGTATGTTGGTTTCCGGCACATCCCCGGTAGGGGGTGTGCAAGAGGCAGCTGGTCGATGTTTCTCTCTCATCGATGTTTCTAGCTCTCTATCTCTCTCCCTTCCTCTCAGTGAAAAATCAATAAAATATATATTTTTTAAAAAATGTAGCTGTGTACAGGCTCTCATTGGACTGTCCCATGCACCAAAGGTTGTGGGTTCAACTGATTGATGTTTCTCCCTGATTTTATTACCAGTTTTCATCCGAATCCATTGGGGAATGGGCCGATTCTGCTTTTGTTTCTTGGCCAGGAACCTCTTGATTCTTGTGGGAAGACATGATGGAGAAATGAACGCACGCACCTCGATGGTGGAGAGAGAGCCCTCTGCTTATTTTCTATTGATTATCTTTTATTTATTGATTTAAAGAAAACATTTGTATACTATAAATATTTAATCTTTGCTATACATGATATAATTATTTTTCTCCGTGTTTATCTTTCAATATTATTTTTACTACATAAAAGTTTAAAATCTTTTAATGGAGTCATACCTGCTAATCTTTTCCTTTATTATTTTTTAAATATATCTTTAAAAAAAATATATATATTATTGATTTTTTTACAGAGAGGAAGAAAGAGGGATAGAGAGTTAGAAACATCGATGATAGAGAAACATTGATCAGCTGCCTCCTGCACACCCCCCACTGGGGATGTGCCCACAACCAAGGTACTTGCCCTTGACCAGAATCGAACCTGAGACCTTTCAGTCCGCAGATTGATGTTTTATCCACTGAGCCAAACTGGTTTCAGCTAATCTTTTCCTTTTTATAACTTCTGGATGTTATCTCTTACTTAGGAAAGCCTTTCCTACTACCTCAAGGTTATAAAAATGATTTCATTTGTTTATAGTTTTGTTTTTAACATGTAAATCTTTTTAAAAAAATATATTTTATTGATTTTTTACAGAGAGGAAGGGATAGAGAGCTAGAAACATCGATGAGAGAGAAACATTGACCAGCTGCTTCTTGCACACCCCCTACTGGGGATGTGCCCGCAACCAATGTACATGCCCTTGACCGGAATAGAACCTGGGACCTTTCAGTCCGCAGGCGACACTCTATCCACTGAGCCAAACCGGTTTCGGCAACATGTAAATCTTTAGCTACTTGAAATTTATGTTTGTGTATAGTGTGAAAAGAGATCCTCTAATGAAAACTAAAAAATATTAGTTAAAAGGCGCTTCAAAAGTTTGGAAAATCAATGGATGCATTTCATTTTCTGATACCATGAAAATAATGAAATGTTATTTACATTAGGATACAGACATCTTAATACTTTAAATACTTTTTTTAAAAAGTGGGCCTACGTATATAATTTGCATTATGAACGTACATCAATCGTGTTAAATAGCAAACCCTAGCACCTGGGATGTGAAAAGAAGATGGTGTGGGCTCCTGCTGACACTGGCCAACAATATGGACTTTCCTTTGATATTCTTAAAGCAGTGATTTTCTGGGTAAACACACACACACACACACACACACACACACACCTCTTCCTCAAAAGAAGAGTAATTTAGAATTCCAATTTGTAAAACGTGTATCTATCCAGCCAACCAGTTAGCATCCCCTCCCTGCTCTGAGATGGCTCCTGAGAGATTTGATAAAACCATAAATTATATCTCTAATTCTTGAGATGGGGATAAAAGATTCACTCATTCCTGTAACAGTGGCCTTTGTCTAAGAAACTCAGTTAGGGGTAGATATTCAAAGGCATAGGTTTAGAAAGGACCAACTCAGTAATCAGTAATTATGGGAGCTGAGTAACTGGGAATCAGCACTTCCACTTGAAAACTGTGTTGATTGACACATTTATACAGTGTTGCCAGGAACTTCCTAAGCATGATAAAACACTGCCAGTGGGATGCTAAGTCACAATATCTACTATAACTAACTTTCTAAGCTTATTCAGGTAATTAAGTTCCAGTTTGTGAGGCTTACTGAAAGATCATTAACTTAAGGGCTTTAGCCTTACAACATAAACAGGTAAAAAGCAATGGAAAATTTCCAAAAATCAGAAAAAGGCAGCCAGTGCTGACAGATGCCATTTCCTTTAGCCTCAGGTGGAAATGGCCCTCAAAAAGGCCTAGTATTAAAGGGAAGTTTGGAATGTTTATTTTGCCATAAAAAAAATTAAAGCAGCAATTCTCAAAGTGTGGTCTGTGGAAAAACAATTTTCATCATAAACCAAGACATTACTTGCCTTTGTTACTGTCATTGTTTTATTTTTTACTAATCCTCACCTGAGGATACTTTTCTCATTGATTTTCAGAGAGAGTGGAAGGCAGGGAGGGTAAAGGGAGGAAAGAAGGCGAAAGAGAGAATGAGAAAGGGGGGAGGGGAAAAATGAAACATCGATCAGCTGCCTCCTGCACACCCTCTACTGGGATGTGCCCTCAACAAGGTTCATGCCCTTGACCGGAATCGAACTTGGCACCTTTCAGTCTGCAGGCCTACGCTCTATCCACTGAGCCAAACTGGGTAGGGTTCTCTTTTTGTTTTGCAGATTTGTAAAAAATGTAAAACAATGTTACTTTTCTCACTCATTTTTTTGTTTGTTTATGAAAACAATTATTTTTCATAAAAACATTGTTTAAATAAATTTATAAATATTTTAAAAACTTAGTTGAAAACACAGTTTTAAATTCTAAAATTGTAATTACTATACAAAAATCTCTTTGGGGGGTCTTTAATCATTTTAAAGTGTGTAAAAGGGTTATGAGACGAAATCATTTTTATTTTTATTTTTTTTAATTCTTTTTTTTTTTTTAAATATATTTTATTGATTTTTTACAGAGAGGAAGGGAGAGAAATAGAGAGCTAGAAATGTCGATGAGAGAGAAACATCGACGAGCTGCCTCTTGCACACCCCCTACTGGGGATGTGCCTGCAACCAATGTACATGCCCTTGACCGGAATCGAACCTGGGACCTTTCAGTCTGCAGACCGATGCTCTACCACTGAGCCAAACCGTTTTCGGCCCAAATCATTTTATAATGGTTAGGAAAAAGCCAAGTCTTTCTGAATAGTGTGAACTGGGATCCCAAGTTTTTAGGTGTGCCACTGTTCAACCTTTATGAAATCAACTCTGTGTTTACTTATTTGGAGTCTGTACATAATCATATGGGATCCAAACCCATGAAATATAAACTGTGTGCTCTAATAAGTGCTGAAAAAACCTGCATTTGAATATTAGGTAACATAAAGTTTTCTCTTACTTGGGGAAAGAGTGGTCTCTCGTCTCGTTTCTTTTTTAGGCACTCTGCCATTAATCTCTTCATGGCTTTTGGACAGTTACTTCGTACCTTACTGAGATCTGGAGATAGATATCCTCGTCCCACCATAAAAATTATCTGGGAAGAAAAAAAAGGCAAATTATAAAACTTGTAGATTAGTTGAAAAAAGGATAAAGATTGAAAATTCAACAAGCTATGCACGTAAGATGTGTACTTTTCTGTCTGCAAATTACACTTCCATAAAAAAATTTAATAACATAATGCTAATACTCTGATGCCTACATATAACTGGGAGCCAATACTTCAAGGGCTGCAAACTGAAATCTTCATGACTCCTGCACTACTGTTAAGATTTCCTAATTGCTCCCAGGCTCCAGTTGCCTTATCTAATCTATTTTCCACTGGTAGAATCATCATTCTTAAACACAGAACAGATTATGCCTCTTTTCTACTTAAGTAATTTATTGGGCATCATACTAAGCCCTTTATATATATGTAGCAGGAACCAACAAAGTTAACTTTTTAGTTTTTACATCAGCATTTTAAATTCTTTTGGTGAGGAAACTCTAATGGGGCATTTACAGTTATATAAATCTGAGAACCAGAGACTCCTCCAGAAAGAACTAAGTTCTGTTTAAAAAGTAAAAAGATCTGCCTTCCCTTTGCGGATATTTGTAATTTTTCTAATTTCTTAATTTGGACTCTTTTGAAGGTGGACGGAGACAGCTGTTAGGAGTCTTGTGACTTAGGGAGGAAAGAGGGGTTTTACTCTTAGAGGGAACTGGTCCAATAGGGCCAGACTAGAGGCTGAGGTAGAGAGCGCCTTGTTACAGGGCAGAGCTGATAATTTTAAGAAAGCCAAGATTGATATCCTACTTTATGTTATTCCCTGTTTGGTGATGTAATGACCCTTATTAACTATAAGCTGATTTGGCTAAGTACCACTAAAATGAAAGTATAAAGCTTATTCTTTTCCCACTTTACAAGTTACCTTTTACCAGTATGGAATTTCACTATAGTGCAAAGCGCTACAGGGTGTAAAACTGCAAGAGTACCAAAAGGACACTTTCAATGGGCAACACTCCCTTTACAAGGCAGTTGGTTTTCAATTCTTTGTTTTCAATAAAATTAATTGAATTGTCAGCTGACTATTAAAATAACTATTAATGACCAGTTATTATGTAATTTTTGGTATGTTCAAGAAATGAATTCAAATAACTTAGTGGAATGGTGTATGGTAAAGAATAATCTTGCCTACGTGGAGGGCCGGCCTTTCTCTGGCTCCTGGGAGGTAATCCCTAGCCTCTTGTGCCTGATAAGAGTGTCTTTGTTTACCTGGGGCCTGGGAAGTGTCAGAGAGTCTATGCTATGAATGTGATTTATAGAGGGGGCTTAGACTCTAGTGGTATCAGCTTGCCCTCTAAAGCTATGGTTGGCCACGGCAGTGATTAAGCATATCTACGTGACTAAGCCCCAATAACAACTCTGAATTGCAAAGCTCGAGTGAGTCTCTGTTTGGCAATACTTCATGCGTGTTGTCACACATTGTTGCCAGGAGTAGTGTTGTCCACAATCCCCCTGGGAGAGGACAACTGGAACCTCTTAATGCTGCCCTAGGTGCACTTTCCCTGGACGGATTTTAATTTGTTTCCTTTTCTTGCAACAAACTATCTGTGACAATTAACAACTTTCAGTGAGTTCTGTGAGACTTAATGAATTACTGAATGTGACAGTGGTTTGGGGACCACTGAACTCAGCATACATTATAATGAAACTCCTGATTTTCTTAGCTTCTTACTTATTTGAACAATATTTCTCAGTGCTTATTTCTTTAAAAACAAAACAAGGAAAAGGACTGATGCTAAGTCCAGCTCATTCTAGTGAAAGTTATATTTATCCACAGATTCATAAATAAATTGTAAAAAGCCCCATGTTGTTCATTAAGATACACATTTCCAATAAAATTTTACCTTAAATGTTTCTTAAATAATAAAAACTTATTTCCATCACTTATACATTGATAGTTATTAATAATGGAATAAGTCACAATTTAAAAATAGCATTCAGAGCTGATAAAAATCATATTTTTAAATTTTAAATTTAAGTAGTAATACAAGTGGTTCAAAGAAGGAAAAAAAAAAGAGCCATGTAAAACTTCTAAAAATTAATGAAGAGTTTTTATATACAATAGTATTTTTTAAAGAAGTGATGGTAGGCATCAAATCAGCATGGCTTTTACGTTTTATTGGGCACTTTAAAAAAAGGTTATAATGGCTTTATTTTGAAATGTTAATATAATACACTAGCAATTACATTCTTTGTAATTATTTAAACTTAAGAGAGAGTCTTTCTTGGATGTAATTCATGGATAGAAGATTCAAGTGGCACACACACTAGTAAATCAGTGGCTTGGTTTGAAATTCTGGGACTGGTTATTTTCATTCTCAATCCACACTCAGCACTCCTGGCATCTCCACCTCTTCATTCACTCCTCTGTATACATCTGTTTATCGTCAGTATCACCCACCTGCACTGCCTCAACAGAACTGTAAACTACTAAGAGCTCAGCCTGGGTTTTATTCATCTCTATATCCCTCTATATCACACAGTGCTTTGCATATAGTATCAAATTTTTTTATTGAAATAATGTTTATGTTGATAAGACAATAGTACTTATCATTTCCTGTCTCTTGAGATCTTGTGCTCAGTACTCAGCCACCAGGCTATGAGAAAGTCCAAGTTTCCCATGAAAAAATCCTCACATAAAGACCCAGGTGGAGAATAACTGAGGACTCTGGCTGGGCTTCCACTTGAAAGCTAGTGCCCCCTTGTCAAGTTTGTGAATGAGCCACTTTGGAAGCGGATTCTTCCTCACTGAATCTACCCCAGATAATACCACGTGAAACAGATAAACCTTCCTCAATGAGAACAGCCCAAATTGCAGATGCTTAAGTTACTTAAGCCACTATGTTTTGGGTGGTTTGTTAAACAGCAATAATAACTGGAATACACTTGAAATAACAGATAAATGCAATGTTATTTTCTTCTAACATGACATGGCACTTCTGCACCAAGAAAAGAAAGCCCTGAAGGTAGGCAGTTAATATACCTAGCTAATGAGCACATTATACTAGTAAATCTCAATTTAGTAAGAAGCTGTACTGAAAGAGGGAAGAATACAGTAATAAGAGAACAAACTGGAATCATACAGAGAAGAAAAAAATGACAAAGCAATTTCTCAGATTTCAGCATTAGGGTAACTAAAGTAAAAGGTATGCTACTCTGCAAAGTAACATAGGCTGGTCATCCCTTAAGGATCTTAAGAGACCTGTTTTAGGAAAGATCCTGATTTTCATAACTGGAAGGAATTCTTTAGTCAAATTTCTTATTTTTATAATTGGAAATCAAACAAATACCCCCCCCCAAAAAAAAACAACAACAAACAAACACAAAACAAAAACAAAACACAACATACAAACAACAAAACACAAAACATACACCTACAGAGGTAATGTGACCAGGTTATGCAGGTTATGAATCCAGGGTCTGCCATTACATCATGCTACTTTACCAGAGTCCTGCCTTGAATTTACTGCCATTAAAACTATACCTATCATCTCTGACTATACAGGTGAGAGCATGGGGAAGTAGTTTCTGTTATTGTAAAGAAGCAGCTTTCTCATCTACCATGAAAAAAGAATATTCCTAGATTTTCAAGCAGAAGTCAATCTGAGAGCCATGGAAATCAAAGTATAAGAGAAGGAAAGAAAATCAAATCAAAGGGATGGTGTGAGCAATGACTGTGGTTACACTTCATTGAGGATGACTCAAATTAGCAACTCAGGAGGGAGTTTCACAGAAAGTGCCATTGGAAGAAAGCAAACTAGATGATACTGAAGAATGATAATGGGAAGAATATATCACTCCTTTTTTTTTTTTTCCCCCCTCTTAACAGTTTTTGCATTTTTATTTTATTTTATTGGTTTTACAGAGAGAGGGAGAGGGAAAAAGGGAGAAACATCATTTAGTCACCAACCAGGGATTGAACCACAACCTGGATATGTGCCCTGAATTAAACCCTTCGGTGCATGGGACAATGTAACAATCAACTGAGCCATAGCAGCCAGGGCAGTATATGGTTCTTTTACCTCCATTTTCTTTATCAAATACTTAACTTGGTTTTAGACTGGCAAATTCCATAAGCCTCTAAGTATTCTACCAGAAAGAGCTAACTACCCTGTTTTCCTGAAAATAAGACAGTGTCTTATATTAATTTTTTTCTCCCAAAGTTGCGCTAGGTCTTATTTTCAGGGGATGTCTTATCTTTCCATGCGCTAGGTCTTATTTTCGGATGATGTCTTATTTTCGGGGAAACACAGTAATAAAGGCCTTACCCTTCTGTTGGTCACTCACTTATTTCTCTCAGGAAAGGAAGTCCTTGCCACATCACTTATTATACTCCCATGGAAGACAAAGTGCCTAAAATGCCAAAAACTCTGGGATGCTTTTATCCATATTTTGGAGATAATAATACTTGTTTCCATATATAATTTTATTGTTTTATTAAAATAAGTATATTCACTAGTAAATGGCTGTCATCTACATTGACAAATTTTTATTATTTGTAGTTATCTATGTAAATCAACAAAAACTAAACTGTAATTCCCATATAATTCCTTTAGAAAAATACTTTGCATAGGAAAAGTGAACATAGCATGGGGATTATGTTATTTGACTGAGGAAATGAGAGAGTAAAAGACAGAGCTCACAAAGCTTGCTAATTAGAGACAACAATCTTGCTACTCAAATTGCTGTCATCAGTATTTCAGGGATCGCGAATCTGTCACGAGTACAGTAAGTAATATATTTCAGTTATATCCTTCAGCTAGTATTTTGGTCCATCATGAATTTAAGTTTCATGTAGGCTTAAAATATCAGATCATCAAAAGCTAGGCCATAGATTTTTTTTAATACTCAAAATAAGTTTCAACATTCTAAAGATATGAAATAGTTAAAAAGACCAAACAGCAACTAAAAAATTAGTTTTGTGTTGATTTGGGTAGAAATATAGTCATTAAAAATATTTCAAAATATAGAATTAAGACTACTATTAGGTAAGGGCCATATGATAATTCAATGAGCATATATCAAGTACATGATAACTTAGATTACTTTTATGACTTCGCATTGATAGTGGTAGTTCTTAGTGAGAGAGCTATCACCAAAAAGATTGGTAGTTGAGCTCTTGACTAAAACACATACTATTTAATGAAAAAAAAAAAAAAAGGAAAAAAAATAAAGAATATTACAAGGAAAGGCCTTACATGCTGCTATTACTATCAAAAGTATTCAAAAGGTATCTAAACTGGTGACAAGGACCCAGAGGTCTATCCCTCATATGTATCCAGGATATCAAACTTCTTTTCTACAATGAATTAGAATTGGAACTTAATATAAATAGTAAAATACATCACGAGATGATAAACATTTACCTGGTCCCTGTTGTTGATGTTTGAATAAGGTAATTGTCCAGTCATCAATTCATACAGAACAATCCCAAATGCATATACATCTGATTGAAAGCTATAAGGGTTTTTGTCTTGCATTCTGATTACTTCTGGTGCCTGTTAGAAAAGAAATAGAAAAATGTTGTTTATTCTTTACTTTAACTGAATAAAGACTAAAAACCAAACTATTATGATTCCCAGAAAATTGCTCTTATCATTAAATAACCCACCTAATATATAATTAATTTTCTTACTAATGGTCAAAGAAATATAACTGATTAAGAAAGAGTAAAAATATGCCCTGTAAACTCTAAAAGAGGCAGTGTTAGCTGAGATTCTATCTGTATTACTATTAATATTTTAATAATTTTACCAGCTGTCCTCTTTTTACACAAAATATCATCATTGCTATTTAAATTCTTCCCTTGACTTACCTACCGAGAATTAGTTCCTACTTCCCATTCATGTTTCAGCAAATAAATACTATACCTGTGGTTGTAAGATGTTTGGGAGTAGCACAACCACTATGGCAATTGCCTTAGAATTTTAAGTTTTCCCGTTGGTACAAATGATTCCCATCTAGAATACCTCAGATAACAATGGCAAAATTTCAAGACTTATAAACTCAAACCCCTTTCCCACCTCCAAAAATGGTATAAGCATGCCAAAGATGCCTTATTAACAAAAGCAATAGGTAGTGGGTAGATTTAATAGAAGGTAGTATGAAAAATCTTTTTGCTGCTGCTTCTTGGGCAAAGATATACAATAGACCAAATCATATGTGCTATATACGTTTTTGTATGTTTTGGTCACTGTATTCTACAGGTAGATTTCTTATTGGCTACTTACTTGAAATACAACGAATGATTGATTAAATATTAGCTTTAAACAGTTATTTCACCTTGAATCTTCTGTACTGTTCCATTTGGAAGGAATCAAATAAATTGAAGGGTATTAATAAAAACTCTGTGAAAACATTAATTTGATACCAAAACCAGGACTAACTGTAAAAAGGCTGAAAGACCTGGGACAAGAGTCCTGGTTCCTGGTCAGAGTAAGGTACAGGGCAGGGAATAACGGCCCTGAGCCTCACCTGTGAAGCCTTAACCCTCTCAAGGTCCAGACTATATTCCAGCCCAAGAACACAACATTAGAATCTGGGGATACATTGGTTAGTTTTTAAAGCTCCCCAGATGTTTTTAATGCTCAACCAAAGTTGAGAACCACTGATGGGAAGATGTGTGGGAGGGAGATCCTATTAAGAGTGAAAGGATGGGGGTAAAGGGAGGGTTGTATCTACTTGTTTTTGTCTTACACTTTACTGATATTGCTTTTACAGTACAAAATAAGCCACATACAACCATGATGTAATGAACAAGCCAGAAAACTGAGAGGCTGGTTATGATACAGACATAATTAAAAATATATATATTTTATTGATTTTTTACAGAGAGGAAGAGAGAAGGACAGAGAGTTAGAAACATCTATGAGAGAGAACCATCCCCTACTGGGGATGTGCCTGCAACCAAGGGACATGCCCTTGACCTGAATCGAACCTAGGACCCTTCAGTCCACAGGCCGACGCTCTATCCACTGAGTCAAACCGGTTTCGGCTATAGACATAATTTTCAAAGCCAGAACACAATTTCTGTGAGGAACAGAGTAATAAATCAATTGAAAAGTTGCCTTTAAAATTTAGTTTTAACCTCACTGTTGTTGGTAGATGACTTGATAAAAAGTAGCATGTCATCTATTTACAATTTATGCATTATGAATCCTGTTAATTTAGTGTTTTAATTTGCAAAACATTTTTTTTTTTACAAAGTTTTCTTTCCCTTTTAAGCTATAAATAAAACAAGGCTGAGGAGACTTATTGTAAATCAGAGCACTATATAACCTTGGTTCTGACCAAACTTTTCTTTCCTAGCCTATGGATGTTCTAAATTTGTTTCTGAAGGCAATATCAACCCGAAAAGATTTATTCAACAATTAAATGTACTATTGGCTAGTCTCTCATCTTCAAACTCAGTTTGGGGAAATAAAAGATGAACTCATCTATCCAGGTATCAACAAAAAAGAAACTAGAACAAAATATAAAACTTCATGTATAATAATCCATTAAGGTCTTTGAATAAAGACAAACCCAAACTCTTGACTAAGCCTCTCTCTCCCACACTAGTTTAAATAAACACACCTCTAAAATGTGTATCAATTATTTCTTTATAATTTTAATGATTTTGCAATTCCAGTATTTAAAAATCTGTTGTACCCTCCTTGGATACACTGCCATCTTTTTAAAAAGTTGTGTACCTTAAAAGTGCCCGAGATTTGCATTATAATTACTAACTAGCCTCTTGTTTATAATTTTGTATTAAAACAATTAAACATATATTAAAGAAAAATTCTTCCCAGCTTTAAATACTGAATCTTAGAAATAGAAATGGCTTTAGAAATGCACTAGTCCAGTCCAGCATTAAAGATGGAGACTTGGAGGCAGTTCAGAAAAGTGCAGATAAGAGTCACACAGAACATTACAGTACACACCTCCTACCTCTAAATTCAATTCCCCTTCCACTTTATAGCTTGCCCTAATTTCAGTTATTACAAGAAACTATAGCTCAATTTAACCCTAGGCTTATTTGGACTAATTCAGAACCCTACCTTCTTGGAGACTTATACAGAGAGCTCGAAGAACTTAGGCAAATGTGGCTCTGAAAGCCTCTCACTGCTTTTCTGTTTCCAGTAGGGTGTCCCAGAGTGCACACTCTGTTATTTAAAAACTGCACTAATAGTTTTGGGACATCCTGTATTCAGCTTAGAGCAGCAGTTCTCAAACTTTATGGTCTCAGTACTCATTCAATCTTGAAAATTACTGAGGCCCTAGCCGGTTTGGCTCAGTGGATAAGAGTGTCGGCCAGCAGACTGAAGGGTCCCTGGTCCGATTCCAGTCAAGGGCACATGCCTGGGTTGTGGGCTTGATCCCCAGTGTGGGGCATATAGAAGGCAGCCAATCAATTACACTCTCTCATCATTGATGTTTTTATCTCTCTCTCCTTCTCTTTTCCTCTCTGAATTCAATAAAAATATGTTTAAAAAAAAAGAAAAGAAAATTACTGAGAACCCCCAAGGAGCTGATATATTATACCTGTGGATAAATACTCATACTAAAACTAAACTGAGAAATTTAAAATATTTATTAATTCATTTGAATAATAAAACAGCAATAAGTAGATGCTAACACAAATTACACATTTTTAATGAAAAGTAACTGTATTTTCCAAAACAAAAAATTTTAGTGAGAACAGTCCTACAGTTTTTTTTTTACTATCTGGTTTAGCAGTAGCCAGCTCGAGTCATCTATTTTGCTTCTGCATTCAATCTGGTGTGATGTTGTTCTGGTCAACATCTGAGGAATATGAAGAATAACCTGGGCTCACACAAGAATGACCTTGGTGACTTTTAAAAGGGTCTTGGGGACCCTCTTGAGAATTACTGCTTAGAGAATGATTCCTAGACTATCTCCATAGCCTGCTAAAGATAACTACACAGAAGTCTGGGTTCCTTTCTTTCATATGTTCTCTTTCTTCTTTTCTACAAAGTAGAAATAGGAATAAAGAAAAAAGAACCCAGCCGGTTCAGCTCAGTGGTTGAGCATCGACCCAGGAACCAAGAGATTGCTGGTTTGGTTCCTGGTCAGGGCATGTGACCGGGCTGCAGCTCAAACCCTAGTAGGGAGCATGCAGGAGGCAGCCAATTGATAATGTTCCCGTTATAGATTTTTCCCTTCTTCTCACTAAAAATCAATAAAAACATGTAAGAAAAAAAAAAAAAAAAAAAAAAAAAAAAAAAAGAGAAAGACCTATGTAGGGCAGCACAAAGCTGGCAGTGTTAAAAACCTCTCTTTTTTTCTCTCTCTCTCCTCTTCCAGGTGCTCCATAATTATATGGTTCTTTCTAGTCTAAATAAAGTAACTCCAATTTAGGCTTAAATAAGACTGTGAAATAGCCTCTCCTCTTCTTAAAAAAAATTTTTTTTTAAATCAACTTTTTTTGAGCGAGAGGTAGAGGGGAAGGGAGAAACACTGGTGTGAGAGCCCTCATGTATGCCCCCTACTGGGAACTGAGTTGCAACTCGGGCATGTGCCCTGACTGGGAATCATACTGGGAATCTTTCAGTGCACAGGACGATGCCCAACTGAATCACATGGGCCAGGGCAAAGAGCCTCTCTTTATTTTAAAAAATATATATTTTATTGATTTTTTTACTGAAAGGAAGGGAGGTAGATAGTTAGAAACATCCATCAGCTGCCTCCTGCACACCCTCCACAGGGGATGTGCCAGCAACTAAGGTACATGCCCTTGACCGGAATCGAACCTTTGACCTCTCAGTCCACAGGCTGACGCTCTATTCACTGAGCCAAACCGGTTTTGGCCAAACAGCCTCTCTTTAAAGGAGTAGTTCTCTTCACAAACCTTAATAATGGCTGTAGGTCACACATGCTTAAATTGCATACTTTAAAACAAAACAAAACTGGGAACAAGGAACATTTGGAACACAAAATATTTTAGAGACAATTTAAAATAAAATATAAAGTGTTTAAAAAACATATTTTTGTTTGAAAGATACTGAAACTAGTTTCATAATATTATTTTTAAAGATAAAAATTTATTTACATAAAAAATAAGATGTTGATTTTTGTGAATACTAGGAACTATTAAAATACTATAGTTGAAACCTTCAATGACTTTCTAGTACTCATTAGCATCTCAGGGTCCCAAAAATTAATGTAAAAAGGCCTCAATTCTTACCATCCACAGAATGGATCCAGACAACTGTTCAAACTGATGGGACCCACTCCATCGAGATTTCACTGTGGCTAGACCAAAGTCACCTATTTTTACTGTGAGGTCTTCATGAAGAAAAATATCTGTGGTGTAGTAAGTAAAGGAAAACAATAGATCTCATTTTCCAATCAGAACAAGCATTATGAAATTTAGGTAAGAGATCTAATTCTTATGATTCTGCAATATGAAATTCTTTGAAAAAAGGTGTAGTATTTTATAAATTAGTTAGGTCTATTTGCCTGTATGACCTGGTTTTAAGGTTTTGGAGGCTTGAAATGAGGTAGAGTAAGGTGAGATGCTTTCCTAAGTGTATGAGACCCTGAAACTTCCCACAAGGTTTTAGTATATAGGCCCAAATATCCTTTTGGCACTGCTGGGGAATGGTAAAGGCTCTTCACTGGAATGAAGGTGGTTGGTAGACAGGATCTTAACCTGAGTTTATGAAAGAGGAAAAATATGTTTTTCTCACCTCACATTATCCGTAACTTAGAGCCTTCAGCTACATCTTACCTACTGCTGAGCAAGGTCAGAGTGCTAAAAGGAACTAGTAGATAACTACAAACTACTTGCTTTACAGTGCTGATAGAACATAAGCAAGCAATCAAAAAGAGCCCTACTTTCATAAAGATTTCATAGATTTTTGTTGTAATGCTCAATCGTTCACAAACCAAAAGCAGGCTGTAGTACCTTGTTCTACTACACTTCCATGCAAACCCATTTATTAATTCTCTTTACAATACATTGAACTTAGCATGAAACTTTTTTACATAATATGAAGATAAAATGCAGAAGAAAAAGTCAGGATGTTTTCAAACTTCGCAGACAAATTTCAGGAAGGATACTATTACTCTTGAGGTCTCTGTGGATGATTGACTTGGCGTGTAAGTAACTGAAAAACAAAACATCATTTTAACCTGAGTAGGGCTAAGTACTCTGGCCTCAAATTTTATAGAACATATTTAGGGGTATAAATAAAGAAGTGTTTAAATCATGATACAACTTAAACTGTACAATGTGATAACCCCTTTACATATGAAATAAAAAAATAGACTGTAAATGAATTTAAGATTAGAGGAACATATTACTAACATGGTACAGCCAAAATTTTGTTTTCCACTAAAAGATTTTGCTTTACCTTTTACTATTTCCCAATACAAACCTTTCACTCCAGTAAAGTTTATTTACCCAGGTCCTTTAAATATCCCCTCCTATACCCATCCCTCAAATTAGTTTTGTGCTATCCTCTACCTATTCATACCACTCCTTTAAGATTGAATATACAATCTAACGCTTTTCTATGAATAACTCACTGTAAGGGATCTTTCTCTGTTCAGTTATATAGAAATTATTGGAACAGCCTGATTCAATATTTTTCCACCTATGTTCACTTTCTGTTTAAAAGTTTGATTGATAAAACCATTTTTAAAGGTAGTATTAATATGTCCTTAGAATACTCTCTTAAAATCAGTGTGTAGCAAACTTCCTCTATAATAGCTTTAGTTAAGTTCATTGAGGGAAAAGGGCTGGGCCTAGTTTATTTCTGTTTATCCCCAGTGCTGAGTACAGTGCCTGGCATAAAGCATTTAAAATACATCAATTAAATCAACTATATTGAGATGCATATAATGTCCTAGTCAAGGTTATTTTTCTTCATTTAAAGCTGGAGAAAACAAATATATGAGACTTCTGAAATTTGACAATGACTATTAGGAAATAAGTTTTGCTTTAAAATGAGATTATAACATCACTGTTAAAAATAGGTTTGTAAATCATTAAGCTTATAATTTATATGTTTTCATCTAAGCTTCCACATCCTCTTACAGAATAAGATTTTGATATTTTTTTAGACAAAATTTTCATTTCAAAACCCAAGCTCCTCCTCCAATTACTCTGACTTCACACTATTTCTTTCAGAGCTTTTACCACAATCTAAAATTATCTTTTCATCATGACTTTTTAGGTCCAGTGTGGTTTCAAACACAAAAATTTAATTGAACCCAAAGTTCTGCAGTGACACAGAAAGAAAAAAAACATATGGCATCTTAGCCAGTTTGGCTCAGTGAATAGAGTGTCGGCCTATGGATTGAAGGGTCGAAGGTTTGATTCTGGTCAAGGGCATGTACCTTGAATGAAGCTCTGGCCCCAGTTGGGGCATGTGCAGGAGGCAACCAATTAATGTGCCTCTCACATGAATGTTTCTCTCTGTCTCTCCGCCTCCCTTCCACTTTCTCTAAAAATCAATGGAAATCCCCAGCTGGTTTGGCTCAGAGGATAGAACATTGGCCTGTGAACTAAATGGTCCCAGGGTTTGATTCCAGTAAAGGGCACAAACCTTGGTTGTTGGCTCATCCCTGACCTGGGCTCTGATTAGGGAACTAACAGGAGGCAACCAACTGATTTGTTTCTCTCACTTCGATGTTTCGGTCTTTCCCCCTCTCTAAAAAAAAACAAAAAACAGTTTTTTGAGGTGAGGATTAACAAAAAACAAATAAAAATAGGTCTCAATTGAAAGCATTTTTTTTTTTTTTTCTCCATTAGGAGAAGGGAGATAAATGAGACAGTGTGCATGGTGAAACTCTGTGCTTCAGAGGGCTGGTGTTTAGCCACAGAAAGGTGTTAAGTGTCTAAAGAAGTTCTGTTTCCTTTGAAATTAAAAACAACAAGATGTGTGGTTCATAGGTAGAAAACATGGCAGCATGATGAAGTTACAAGGAAGATAAAGGTGTTCTTGATGGATGGTGTCAATCTTTTCAACAAATCTGATACAAAGAAATATAGTAAGAATACAGTAGATAAAAATATAACTAGAGGGCTGAGGAGAGAAAATTTATGATCAAGAAAATATTTGGTAATTAAGATATAAATATGATTGCTGAGTTAGCAATATAGCCCTAGTAGAAACTGTTGAGCATAAATCTATTATAGGTCAAAGTTGCATATAACTGCAACTTGTTTAAAATCTGCTTTTTTTTTAATTTAAAAAAGTATATATATTTTATTGATTTTTTACAGAGAGGAAGAGAGAGGGATAGAGAGTTAGAAACATCAATGAGAGAGAATCATCAATCAGCTGCCTCTTGCACACCCCCTACTTGGGATGTGACCGCAACCAAGGTACATACCCTTGACCAGAATTGAACCCGGGACCTTTCAGTCCGCAGGCCGACGCCCTATCCACTGAGCCAAACCGGTTTCGGCTAAAATCTGCTTTCTTAATTTTTATTTAATTTAATAAATCTTTCTGTTACATCTCTATAACAAAAGCAGCAAAAGAACAAAAAACCAGGTCTATATAATAATGGCAGATTAGAAAGGGACTCAAATTCCCCAGCTGAAAAAATGGGATGAATATCGTACCTCAATTCCCACATAATATAATGTTCCAGAGTAATTACTACACAAACTGACACTAGAACACAACTTCCTAAGCCCCTACCAGTCATAACAAAGATAACACATAACTGGTTGAGGGCAAAAAGGAAACAAGAAAAAATGAACTTGCTGCAGCTGATACACAAGTCTATCCATAATGTAATTAAATTACCTCCTTCTTACCTTTCCAAGATGGTAATGAGAAACATAGCTTTACAAAAGTAGTAGGAAATTAAAAAAAAAATGCTACAAACTAAATGAGTATCATTATCTTGATAGGTTTCTCCTAGGCGTCACCTTCCTTGAAGAAATAATGTCTAGCTACAGAATCATTTAATCTTAAAGCTGGGATCATCTAGTAAAATTTGTCTCTATGCTGCTTCTTTCAAACTCTTATCCAAAATCCAGCCTTCCAACATTCTTTTTAGGGCATAATATAATACCCCCAAAGTAAATACAATACTCTAGATTTGATCTGATTAACACACACTAGAGTGAAATTCTCATCTTCATCTACCATTTGAATGTAAGACTTGAAACCATAAAACTCCTAGAAACAAAACCTAAAAGCAAACACTATAAAACTTTTATAAGAAAACAGAATTACAACCACCTCTTGTACATGTACAACATTTTACTTATTTATTTTAAAAAATATTTTTATTGATTTCAGAGAGGAAGTTCCACTCAGCCATGCTTTCTGTGGTTCTGAATGATGTCTTTGCCTTTTAGTTGTAGTTTTGAAGTGGTTGTTTGAGGCAGCAATTTCAGGTGTTTACCTTGGCCGCAATCTTGGTTTCTCTCCCCAAAATATTTTTAATTGTTTTATATTCAGAACATAACACTTCTGTGAGTTTAACATCAGACCACAGCTTTCCTTTGTGCCTTCTTCATTTAACATTTAGTAAAGTTTTGAATAAAGCTAAATTAAAAATTATACCTTAAATATTATACTGACATTAAAAGTCCTGCAAAGAAATAACATGATGAATTTGAACATTCTTGAAATTTCTTTAGTAACAATATTCTTGAAAATCTTGGCCCATATGCTAAATCCACAACTATCAGGTGAGAAGCTGATAAACATACTTTATGAACCTTGATTCTTAAAAGTAAGTCTATAATGATCTACTATTAGAATGGCTCTGCCCTCTTTAAGTAAACCTAGGAATCAGAAATCATCATTCATTGAGGAAATAAGGCAAAACCACACAGGAAAAAAGTCACACACCCACTGCTTACATTCTGTAATCCAATTAAGGTGACACATTTGAGAGGCCCAATAATTTAACTCTCCTACTGACTACAACCCCAACTCTTTATACAATGAGTTAGTATGCTTTATTCTACTTACTAGAGGTCTGGTGGACGACATTTGTGCACCCAGGGTGGGGTCTTTAGCACTGCTGTGGAAGCAGGAGAGGCTCCTGCCACCGTTGCTGTGCTCACCAGCCATGATCTTGGCTTCTGGCTGAGCATCACTCCCCCTGGGAGTGCACTGATAACCAGGGGGCAACTCTTATATTGAGCGTTGCCCCCTGGTGGACAGTGTGCATTATAGTGTCTGGTTGTTCTGCAAGTCGGTCATTTGCACATTAGCCTTTTTATTATATATGAGGACTAGTAGCCCGGTGCACAAAATTCGTGCACTGGGGTGTTGTCCCTCAGCCCAACCTGCACCCTCTCTAATCTGAGATATTCCTCTCACAATCCAGGACTGCCAGCTCCCAACTGTTTGCCTACCTACCTGCATGATTGTCCCTAATCGCTTCTGCCTGCCAGCCTGATCGACGCCTAACTGCTCCCATGCCGGCCCGATTGCCCCTAATCGCCCTCCCCTGCTGGCTTGGTCAACCCTAACTGCCCTTCCCTGCCAGCCTGATTATCCCTAATTGTCCTCCCCTGTATGCCTGGTCACCCCCAACTGCCCACCCTTGCCAGCCTGGTCACCCCCAACTATCATCCCCTGCTGGCTCAGTCACCCCTAACTTCCCTCCCTTGCCATCCTGGTCACCCCCAACTACCCTCCCCTGCTGATCCAACTGTCCCTACCTGCCCTCCCTTGCCATCCTGATCCCCTCCTAACTGCCCTCCCCTGCTGGCCTGGTCCCCCCCAACTGCTCTCTGCTGCAGGCTTGAGTCCCCTCAACTGTCCTCCCCTGCAGGCCTGAGCCCCCTCAACTGTCCTCCCTTGTAGGCCTTGTCGCTCCCAACTGCCCTCCTGTGCCAGCCCGGTCACCCCTAACTGCCCTCCCCTGCTGGCTTGATCACCCACAACTGTCCTCCTCTGCTAGCCATCTTGTGGCAGCCATCTTTGACCACATGGGGGTGGCCATCATGTGTTGGAGTGATGGTCAATTTGCATATTACATCTTTATTATATACATAGGATGCCCTAACACTTTAGAATACATTTTGTAAAGTAGTCTGAAAGATCACCAACAACACTTGGAAAACATTCAGGGGGAAGACTTTTGAAACGAAGGCTTTGCTAAAGTATATTAATAATGGCTATTTAAATAGTCTATGTACTTTGTGAAATGATGGTGAAGGACAGGGGAGGAGGAACCAAACATTTAAAAGTTAAGTATAAATAATTGTGAAGGATGCCATTTCTAGTATACTGTAAATATCAACATTTAAACATTTTTTATTGTTATCAGAAAGTTTCTTTAAAGCATCTGTTCTTGTTCTATGGATCGAAAAACTTCCTTTTATAGCTGAGGAAATGGACAGTTTTCTGGGGGGCGGGGTACCTCATTCCTTGCATGGTTTGTTTATTCCTAGTTGCCTTCCCCTTTTGCCCCCATTGGTTTGGTCTTTCTCATGGGCATCACAGACTTTCCCTCTGATGTCTGTGGTGAGCCAGAGATAATTTCAGACTGAGTGAAGGTCTAAAAAGCTGCATGAAGGCTTTAGCATATAGATGGGCTGTTTTTGACCTTCCTTGTACAGTGAGTGATCTAGGTGGACTTCTTGAAGTCACCACTTTTGGGTTTTTCCTCTCAGTTGGTAAGATTCTTCACAGAAGACTCTTCCAATGTTTTGTGTGAAGGGTAAAGTTCAGCTGCTAGCATTCTGGAAACCAAATGAAAAGAGAGTGCTGAGGAACTCCCTATTCATTGTTCAGCAAATAGCCATATTTCTAATAAAGTGCCCATGTCCATATCCCCAGTCCAGAGATATATGTTTTTCTCTCTCTAGAGAATAAACTTTCAGTCTACTACCAGGAATGGGACAGTCAACCAGTGCATGAAGCAGGTGAGATTTTGAGAAGTTTTCCAGATAGGCCTTTTGATTTATGTCCTCCCCCTCCTCCAGAAATATCTGGCACTGCCAACTCTTGAGACTTTTGAGGATTCTGTGGTTAAAACAGGTTATTTTCATTTCTCCATGGCCAAGTAATGATTTAGCTTTTTTGGGTCTACTAAGTCCATGATTATTTCTCCATTTGTTTTTTAGCTTATAAAATGTTGTTGCTATTATTTCCTTTCTGTTATCTTCAACCTTATATGTTTATGCTGAAAAAAGAATCCTTTATTATAGTTTCAGTGAAGTTTCACGATAGCATAAATCTGTCATCTTATCTGAAACCCACGTAGCTATTTTATGTATGTTTTTAACTTAATTGTGGTAAACTACAGGGTACCCCCCCTCAATATGTATACACTTCAACAGCTGATAGCCCCATTATGAAAATGAAATATATATTAATAAACTCTCCTTTATAATACAAAGAGTGTGTATACATTTTTTTGTATATAATATATATAATAAAATTTCCCATTTTAACAATTTTATGTATACAATTCAGTGATATTAAGTATACTTGCAATGTTGCGAACCATCTATCAAAATTTTTTTATTATCCCAAACTTCATTTCTGTTTTCTTTAATTTCTTTCAGCAGTGTTTTACACTTTTTAGAGTACAATCTTTTATCTCCTTGGTAAAACTTATTCCTAGGTATTTTATTCTTTTGCATAGTCTGGAAATAAGATTTTTCTCTTTAATTAATTAAAAAATCAAATTTATTGAGGTAACAATGGGTAATCATATTATATAAATTTCAGGTGTACAATTTTATAATATGATGACATCTTTATACTCTATTGTGTGCTCACCATCCAATGTCTAGTCTCCTTCCATCATCTTGTATTTGACCCCCTTACCATCCTCATTCTCCTTCCCACCTCCATTCCCCTCTGGTAAATGCCACACAGAGAGCCATGTTCTACATTCATAGCCAGGTACAGTCATTATATTTTGATTGCTACTTAAAATGCCAGCAAAGCATTTCAGAGTAGATAAAAAGACTTCAAGAGTTTACACTTACAGATCCCAAACTGAAAGCAATAAAAAAATATTGCCTCATTCACTGACTATTCCCCAGACTACAGAACTATTCCAATTTGATAGCGTTCTTCTCTACTGTCATTTCTTGTCTTAATCAATACTGGCATTTGACTGCCCCATCACTGTTTCTAAAAAGAATTCTTATTACTGTTCTTTGCTGCCTCGGTTTATAGCAAAAGCCCTTTCCTCTCTGATATCCTTTTATTACTTTGTGGACTATTTTTTCTTTCCTTGACATTTCTTAATTTTGGTATGAGAAGGATTTGGCTTCTTTTTTTCCTAAAAGGTGAACAATACTACTCAGTTAAATCCTTCTTAATTTTTAAAAAAATATATATTTTATTGATTTTGTACAGAGAGGAAGGGAGAGAGATAGAGAGCTAGAAACATCGATGGGAGAGAGTCATCGATCAGCTGCCTCCTGCACACCCTCTACTGGGGATATGCCCGCAACCAAGGTACATGCCCTTAACCGGAATCGAACCCGGGACCCTTCAGTCCCCAAGCCGACGCTCTATCCATTGAGCCAAACCGGTCTCGGCTCCTTCTTAATTTTTTATTTCACAGATATATATTGAGCACCTATCATAGGCCAGGCCCTGTTTTAGGCATAAGGGATAAAACAATGAACAAAACAAAGTCCCTGCTCCTATACAGCTTCTATTCCAATGGGAGTGTCAGACAATAAACATAATATGTCATATGGAGTTGGGTGTTAAAAAACAAAGATAGTGGTATAGAGAATGACAGGGTGGGGTAGGAACATTGGTTAGTTATATAAGGCAATGGTTTTCAATTGTTTTCATCTTATGGCACACATAAACTAATTACTAAAATTCTTTGGCACACCAAAAAAATGTATTTTTTGCAATCTGACAAAAATAAAGGTATAACTTTGATTTATTCACATTGGATGGCTATTGTGTTGTCTGAACTCTCTTTACTTGACAATCTAAAGGAAAAGAGGTCAATGCATGTTTTGGCATTAAATGTTTTAAATCTCTTGCAGCTCACTGGTTCAAAATCGGCTCACTGGTTGAAAATCACTGATGTAAGGGAATCAGAGAAGGCTTTTATTATTAGGCGACATTTGAAGAGAGACATGGGGAGAAAGCTCCATGAATATTTGTGGCATGAGTACACCAAAGAGAAAATAACAAGTACAAAGGCCCTAAGGAGGGCGTGTGCTTGGAGCAGGGGGCGTGAGGTGGGAGTGGGGAGTAAGCTTTGTTTTTCTCACAATGTTTACTATATTTGCTATGATTTACTAAAAAAATTTTAATATAACTTTTCAGATTTGAATAGATTCAAATTCTGTCCTGTGATAAATTTTGTAAAGTTACTTTTTACCTTTTAAATTACAGAGCATAATTCAGTAGATATGAACAACTCAACTTGAAATCTTCAGAAAGAACCAGAATATCGATTTTTCATTTTACTTTATTGTAAGCAAATGAAACTATGGGAACTTGGAGAAAATAATTTGAAAGAATAACAATTATTTTATATACTTCTATAACTGCTAATGATTTTTATTGGTCTTTTACTTGCCTTTTTACTTTTTGAATCATTATTGTTTAGCTAAATCACTGCATGCAGAACTTAAATTTGCAGTCACATATTTATTATCAAATACTTTGTATGTTTTGAAGACTGTAAAACAGATTATTTTATTTCTTAGTATCATATTTGCAAGACATTAGTTAAAAGTGTCTATATGTTATTAGACAGTAATTTAAAAAGCAATCCAAAAGATTATCAGCTGAAATCTTTAAAACACCCTCAATGATCATCAAAAGTAATTTACAATAGATTTAACAGAATGGAACTTACTCCATGCCCTGTGCAGTCTGCCGTGCAATATCTATAAGTTTGATCATCTCAAATTTGGTCTCAATGATGTGGAGATGGTGATATAAGCTGGAGCCCTCACACCACTGGGTAACAATAGCCAGTTGTGGCTTTGTTGAATAGCCCATGAAGAGTAGAATATTCACATGTCGAGTTTTCCTATAAAAAGAAATGTGAAAGTAAGTGGTAAATGTCGATAAACTTCAACAAATCTTAGAAAGAGGCCAAAGAAGTCTACTTAACAGTAAGATTTTTGTCAGAAAAAAAGAATCATTTTCCTATTACTTCCCCATTGGCTTCCCTGTCCTGCTCTTCTGGAAGAAGAGTCTCTATGGAACATAAGAACTTTCTATGGACATATTCTTTAATTCCTCAGTTCTGTTGATTACGTTGCCTCCCTAGGTTGCAGTTCTAAAATCGCCCCCACTTAAGGTGTCCTTATCTATACATACTAAAGTTTGTTAATGTTCCTCAATTTCCAGGGCATGATGTAATATCTAAATGTGTTCTGGTAAGATTAGAATCTTGATAGTATTATTTACTTAAGTGGAAGTATTATTTCTCATAATCAGAATACTTACATTAATCTACTTAAACTTAATTCTCCTATCACCTATACAATATAATATTGCATAACACTTAAAAGAATATGGTTAAAGTTAAAATCTACTCAAAGTCTTTTTATCCATTTTGAGTAAATAGAGCAAACAGTGGCAGCCATTGAAAAATAGGAGTTAAGGATACTGCCTCTGGAAAACAATAGTCTACACTAACTTACCTGAGTACTCCTACTTCATTTTTGAAGGCCTGTAACTGCTGAGGTGTAGGTGCTGTCACATTCAACATTTTCACTGCCACATCACCTAAAAGGTAATTGTCAATCCAAATGTCATTCTATTTTTTAAGATTTAAAAATATTAAAAACTTGTATATTTTCATGAATTACCACAGCCTTAAATCCACACCATTATTAAACTGCTTTATGGTAACTTATGAAATAAATTATATAATACCTTCTTTAATTGCATTAATTTTCTAAGGATAACACTAAACCAATAATGATACTCTTATACTGATATTTCAAAATACCAATCCAAAAAAGATAGCCAACCTTGTTTTTCATCTGGAAATTTAGTTTAACCAGCTAAGTACCTATGGTATTTTCCAGGTTATTTAACAATATTAAATTAGACACATGTACTGACTAAATGTTAAAACTAAAAATCACATGCCAAATGGAGCTAGGCTGAAATAGACAACTACAAAATTTCCTTATTAGAGTACCTAACATTTTTTTTTTCAAATCTATAGATCACTTGTTGCTTTGCTTAGGTAAATTATTAAAAAAACAACAACTTTATGCGAAACAGGTAGAACTCACACTGCCAGTGGGTGTGTAAATTGGTATAACCACTTGAAACACTGCTGGCAGTATCTACTAAAACTGAATATATGCATTTACAGTGGTCCCATAATTCTTTTGTAGGTATATGGCCAGCAAAAATGGACACATATGCTCAACAAATGACATGAATGAACTAAAAATGTTCACAGCAGCAGCATTTGCATTAGGCCCAAACTGGAAACTATTAAAATTCTTATTACATAGTACATAGAAAAAGGAATCATTTTATAAATCATGAATGATCTACAACTACACACAACAATGCAGATTAATCTTATAAACAATGTTGAGTGAAAGGGATGAGTCACAAAAGAATACAAGCTGTTAGATTTCTGCTAAAACCAGGATGGTGGTTGCCCTTGGGGGAGGAGGACATTAGGAGGACATCTACAATGCTGGTAATGTTCTCTTTATTGACTACAGATGCATTCACTTTGTGATATTTCAGCTTCTTGAACACTTATATGCACTTTTATGTATATTATACTTCAGTATAATTAACTTATTTTTCCTGATTATCAAATTGATACAGTGCTGATAATAAAAAAATTAAACATTTTGAAGAAACAAAGAAAAAGTATTTCCCATAATCATATCATACATAAATGAACATTGTTAATATGTTGATGTATATCCTACTAGGCTTTTATATATATATCAGTACAGATATTTATGAATTCATGTGAAAACATAACCTAAAAAGACATGTACTCAAATACTGATGATCCTTTTAAAAATTGTTATATATACCTCTATGTAGCACTATAATATGGGATATTTTACATGCTGCTCTGTAAAATTTAATGTAACACAGACACCTTTCCATAGCAATAAATAGAAATCTACCATACTACTTTAATTTCTATATAATCATACATGGAGGCTATCAATGTATTTATATAATACTCTATTAATGGGCACTTACATTTATTTCCATTTTTCATTAATGTTAAATCTCTAATTAATGTACTTATACACACATCTGTTTGTTCCTGTCCAATTACTTCCTCATTATAAAGTTCTATAAATGGAATTATTGGTTTGATATACATATTGCCAAATTTCTCTTTAGAAAATTTGTAGCAATTCTTTTTTCCCCATCAGCAGCATTATATTCACAACTCTAACTATTATATGACCAATTTAAAAAAATTCTTTGTCCATTTGAGAGGCAAATAATGATTCCTATTTTTTGATTTTGCAATTCTGGTAACTAGTGAGGTTGAACATTTTTTTTATGTTTTCACCCCATTTCTTCCTTTTGTACATACACTTTTAATATACTTGTAGTTTATAACATATATAAAAGTATAAGCAGAAAAATTATCAAAGAAGAAAAACATATTGGAGATTAGCTCCCCTGGAGAATCATCTTTTTAAAAATATATTTTTATTGATTTCACTGAGGAAGGGAGAGGGAGAGAAATATCAATGATGAGAATGAATCATGATTCAGCTGCCTCCTGCATGACCCACACTGGGGATTGAGCCTACAACCTGGGTATATGCCCAGACTGGGAATCAAATCATGACATCAACCACTGAGCCAAGCCAGCCCGGTAAGAATCATCATTTTTAAAAACTGTAATTAAGCCTAGTTGGTGTGGCTCAGGAGGTCCTGGTTCGATTCCTGGTCAGGGCACATGCCCAGGTTGTGGCCTCGATCTGTGTGGGGGATTGTGCAGGAGGCAGCTGATCCATGATTCTCTCTCATCATTGGTATTTCTTTCTCTTCCTCTTCCTTCCCTCTCTGAAATCAATAAAAATACATTTTAAAAACTGAAGGTAATATAATGATAGAAGACCTGATTGCTATGAATCCAGTTTTTAATTTTCCATAAGTTTTGTTAGAAATCTTTAGTAACTTTTGAATATGATAAAAAAAGGTTTAATGATGCAAAAAGTGAATACTTCCTTTGATTTTTAAAAAATAAAAGTTGTTAAACATTTTCTATAATTATAACTTGTGACAAGGTCATCGTACTATATACATACCATGCCACTTCCCCTTGTAGACTGTCCCAAATGACCCGGAACCAATTCTTTGTCCCACTGTGATCTGCCCATCAGGAATCTCCCAATCGTCACTTGAATCGCGTCTACCAAGTGTTTTCTTGATAAAAGTAGTGCAAAAGTCAATCCAAAGCAAACAAAAAAAGAGAAAACCTTGTTTTACACTAAGTACATTCTCTCCTGTGTCTGCGTGTGAAAGGGACATAAACACACACACACACACACACACACACACTCTCTCTCTCTCTCTCTCTCTCTCTCTCTCTCTGGAAGAATAATAGAAATATGATTCTTGTAATACAGAACTTAAATTGAAGAACTAGGTCAGTTTTCAGGGCTACTAACAGGCAATATAAGTATCTGTAATTAGTTTTGGCTCCAAAGGTCAAAATTTTAAATTAACATACTATGGTTACTGTTGATAATTTACCTACTTACTTTCTTCTAGTCAGTGCTAAATTTCCTCATATATCTTATCTGATCCAGTCTCTTCAAAAACTGTCAACATATACAATCACTTTGGTAGGGTAGAGACCCACCTATCCAACATATACTATTACTACACTATTGCTAAAATTAAATTGTTAGTTTTTAATATAGTGCAGCAGAAAGTTATTTTTTCAAATAGGAAAGAATAACATTTGGTAGTATTTGAATTTCAGGTAAGCCCTTTAATAGTCACCACTGGTGGTCCGTGAGGTCCAAAAGGTTGGCGACCGCTGCTTTAGAACATATATGCCTTCTAATACTTCCTAAAATACTAGGCTTACCCCTTTTTCCTTATTTTAAAAAGAGAACACTACTGTTGACCCTCAAAAATGGGGAGCTTAAGGGTACTGACTCCCAGAGCAGTGGAAAATCGGTGTATAGTGCTCCTTTCAGCAGTACATATACTAAAAAATTGGAATCATACAGAGAAGATTAGGATGCACATGGATGACATGCAATTCATGAAGCATTCCATATTAAAAAAAAAAAAAAAAGAAAGAAAATTGGTGTATAACTTTCGATTTCTCCCAAAACTTCACTATTATGGTCTCTTGGTATCTGTTGGGGATTTGTTTCAGAACCAATACTGCTTTCAATCATGCGAAAGTTGGGGATATGGAGGGCCAACTGTTTATTTACTAAAAAACACACAAAACCACATATACCAGCATGTGAGTAGATCCATGCAATTCAAATTCTTTTCTTCAAAGGTCAACTATATTCTTACTCTTTTGAAACTACCTTTAATTGCATTAGAGTTGAGAGTATAAATCTGTGTTGTGCAAATATGCTTTACACAAACATTTATCAGCTCTTAATTTTATTTGATTATGGGAATTCTGTGTTACATATGGACATATCATTATATGTAAAGGTGACATTAGAGTTGGCTCTAACTTCTATAAAGAACATAGAAGAATGAAGATATCATATACTTTTACCATTCGATTCCTGTCTTCTGAGGATGAAGATGATTTTCTTTCCCGCTGAGGTCCTGGAGATTTCTGTAAAGCTTTCACATTAGTGAGTGAGCCAGGTAATGAGGCAGGGGGGGTGGCAGATAAACCTGTAGTTGACCCTAAGTTAGTGAAAGGAAAAATGTATCCATTAAAGGAAGATCAAGTTTGTTAATTTATTTATTGGGGGTAGAGGGTGTGGGGAGATTTAGACTTATTTAAAAAATACAGAGCATGTTCAAGTATAGAACTTTTAGAAAGGATAGGCCAAAAAGAAGCCTAATTTGGTAATTAGTACTATAATTTCTTTTAGTTTTCTGGCCAATTTAATGACCATTGAAACATCTGATTACAGATACACACTTTGCTTATTGGTGCATTTTCTAAGAAAAAGACTATCTCTAAAATAAGAGATAAATACTAAACAATATTCCCAATGTTCTGTTTCTTTGACTTCAAAAATTCAAAAAGCAAAAATTCAAAAATTTAACAGTCTGTATAAAAAAAACAACAACTTTATTTTGTTGCTTCAGCAAACAAATATTAATCAATATAAAAAATATGGAAATCCCCAAATGGAAACATATTCTAATAATCGCCATAATGTTGAAAATATTTGGCTTCTTCATATTAGCCACTATATTAAAAAAAAAAAAAATCCTATACCACATACTAGACTTCTTAAGAGTGAGAGACACTAGACAGTTTCATCAGTTCCTGAAGGCTTAGTCTAATAAACAAATATGATTTGTTGCCTGAATACAACAAAGCCAGCAGGTTTCTCAAGTCTCTCTGAATAATTCCTGACTGTCTTTATAAGTGAGAGCAAAGTAAGTGATAATGGCCTCTCAGCCAAGTTACTACAAATGGCAATATTCTATCAGTCAACTGAGTCCACTGGGTGTTTTCTTTGAAAGTGGACTCAGTTGGCAGGGTTGTATACTTTCTGATGGGTACTTTTCCAAATGCTGTCCCAGTGACAATAATTCTAAATTCATGTACAGTACCTTGTTCAGAGTAGTTCAGGACAATGACTCCTAATGGGGCCTGAGTACAGTTAAGTAGCACTGAGATATCAAAAAATATTTGCATATACAGAACAAAAAGACTTCAAGAATTTTTTTTTATTTTAAATATTACTATTCTTTGGAAAGGGGTAGTCACTATCTTTCAAATAGGGATACCAATGGCAACATTTCAATCTGTGTAGAAATTTTATTATTATATCAAATGCTACCATGTGGAATTTCCATAATCTCATTTGTAAATTTCTAAAAGAAAATGGAATGTTTATTAACTAGAACACAATCCATTTTCTACCTTCAATTGTTAAATTTCAACATAAAAAAGCCTTAACTGTTTGCCCAGGCCTCCATTTTTAAATTATGCCACTTGGTCCTATATGACTTCTAGCCCATTCTATGGATTTTCTGAGAAACAGATGGGCTAAGAACAAAAATCTGAACCACCACCACTATGTTCAGAATAACTGGCAGACATTACAAAAGCCATTAAATTCTTTAAAACTATTTATAGCAAACTCCTGTTTCAATTTTGACTTTATTTTTAAAAAATCACTTTGACTACTAATTAAAGTTATGGCAAAATAAAATGGGACATTAAAATTATACTGCTTTTTTCTCAGATTAAGGCATAACTGAAAGTACCAATCCTCAAATTTTCTGAAGTATGCTAAAATATCCCAAATATATTAAAAATCTTTTCAAAGCTCTCTACCTCTGATATACATGTCCTACATTTAAAAAATGACACTGCTGATAATACAGAAAAAATAAAGGCAAAAGTCTAGTAAAATCTCACAACAGGGATTTCCATTTTTTACTTTTTTAGAAACCAAAAAAATTGGTAACAAGTATTCACTATTATCAAGGTGACCACCTAAATGGATTAAAATAAAAGAAATTCAAGTAGGACACCCCCTCCCATGTTATTTATTACCACCCATTAAGTTTAAGAAGTTACCAAGACCAAAAAGTAATGTAACAAAAACCATATGGAAATCTAAGACTTTTCTTGCTTTTAAAATTTATGACAGAAAGCTTGTGGTAGTGAGTATGTGTGACAAGCACATTCAGAGCATTCCAGCCAGGCCAAGCAGAAATTTAGTACTGAAAACTCTCACACTTACAAACACACACTGTGAAGGTGAGGCACAAACAGTAGCTGTAGTTTATATTTAGTTTGCTTTGGGTGAAAACAAGAAAGAAGAGCCCAACTACCTCTGAACACTGGGCCAGGCTCAAAATCAAACACTATTTCACTGGGGACAGAATGTAGGAGGGGACTGGGAGTCCGGGATTGGTATTTCCGAAGACAGCGCATCAGCTGGTTCAAAGGGGCTGTTAGAAGAGAAAGAGAGGGGCAGGCAAACACAGGAAGACAGACACACAGAAGAAATGAAAGAAGTCATGGGGAATAAATGAGTCGAAGCCTGCTTCACAAAATAATTCTGGAAGTTTAAAACACTTTTTAAAATCCCAATGATTTTTTAAAAAAATGACTCATAAAAAAGGACAAGAGATGCCACTTCATTTTAGGTACTAAGCAGGCAGTTTTTAAGACTAAGTTAACTTTGTGATGCTAAAATGATGGCAACATTTAAATGCTGGATGTATTGGGCAAAATTTTCAAAAGCCACAGCTACTAAGACATATGAAAGTCAAACTGGCAGCAACATTAATTGGAGGGTTCATGGAATAACAAACAGAAAACACTTTTATAACTATATACTATAATAAATATGAAATCTAGAGTAGTTAATGCAGGGTTATTACTTTGGTAGCTTCACAGGTACACAGAAACACAACGAAAGATGGTTTATACAATGTTCACTATAAAATATCTTTGAGACTAAGCTTAGACATTTTGAAGACAAAGCAGGTCACAGTGAAGAGACCAACTCTAAACAAGATAAGCAGGTATTGCAGGCCTTCCTTATTAGACAGAAGACAGCTGAAAAAGTAAATATGGGGAATCATCTAGAAGAAAACTTGAAGATAGTTTCAAATACCATCTCTTGGAAAACATTATGTGGGGGTAAATTCTTATTTAAAAAGAATTTTCTTATGCAATGTTTTCTTATGCCCCCTATTTTTACTGGGTGCTAGAGTGAAAAGTCAGATAAAAATTCTGTAAGAAATCTCAATTTAATTTCTAAGGTGCTTATTTTACCGGACAAAAAAGGGCAACTAGGCTTCTTTATTAGGGATCCATTATGTAAAATGTACATTTCAAACCCTTTTAGAAGACTGAGGGAAATAGGTGACAATATCTATCAAACTGAGAAGTTGTGACAGACAATCTAAGGGATTCCCCAAGAACGATTTAGAAAAATCAAGTTTTAATGGATTCTAAGCTTAATATTTAAATATTGGTGGAGGTTTCCAAAAGAAAATTTGCATCTCCAGCTTTGGAGAGGGTTTGGAATCAATAAAGTGGGTAAAATAACTAAGAATCTCTCCTTAACAACCTTTTAAAATTATAGGTAGTACATTTAAGAACCATTTTAATGTCTACTTTTTCTCTATTCATGTTATAAGTTAGTTAAAATTTTATTAGTGATAAATGATAAATACTAAAGGAGACAAAATAATTTGGGTTTTCTCTACACATTTTTCTCTGTGTCTGTGTTTCATGAAAGAAGCAAATATAAAGGAGACAAGCAGCAAAGCAGTTGCATTTTTCCTTGAGTTTTAAAAAACTGAAATTACCACTTACCTCCATCACTACGAAACCCTTGGTCTCTAATCAAGTCCTACAAATAAATAGTAATGTATATTTTATTCAAAGCACGTGGTAAGAAAGTAATAACAACACTGAATTTTTCACTAAGCATGAACAGAAAGGTTAATTTAAAATAACTGTCTTATAATTACTTCACAAAACAGAAAAAATATGAAATTAGCTAGTAAACACGATAAAATAAAAATTTGAAGCAACCTAATCCTATATTGAAGGGATTATTAGTCCTGATTAAATGCTGAAATCCATTTCAGGCCATTCAAAACCAATGGCTGCATCAATTCTTATAAAAATTCTACTGGCACATATTAAGAGCCATAAAAATGTTCATACCCTTTGGTCCTGTAATTCCACTTCTGGGAATTTTTCCTAAGGAAATAATTCAGAAGAAAAAAGTGATACGCACAGAGATGTTAAGTGCAGCATTATTCACCATACTAAAAAATTAGAAGTAATTATTTCCCTCTTCTAGGCTTTTTGACATATTGGCTCAGTAAATTATGGTGTATAAATTTAATGAGTATTATGCAGCTACTAAAATAATTATAAAGATTGAATCATGAAATGTTTACAATATAAAAACAATAAAAAATGTACAATGATTACAGTAATAAAAATATGATGTGTAAAGACACACTAGATGGACAAAAATAAAAATGGCTCAAACAAAAATTTTGTTAAAATCTGTCATTATCAAGATGTAGTGGTTTTTTTGTTTGTTTGTTTGTTTTTCCACAGACAATGTTGGAAATGAGGGGAAGAGTCTTCTGGCAACACAGTGCAATTTGGATATTAATAGACAGAACTTAGATTAATGTGTTTGCTCAATATAATTTAAATGTGAGGAAATGAATGGTCCCAAATGTCTCTAAATAGGCTTAGAGGGTCTTTGCAAACAGGCAGCTTTTTGTTTAAGGGCAAGAACAAAGAGTATGTTCTTTGCAAAAGTATTTCTACCATGTTCAATGTATCCTATAAAGCCTTCAACATTTTCTACAGAATTATCAACAAATACTCATAGATGTGCAAACAAGGTGTTGTGTGGCTACCAATAAATATAAATCCTGGAGGGGTCTCACTAACTTTCTATGTAAAGATACTTTCATACTTTTGCATATACTATTTCCTTAACAAATGCCCTTTCTTCCTAAAACCCCAACTAGTGTATTGAATGAATTCCTATTCTTTCATCTTTTACAACCAGGCTTAAATGTTGTTCATATCTGCTAAATATTGCTAGATCCAACCAGGTAAAGTATAATACCCTCTTCAATAAACTATCATTATATATTTTTTGTGATTATTTATTTACATATAATTCATACATTAGATTATGACTCCACTGAGGGCAAAGGAAAAATAAATGGTAAATAAGGACTGAAACTGAGTGAAATGATTGACAATGAATGAAAATGCTAAAGGGTTTACATTTCATCTTGCAATCAATGGGAAGCCAATGATAGTTTTGGAACAAAGAAAGAGATAATGATAAAGGTGTAAAAAATTAATATGGTGGTAGCATAAAGAACGGAATGGAGAGAGAGAAATCAATGCCAGGAAGTCCACTTAAGAGAGTAATGTAGTAAAGTAAGAAGTTCAAATGAAATATAAATACAGGTCCAAATGGTGGTGGCAGTAAGAAGAAATCTGGGATGCATATCGAAAGGAAAAAGTGACAGATTGTGTCTTTAATCTTAGGGGAGGATGAAAATGCAAAATATAAAGATGACACTCCAAATGCTCAAGCCTAAGAGAACAGAATAGTGGTGACAATAAGAAATAAAGCAAAATAGCCTACACCAGCAATTTTCAACCAGTGTGTCACAAGAACTTTTAAAATATGCTATACTTGCCCTAACTGGTTTGGCTCAGTGAATAGAGCGTCAGTCTGCGGACTGAAGAGTCCCGGGTTCAATTTTCATCAAGGACACATGCCTAGGTCGTGGGCTCAATCCCCAGTAGGGGGGGATGCATGAGACAGCCAATTATTGATTTTCTCTCATCATTGATGTTTCTAACTCTCTCTCCCCCCCAAATCAATTTAAAAAATAAAGAAATAAAACATGCTACAAATGATTAGTCAAAATACTGACCTCTTTTCCTTAGACTGTCAAATGAAAAAAATGACAACAGCAACACAATAGCCTTCTGGTACGAATTGATCAAAATTATACCTGTATTTTTGTCAGACCAGCAAAAAAATGTATTTTTTGGTGTGCTATAGATTTTTAGTAATTAGCTTCTGAATGTCATGAGGTGTAAAGACTGAAAGCCGCTGATCTAAAGAATGTTTGTTTTGAAAGGTAAAGGTTACAATAGATGAAGGTTACAATTTTGAGTTTCTGAGAACAGACATAACCTATAAATAAGATGTTTTCTTATTTCACTATCTGTTTATTCCCATATTCCCTTCTCCTACATTTTTCTTCCTTTGTATTCAAATCTAACTAGATCGAGGAAAACCTTATTAGTTGAGGAAATTAGTATTATAAAAAGGTCACTTAAAATGAATCCAATAAAAAGACAAAAAAATTCATAGTAAAAAGTGGGAAGAAAGTCTGATTTGGGAATTTTTCTTTAAAAATAAAATTAAAATTTATAATAAGGTTTATTTCTTTTACATTGTTATAATTTTAAAAAATACGCTAATTCTTAGAATAAACAGAGAAAGAATAAAGTCCCCCCCCCCCCTTTTTATTGATTGTTTACAGAGAGGAAAGGAGAGAGAGAGTTAGAAACATGGATGGGAGAGAAACATCTATCAGCTGCCTCTTGCACACCTCCTACTGGGGATGTGCCCGCAACCAATGTACATGCCCTTGACGGGAATCGACCCTGGGACTCTTGAGTCAGCAGGCGCTCTATCTATTGAGCCAAACCAGTTTTGGCAAGAATAAAGTTTTTATTGGTCATAATATCAAACTTATAGTACAAACTGAAATTCTTAATTTCAAGTTCATCTTTAACACCACAATAATAGTCATTTAAATAAAAGTTTTAGCCCGGCCAATGTGGGTCAGTGGTTGAGTGTTGACCTATGAACCAGGTCAACAGGTCAACCAGGAGGTCTCAGATTCTCCTTCAGGGCATGTGCCTGGATTTTGGCCTCAATCACCAGTAGCGGGTGTGCAGGAGGCAGCCGATAGATGATTCTTTCATCACTGATGTTTCTTTTTATCTCTCTCTCCTTCTCCTTTCCTCTCTGAAATCAGTAAGAATATATTTAAAAATAATTTTAGGGGACTCTACCCTTCAAGGGCCTCTTTCTTTTTTTAATTTAAATTCTTTACTGTTTAAAGTATTACATAAGTCTCCTTTCCCCCCACTGACCTCTCCCAGGCTGCTACCACCTCCCCTGCACATGCCCCCCCCCCCTACTGTCTTTTGTTCATTGGTTATGCACATATGCATGCATACAAGTCCTTTGGTTGATCTTTTAACCCCCCCCCCCCCCCCCAATCATTCCCTGTGCCACAACCCCATAAGGGCCTCTTTCAATCTTTTGATATTTAATATGTATATTTTTATTGATTTCAGAGAGGAAGAGGGAGAGAAACATCAGTGATGAGAGAGAATCATTGATCAGCTGCCTCCTGCACACCCCACACTGGGGATTGAGCCTGCGACCCAGGCATATGCCCTTGACTGGAATTGAACCTGGAACCCTTCAGTCCACAGGCCAACACTCTAGTCACTGAGCCAAACCAGATAGGGCAATCCTTTGATATTGAAATAATTTTCATTTGAAGAGCCTATTATATTTTCATCCTTATGAATTTTGTGTTTTCTGTCATTACCTAGACTAACTTAATTCTATGTATTTGTCAATGGCTTTATATGGTTTGAGTAGTTCTCCAGTCACTTTTTACAGTCTTTATAAAATCCTTAAAATCTTTTTTTGTGTGTGACAGATTTGCAATAAGTTCGCATTATGTTTTCATTGAAATGTTGGATATTAATATAAAGGGGTTGAGATGCAGGCTGATATTAAATGGCAAGGGATGTCTGAGTGGAGACTAATATATTTTCCTGTTACGACAATTTTTGCTTCTCTATTCCACCTTGTAATTATGAGGGCTCATATAAGGAATGCCTGTATTATGAGAACAACCTGACTTCTAACACACATAACCACCTCATTAACTCCAGTACCCTGTTTACACAGTTTCAATTTCCTTTTTAAATATAATTATTTTCCAAAGCAAAAAACACACACAAACAAACAAAACCAATCTTGTGGATTTTCTGTTTCAATATTTATTACAGAGGTTAAGGTTAATCTATCCTCTTTATTCTAAAGCACAAGTTCTGAAGAACATAATATCTAATTCCAAGATTATTCCAAGGGTCCCAACCCAACACAGCTCAGACGGCAAGGGCACTTTTATCCTATTCTGTGTAACTCAGTTATTGGGATGACCAATTAATGAATCAGTCCTACTGGATGGATCCTTTGTGTTTCATGTCTTTTCTCTTCTCTCCCTCTCTTTGTCTATATCAGGGACTGGCAAAATATAATTGACCACCTATTCTTATAAATAAAATTTTAGTGGAATACAACCACATCCATTTGTTTAAAATGCACTCTCTATGGCTGCTTTCACACTACAATGGCAGAGTTCAATAGCTGTCATTAGAAATCATATGGCCCACAAACCTAAAATATTTACTATCTGGACCTTTAGGGAAAAGTTTGTTGACCTCCTGATCTATATTGTAGGGAATTTCCTCTGACTTACTTTCTAAATCTTTTACTGAAACAAATATTTTTGAGGACTTATTATGTATTTGGTTCTAAGATAGGTGCCAAAGGAACTATATTAGGAATGGTTTCTGCTGTCCAGAAGTTAAGATTAATTGAAGAGTCGACACTAATGTATATAGTTAAATTACAGTGTGCAAGATAAGCTAGGAAAGTAAAAATGTCAAGAGTGACCAGCCAGAAGGTGGCCAAAATAACTGAAGAGGTGAGATTACAATATATGATGATGAGACCAGAGAAGATGCATTTTAAACAATGAATGATTAAAATTTAATGACAAACTTTACATTAAAAGAAATACCCAAATCAAGATGTGTATAGAAACAGAATATAATGGTATACTCAATAAAGTAAAAAAGATAAGGTAGCTTTACATGTCAAATACATAAAGCAATATTAGTTTTTAAGGATTATTTAACACAAAGTTATAAAAATTTAAGTAAAGATTTCAAATTGATTTAATGAAAAAAACCTACAACTGCATTCTTATTTTTTTCTTTATCATAAAATGGCCAAGTGGATTATCTGTTAAATAAATGAAAATAGGACTTTTACAGATGGTATCTTAAGGGGGAAAATCAAAATAAGCCTGTAACTTGGTACTAGTTAAGCATTTAATGCCATCAGAGAAGATGGCAAGGCTTTTCTGATCTGTAATTCATAGAAGTCTATCACTTCAGTTCTAACAATGCTGGATACTTACATCAATATTGACAGGTTCTATTGTGTTTATATGCACATTGGGAGCCGATGAGGACCGATCTCGTTGTCCAAACTGATTTCGATGATCTTCATCTGCTGGTCGGAAAGGCTGTGGAATTGGAATGGATTTTGAAGGAGACGGACTGGTGAGCATTTGGGGCCTGGAAAAATTAAGTCATTCGAAGATAAGATTCAGAGCAACTTTATAGAGATAGTAACATTAAAAAAATGGATGATATAAAGATTTCGTTGTTTTCAAATTCTCAAATAAATTGCTAAAATAAAGCATTAATAACCCAGCAGGAATAGGTTTTAAAAGTATTAGTTTAAAAAACTAATATGCCTACAACTATTACCTCCAGGGACTATGAATGATAACATTGATTCTTATCCAGAAAACTCCAGGGAAACCTATAAGTGGCTAGAAATTATCTATGGTTAGTCAGCTGAAGAAACTCTTGTCTTTTAAAGTTACACAAGATTGCGTTAGGTCAGGGGGTAGGGAACTTCTGGCCTGTGTGGTGGGCCATATGAGAAATCAAAGATTGTTTGGTCTAGCCTTGCTAAGACATTAGGGTGAGTTCATTAAATGCTTGATCAAATATAGGAGGTTAATTTTTAAGTTGGTAATTTTGTATGGCCTGGGAATGATGTTATAAATATCCAAATGGCCCCCCACCCCTGCTCTAGGGAGAGACTGAGTGAATAAAATCTGCCATTTATTTATTTATTTATTTATTTATTTATTTATTTATTTATTTATTTATTTATTAACTTTTTCCATTCCTTGACAGCAAAGTCACTAAAATGACTTTTTAAAAAAAAAATAGAAAATATTAGGCAATTATAAGTATTTTGAGAATATGCATGTGTATTTCAGGACCTGAAAGATATTACCTGTTACTTTATCCAAGAGGTAAATTAAAATCCTGAACAACAGCAAATGATCATTTCCAAATTCAAAAGCTGATCCTGATTCTTACAGTGTCAGTCTTCTATGTTTTGGAATATTTACTAGTATTATACCCAAGAACTGACATAAGAGACATCTAAGAATCATATACATTAAACACTAAAGCAAATATTTATAAGAATCGTTTTCTGATGAAGCCATGAAAATAGGTTACAGAAAGGTCTATATTCTGTTACTGCAGATAAAAAGGTCTCTCTCAGCACTGTCTCCAAAATAAATCACAGAGCACACTAAATATTTGACAGACTGTAAATAGCTGTGAGGAGTCTGCCCCTCAGAAAGAGGGCTGGGAAATGAGGATCCCTTGGAAGATAAAGTGAACTCCATCAGGACCAATGAATGACTCAGTACTAACAGCCTCTCTTATCATTTTACCTCATCTTATGCAAACTCTGTATTTATTATTTAGTGGTTACAACATAGCCAGAAAGACAATGATGTGAAGATAAAAAGATATTTTGTGAGGGGAGAGGGTTTAAAGAAGAATAGGAAGGAAAGACATACAATAGAAAAGAAATAAAGGTTTGAAGAAACAAAGAAGCCAAATAGTGACAAAAACCTTAAGAACAGAGCATGTTAACAGAATCTAAATCATAACAGCTTATAGTTTACTTCTCTGAAGCACACTATTAAGGGTAGGGAAAGAAATACGTACTTTGTTTATTCATATTAACTAAATGAATCTACACAGAATTAACACAAAAATAATAAAATGCTATGTACTTTAAAAAATTGGTATTAGCCTAATGAGAATTATAGGTAAAGACTGATAAAACTGGCATTTAGGAAAATTAGCATGCTCCATTGGTCTCTTAATTCTGTTAAGAAACTTTTAGTTTGTGACAGAGCTGTCTTTACTTTTGCTTTAGGCAGCCAAATGTACACTCTATGCTAAAAGATTTTGGAAGCAGGTAAAATAATGTAAAATGAGAATATTAGTTTTTTTGTTTTTTTTAAAGTTTGGGAAAATGCAGATTTTTTAAAAGCTATTTTATATAGACTGATTTGAAGTCTCAAGACAATAGCATACTTTAAGGTAGGTCTTGAAAACAGAAAAAGCCCGAATTAATTACAAGATAGTCTAATTAATATAACTGATTTTATGACAACAAAGTGACAGCAACTCATTCTTGAAACTTAGTGAATTAAGATAGCAATATGTAACATATATCAAATTAGAAATATGTATGCAAAGGACATTAGTACAGAAGTAAGAAAAACAAATCCTCGCCGAAACTGGTTTGGTTCAGTGGATAGAGCTTCGGACTGCGGACTGAAAGGTCCTGGGTTTGATTCCGGTCAAGGGCATGTACCTTGGTTGCGGGCACATCCCCAATAGGGGATGTGCAAGAGGCAGCTGATTGATGTTTCTCTCTCATCGGTGTTTCTAACTCTCTATCCCTCACTCTTCCTCTCTGTAAAAAATTAATAAAATATATTAAAAAGAAAAAGAAAAAGAAATCCTGGATTTAATCTGGTAAGTTTTATTATGATATCTAAAGAAAAAATGGATATAATAGACAAAAAGGATATCTACTTATTACATAAAGCATGGAAGAATATAATTTTCCAATTAGTATGTAACACCACTCAGGGAATGATATGTGCTGATCCACAAAGTCAATTTATCTAGCTTTGAAGGCAAGTGTATTATAATTTGGGAGAACACTCAAGTTATTATATCTTGATGTCACGAACATCTGAACCATGTCCTAATTCCAACCTTAACAAAAACAATCTTTTGATTATGATTTGGTTTCACATAAGTATCTTTCAAAGTAGAGTGTGTGTTGGTCCATCCAACATAATTAGTTTGGGCTACACAACAGGTCTATTTCTAGCTAAAATGAATTACCTAGCATTCTAAATTAGTGTTTTCTGATTCTGGTTAATATAAACCAGTATATCCCTAACTCTCATCATTTTTCGGAATTGATAAAACTGAATTTCCATGATAGCAATTCTTTACTAAAACCAAGACAATTTATACCATATAAAGTATGTTGGCAGTTGGCAAACTGGCTTTCACCTCATAATATGTCTACCTTAATCTTGCTGCAAACCTCTTTAAAGTAGTACCAAATAAAAAACTATATATATGTTTTTACATTTAACACCTTTCAGTAAATTACCAATTAGTTTAGGTCTCATTTTAATCTTGAATATTAAAAATTTTGAGGCAGTGACTACCTCTGTTCAGTGATATGCAACTTTTAAAATGCTGCCTTTTCAATGATGTATACATTCCAAAGAATTTTTTAAAAGTAGAAATGTGGGCGCCTCTAATTCCTTATCCAAACTGGGCAATGTATCACTTCTCCAATGTCTTGGTTACATCTATTTTCAAACGTGTTTCATGACCATCATGATTGTTACCAGAGTTAACAAAATGCAAAGAAATTCTGATATAGAACAGAATTGGCATCTATCTTTTCAAACTAACCCTATACACTTGTAAGAGAAAAGCATCAGGAAAATAAAAGTTTAAACATCTTCCCCAAAATTTGCTCAAGACCAGAATCTACTTCAGATTACTATGAATAAAGTACCTATGGCATAGGCAAGTGATTTCTTAACTTAAAGCTAGCATTTCCATCACTGGTAAGCAAATGTCCTGATCATTACCATTAATAACTTTCAGAGAGGCCAACCTAATTTCATTATGATATTCTGTAACTCTGCTCACAGAACTGGGATGTGACATTAGAAAGGCATCACAGTCTATATAACCTGTCAGAAGTAAATGTTATAGTTAAAGGATTAATTAAAAATCAAAACAATAACATTTTGATTTGCTCTCCTAAAATATATATAGTTGCATACAAATGATGGAAACAGCAGGTATAAGATGACTGTTACAACGTGTTAAGAGCACATAGTGGTTGCATTTTCTATGTGGTCTAAAATAAGAAAATACACCCAACTCCTTAATACAAAAGTTTTTTTGCTAAAATTTCTAGCCTATTACATCTCCAGAAAGATTGGCTTCATAAACATTATAGGCCTATTGAGAGTGTCATATTATTATTATTATTATTATTATTATTATTATTATTTTTAAATGTCTCTGGATAGAAGAAATAGCATTACATTATGAAGAGAATAAGTAGGGTTAAAACTGACAATAAGTATTTCTGATCTTAATTAATTATCTCTAGAATAGTCTAGAACAGAATACTGTGTGGAGACTTTATTTTTTCACTGTAGGCTTCCAGATATAATTTATCCTTCCTCAAATCCCATAGGGAAAGAGTAAAAAGACCTGTGTAAGAAATGCTTCAAAGTAAACCAGCAGCTTCTAAACTCATCATCATCTCTTTTTTCCCCTAGTAAGAAACTTGAATATGTGGATGACTATGTACCTCTTTATCCTCCACAACTAATTAATAGTATTAATTTTCCTTTTACATATTATGAATATTCATTCCTTCTGTATGCTACTACCACTTCAGTTTGTCTTCATTGCTTCTCACTGTCTTCACAACCAGCATCCTAGTTGGCCTTCTTTACAATAGCATACAATTTATCTGTATATCACTATTAAGTGATTCTTTCTTTAAAACCATTTTGATCAGGTTAGTCCTTTGCTCAAAAAACCTTAATTCTTTTTTACCTTCTTACATGTAAATTCCAACCTAAATTCCTAGACTCTCTAATCTAGTTTTACACACACTTTTCGACTTAGATTAGGCTCTCTTCACTATCTCCTAAATAAACCACTGCTATTTCCTTTATTTATGCAATTTCTAATTCCCACACCCCCACCCTGGCCCCACTTCCTCATCCCAATCACCAGGCTTTTATTCTCCAGGCTAATTCAGACTTTAGGATTCTTCAATTTAAATCTCACTTTCTTCATTAAATTATCTTGACTACTCTCTCTCACTATCCTTTCCTCCTGTAAACAAAAAATATTTGTCCTTATCATATAGTTTTAAATACTGTGCCATAAACTATAGATTTTAATTATATATTATTTTTATTGTTTGCCAATGTCTCATATGTTAATGCTAGGTTTCTAAATGGAAGTCATGTACCAGTACTTCTATATCTGATATTACCCAATAAAGTGATGAGCACAAAGTAGGGACTCTAAACCCCGTGTAGCTATACCAAATGTATATATTAAATACCTGACTGGTGTAATAAGTTTATTACAATCCAGATGTTGAAAAAGTTTATAGTAAACTAAAGATCCAAAAGAAACCAGCTCAAATAGCATGCCACTTGAACAGCAGGAGTCAAATCATACCCAAAAGAGTCGGAGGAGTGTGTGGAAGGGGATGATCCAGACGTAAGGGTAGTCTCTGCAAAGGAGGCCTCCTCCTGTGGTATTGGGTGGTGTTCAAAAAACTTGGAGACAAACAGCAAACTGTGAGGCAAAAACAAAAACAAAACAAAACAAACCTAACTTGTGCAAAACCCAGAAGCTTCATACATCAGAATACATTATAGACTTAACAGAAATATTGGAGATCAAATTTCATTTTTAGAAATGGTTGTTAAATTCAATTAGTTGTGTTTTTGGCTTATTTTTAAAAATTAAATCGTATTTTAAAAGGTAAGCTCAGAGTCTGAAAGTAATTGTTGTATACAGCAAATTTCTACATATCAGAAGGGAAAAATCATGCTTTATGTTAAGGAATTAGAAAAAAATGTAACTATTGCAGTCAGATTACATCATTATAATATGCTTTAAAATACAGAGTTGAATTCAATTTGTTCAAGTGATCATAAAAAGTAGTAACATCTTAACAGCAGCAGCAACTACAACACACAAAAAGATTAAAAGAGATTGTCTAATTTGTTAGAGAAACTCTAGCATAAAAAGCAAATAAAAATTTTAGAAAAAGATACACTAGGTATAAAAAATTTATATCTTACTTTTAAATAAATTGGGGGTGCAGGTGGGGTTAAAGGAGGTGGAGATATAGAAATAGAGAAACAGAATTTACAAAATAGCTGACAGGATCAGATCCCTTGATCTGTGGTCCAAAAATATAATGGTTAAGTTAATTGAAACAACTGCTCTCCTCCCCAAAACTATAAGTGATTTCTATGGGTAAAGGATCTTTGTTAATTGAAAAGGAATATAAAACATAAATGAAATGTATAGCTGAACCAGAAGTACAATTTTGGAGTAAAATACAGGATATACTACATACTACTCTCCAGATACACTTAAAGAAAATTCCCTGTAACAACTCTCTATTGGACAAAAAATTCCCACAGACTCAAAGACATACTAGTTTCACATTCAGAAAAATTAAATGTAAAATGGTAGGTAGAAATCTTTTTGATTACTTACTCAAGTTGGTCATAATTAACACACATCAGTGGAACCTCTGTACTACAACGCTGGTGAAATTTATAACCACATGTTTGACAGCGGAAACCCTGGAAAAGCAGCTTTCGACAAAAGTCACAAAAGGCTAAGGTGAAAAAAGTTTTCCGTACCTACAAAGTAAAACATCATAGAGAATTTCAAAACTTGCAAGTATCTTTTTAGGAATCAACTTATTTACTCTCTTATTTAAAATAGCAAACCTTTTACATATTTATAGTATGAGAACTGCCTTACACGCTAATGTACTCAAATAAAAACCAGTGGCTTCAACATAGTAGATAGACTATGTATTATCTTTCACCCAATAACCAATTTAAAAAGTCAGAAGTCTTGTTGGGAAATGAATAAAAAATTCAAAACTAATTTTAATCTTGACTACCTAAACATAAAAGAAGAGATTAGATACGAAGAGGGAATAGAACTTAAATAAAAGATAAAGGTACAATTTAATAATTATACAAAGAAAGAAGTTACAAGATGCTCACTAGTATTACTATTTAAAATCACAAAGATATCCAACAGAGAAGCCACAACCTCCTTCCCCCCCCAAAAAAAAAACACACCACAAAAAACAAAAACAAAAAACAAACCATTGAGAGGAGGGAAAATGTAAAAACATTTATTTATAATTACAAAAACAAAGCTATTTGTAATTTTATGAACATCGAAACAACCCTGCCTAAACTTACTAACTAGGATAAGAAACAGGAAAATAACATAAAAGACAGTAAGAACACTTAACAAACCATCGTTTTGTTAGAGGACTAGAACACCTAACTGAGTTTGGGAGCATTCCTCTGTGAAACTTAAAAGACATGTAAACACTCCACATCACAGACAAATGCTCTCCTACAACGATTTTCAACCTTTTTCATCTCATGGCTCACATAAACTAATTACTAAAATTCTGCAGCACAACAAAATATATATTTTTGCCATTTTGCAAAAATGGGTATAATTTTGATTAATTCACACAGGATTGCTATTGTAGTGTTGGCCACTGTCATTTTTATTTATTTATTTATTTGATAATCTAAAGGAAAAGAGGTGCCTCTGATTAAACACCATGTATTGCATGTTTCAAAAATTCTTGCAGCCCACGAGTGTGCCTCGTGTGGCACACCAACACCAGCGCATCTCCTGTGGTGCCTCCGAATGAAAACAGATGATCTACCACACCTGGGTCACATAAACAGAATGATGCTAGGGAGGCTCTCTCTTCTTTGGTTGTTTTAGGGATGCTCTACCTTGATAACTACCAAAGCTAGAAACTGTTTAAAAAGTATTAATTTGTGTAATTAATAAGCAGAAAACATAAGGTTAAACAAATACCAAAATGTTAACAATGGCTATTTCACAGTGGTGAGAGTATGGGTGATTTATATTTTGTCCTCTGTTTTTTTACTGCATATTCTCAATTTATCCAAGTTTTTTAGACAGTTTTAATAAAAAACTAAAGTTAAAAATATATTTTGCACTATGACCCAGCACACATCTATATTCATATAATAATACTTATCCTAACTATATACATATACATTAGAATTTTCTAATCTATTACAGGCAAATGCTTTTCATGAATTATTTTTTTAAAAATATATTTTATTGATTTTTCACAGAGAGGAAGAGAGAGGGATAGAGAGTTAGAAACATCGATGAGAGAGAATCATCGATCAGCTGCCTCTTGCACACCCCCCACTGGAGATGTGCCTGCAACCAAGGTACAGGCCCTTGCCCGGAATCGAACCCGGGACCTTTCAGTCCGCAGGCTGACGCTCTATCCACTGAGCTAAACCGGTCCCGGCTTTTCATGAATTATTAAATTGAACACAATACCCACAGTTTACCAAACTCTTCCCAATAAACATATTAACAGGTATAAACGTTATTTAAAAATGTTTCATCAAGAAATGGCACCTTAGAAAAGAAAAGGAAAGAAAAGGAAAGAAAAAAGAAAAGAAAAGAGAAAAGAAAAGGCATCTTAGCATATAATTTTTCTGGTTTGTGAGAACTTTTAGGTAGTTTTAAAAATATCTTTGGTTTTCTTCATCTTCTTTTCTATTACCGGTATCACTTTCTAGGGAATTTAAAAAGGCAACTGCTTGTTTTTAGCTTTGTTCCTTTTCCATTTGTTTCTTGATATTCAAGAAATTAGAAGATCTTTAACATTTACGTGACCACTATTTGACAAAGTCAAGAATCTTTTTTGCTGCTAGCATAATTTCAGAAGACAGAGCACAGAAAAATACTAAACTTTCGCATAGGAATAAGCATTTTATAGCCACCCGATTCTCTTTGCTAACCATTCAGACTTTCACTCCCTTGATAATCTGTATCATGAAACCCTAATTTCTCTTCCTGCATTAATTTACTTAATTGTAATCTTTCTTACTATCACTGACTTATAATTGAAAGTTATGTGTAACGGGTTGTGTGTATATGTAAAGGAGAACAAGACACACACACACACACACACACACACACACACACACACACACACGAGGGGAGAAGGGAGAAGTAGGAGCAGAGAAAAATACCTGAGAGGAGAAAACATGGGTATGCACTTTAGTATAAATTGCAAGTGACAAATACAGGATGGAGCAAAAGTAGGCTTATAGTTGTGACTACATGAAAAGTTGTATTATTTCCTTTTTTTTAAAAATATCTTTTTAATTGTTTTTTTTTACAGACAGTAAGGGAGAGGGTTAGAGTTAGAAACATCGATGAGAGAGAAACAGCGATCAGCTGCCTCCTGTACACTCCCCACTGGGGATCTGCCCCCAACCAAGGTACATGGCCTTGACTGGAATTGAACAGGGACCTTTCAGTCCGCAGGCCAACAATTTATCCACTGAGCCAAACCGGTTAGGGCCTGTATTATTTGCCATATGAAAAACTATAAACCTACTTTTGCCCCACCCTGTACTTGTATTTTTAAGTATTCATTTGTCAATAAAGGTGAACACGAAAAGGTATTTCTTTTCTTTTTGTCACAATTTAGACTTATTCTGAATTTGAGCATATTAAGACACGAATGCTAAATTAATTGGAGGCATAGACCAGGCAATCTGCATGCATTAATTTGTAAGGTGTGGGGCTGTCTGAAGGAAGACATTAACCTGAGTGCCTACAGAAAAATGGAAGAGCTAGACAAATGACATCTGTTTCCCGACCTTCCCTGCCATGCATCACCCCATCAGTTCTCAAGGACCCTCGGGATATAGGCAAATACCGAAGGAATTGCTTTTATAACAGATGCTATGAAACCATAAGGCAGTAACAGCATTCCTTGAATAGCCAACAAAATCCAACCAAGATACAAAGAGAGTACAGGCTTTTACTCTTTTTTTTTTTTAAATAAATTTTTATTGTTCATATTATTACAAATGTTCCACCCCCCCCCCCCCCACCTCCATTGCTCTCCTCCACCAGGTTCCCACCCCACCCCCCATTGTCCTCATCCATAGGTGCACAGTTTATGTTCAGTCTCTTCCCACATCCCCCTCTCCCCTTTTCCCCAAGAATCATCAGTTTACTCCCCTTCCATACCTCTGATTCTATTATATTCAACAGTTAATATTGTTCATCAGATTTTTTTTTTAATTTCCTTGGTTTTTAGATTCACTTGTTGATAGTTACGTACTTGTTGTTCATAATTTTTATCTTTATTTACTTTCTCTTCTGAAAGAACCCCCTTCAGCAATTCATATAATTCTGGTTTGGTGGTGATGAACTCCTTTAGCTTTTTTTATTAGTGAAGCTCTTTATCTGACCTTCGATTCTGAGTGATAGCTTTGCTGGATAGATTATCTTTGGCTGTAGGTTCTTACTATTTATCACCTTGAATATTTCTTGCCATTCCCATCTGGCCTGCATGATTTCTGTTGAGAAATCAGCTGACAATCGTATAGGTGCTCCTTTATAGGTAACTACCTTCTTTGCTCTTGCTGCTTTTAATATCCTCTCTTTGTCTTTTGCTCTTGGAATTTTAATTATGATTTGTCTTGGTGTGGTCCTCTTTGGATTCCTTTTGTTTGGAGTTCTGTGTGCTTCTTGGACTTGTAAGTCTAATTCTTTCACCAGGTGGGGAAAGTTTTCTGTCACTATTTCTTTCAGTATGTTTTCGATATCTTGCTCTCTCTCATCTTCTGGGACCCCCATAATTCTGATGTTGGTTCGCTTGAAGTTGTCCCAGAGGTTTCTTACATTATCTTCAATTTTCTGGATTCTCTTGCCTTCTTGCTTCTGTGGAGGAGTGTCTTCTGGCTCCTTGTGTTCCAAATCTTTGACTTGATTCTTGCGATCTTCCATTCTGTTTTTAGGACTCTGTATAATATTTTTTATTAGGTCTAGTAATAATTAATGTCGTTTTCTAATACTTTTTTAAAATCGAATTTATTTAAACAATACAACAAAATTTAATCAACAATATAATTGCCGTTGTTTTCTACTACTTGTGCCCAACACTCAGGAAGCATTTTAATCCCTCTGTTGTAAAATTCTTGTGATTTTGATGCAAAAAATTCGGTCAATGCATTTTTGAGGCATTCTTCATTACTAAATTTTTTTCCAAGAAGAAAGTTTTGCAAAGAACGAAACAAATGGTAATCGGAAGAGGCAATATCAGGAGAATATGCAGGTTGAGGGAGAACTTCCCATTCCAACTGGCGCAGTTTTTCAGCAGTGATTCTTGCAGTATGCGGTCGTGTGTTATCGTGGGGAAGAATTACACCCTTCCGATTAATCAGCGCGGGTTCTTTTTCTCTTAAAGTTTGGGCTAACCTTTCCAATTGGGCACTATACACTGCACTTGTAATGGTTTGGTTAGATGGTAAAAGTTCATAATGAAGAATTCCTTTAAAATTCCACCAAACACACAACATCACTTTTTTCGCATGCAAGTCAGGTTTTGGCGTGGGCTGCGGAGCCTCATTTTTGTCCAACCATTGAGGCCGCCTTTTCAAATTAACATACAGCACCCATTTTTCATCTCCGGTAACAATTTGCTCTAAAAACGGCAAATGGTTTTGACGAGAGAGGAGCGAACTGCAAATTGTGACTCTTTAATTATGGTTGTTGTCGGTCAACTCATGAGGAACCCATTTTCCAA